AACACGTATTCGTGTTAATTTTCTAAGTTTTTCCGCACGATCCATTATTTTTTATTTCACTTCACACAACAGTATGAAAATTGCAATTTCACAATGAAGTTTTCTAACTCTCGATGATTCTTATTTCAATAGAATGTGTACATGCGCAAATTCAATAGAGAATTTTAGAAAAAACTCAATCAGGACCGCATAATGATCTTCTCAATGAAGCGCTAATAGAGTAGCCCTCGTTGCGGCGCTGACAGAAGGGCCACACGTATCAAATAATACAATAACCCTGATGTAGACACTATCAGCACCGGATCAGGTTTTCTAAAATAAGGCAAGCCATGACATTACCTGATTGCGCCCGGAGCAAAATGCAGGCAAACCTTAATCATTTTCTACTCGGGTTTAGGACGCCCGAGAGATGCGAAGCTTTCGCGTCTTTAAGATATCGTCGAACGACGACGACGTCTCGGAATATCTGGCAATTTCGTTTCGTTCGTTGTTAAAAAAAAATTCAAGAAAAACTCACGCGCCAAAGATCCCGCACTCGCATTTAAATCGACAATTTAAAAACCTCGCGTGAGATTTCGACCGAGAAACAATCGCTATCGTTCGCCTGCGGTATTTTAAACGCGTTTTTATCGTAAACAGTACGCGCGCTATTTATTCTCTAAATTTAGTTAAATATGACACTTATATTGAAGAAGTGCGTAATGATAGATAAGAAAAAATTCTCGTTTTATCGAACACATGTGTCGTCGTTACGCGTCAGAATGTCACGTCCGAGATCTGTGATAAGAAATGAATTACTGTCGAATAATTGTTGAGAACTAGTAAACAACTTTTACGGGACGCCAAGCTGAAAAGTTGAACGTGACACTTCGCAAACCAAAGGATGAGAACCTCGAGTTGTTTTTTTTTTTTTTTTTTATCGCGCCGATTGGAAAGCGTGGCGCGTGTGTTATCGAGTAATTTAGACAAAACGAAAATTCTGTGCGTGCGTTTCTCAATCAAATTGCGAATGAGACAAATTTTGAATTTGCCGTGATTGCCGATCAATCGCTTTGCCAATCATCGGTTGCGAAAAGAAGAAGGATCTCGGAAAATCTCGTGTCTTGTTTCGCACCTTGTTTCGCGATTAAATAGCGCGCGTGCAATGTAAATAAACGCGCGAGAATATAAATAAACGTATATTCGATCGAAAGTGGAAAACACATTTGCAATGTTTAATTATACAAATCAATCCCGTGATATATAGGTCTGTCTTACGAAACGATACTTCCTGTGAAACATCGACGACGAGCTAGATATTCATCACTGGATGTTGTTTACGTTATCTCAAGGTTGCTGCGTAACTGTCGATGCGATTCGCAATTAATTTGTCTCTCTCTTCGTTTTATTACGTCTACCCAATTAAATGTTCTTACGTAACCATTAAGTGCGGCAGACAATCGTAAAATAATGGGATAATATTCCGCGGATATTCTCTTGCACATGCGTGGTGTCGTTTATATCGAAGTTAACATATTAAAACTTTCTCTCTCTCTCTCTCTCTCTCTCTCTCTCTCTCTCTCTCTCTCTCTCTCTCTCTCTCTCTCTGGGTTTTTGTGATAAGGGATAAGTTTTGACGAGTTTTCGAGATAAACTTGTTGACAAAGTCCCAACGTAACTGAACGTCGGAGTTACGATACGGTCGTAAATGCATTAAAGATGACGAATTATCGTACATATGAAATTTACGTTCCCAGATTCGAGATTCTGTTTACACGTATATGTGTATATATATATATATTTTTTTATCGATGATTGACACACGTGTCGTCTCGCGATAACTTTCACGATACGAGGATCAGGCCGAAATAAAAAAAAATAATAATAAAAAAAGCAAGCCAAGGTTAGAATCCGCGCGTGCATTTAACGCTTCGCAAACGTTACGCGGTTACGCAGGACGATATGTGAAGAAACATCGGTTTTTTGGCGCAGCGCGATTTACCGTGTCGTGGTCATGCCGGCGTGTGTGCGTCAAGTGTCGTATACAAAAGAAGGGTCAAAAACTCTCGCTCGCGCTCTCGCACCAACGCACCCGAGCTCTGACTTGCTCGCAGCGATATTGCTTGCGAAAGAGCCAGAGAGACACAGAGGAGAGCAATGACCTAGTGCGCGCAATGCACGTGTGTCCGGCGGAAACCACGACGCGCGCCTCACGACAGGGCATTGGACGCCACGTGCGGTTCGCGCCGCCACTGGTGGGAGAAGGGCAATCGCATGTTTCGTTTATTAGAGAAATACAGAGAAAAAGGGAGAGAAAGAAAGAAAGCGGATTCGAGCAAAGAGGGACACACAACGATGGGTTTTTTGCTTTCCCCTCCCTCCCGCTACGCGTCAAAAAAAAAGAAGCGACCGATCAAAAGTTGTCGCCTTCATTGATGCGGATAATCGAGAAAGCGTGATCAAATCTCCGATGGCTACGCGATGTTCAAATGTATCTTTGTTTTACTTCATACGCGCGCAAAGATCGTAAATTGAGAAAAGCGGAAAGGAAGGAAACGCTTGAAACACATCGCGCATGAATTCTGACAATTATTTGAACTAATTTTGTGCATATTTCTATTCTTATTTTACCGTTTTATATATCTATGATTAACATATTATCGCGGAAGCGAAAAAAAAAACGAAAAGCGATTCGAACGAGTATAAATTATTCGGTCATGTTTATTTATCTCTTTTTTTTTTTTGTTTTTATCTAAAAGTCGGTTCTGCGTCGTTTAAAATTAACGTTTACGCTCCCCGCTCGTTTGCTAATTACTTTCTTTGTACATATATATGCGCGGCACGTGTCGAATCGCGAAGAGAAGCCTTGACTTTTGCGAACCGACTTGACTGTAAGATATGACGAAAATTTAGCGATCAATACTCTCTCGGGCTTTCGGACGGTTGCGAACCATCGCGTCAACGAAGAGAGATAGGATTACAATATATGAATTCCGCGTGTAAGCTCTTGTGGGACAATCGACAAATAAATTCGCGTGATATTTAACGCGTGACGCGGTTACTTGAACTTGAATTTTACCGACAATTGAGAAAAGAAAGATAAACTGTGCGTTTTTTACGCGAAATGCATATTTACGCAACTACGAGGAACGTATATTTGTAACAAGTCGCATAAATCACAAAATAATAATAATTTTACACAAAAACATTTGTTTAACATAAATATTATTAGTTATCGTTTGTCAAGTCGTCGTGTTTGAAAAAAATTTGAAAATTCGAGAGATTCGCACGAGAAAACAACTGTGCGGAAATGCAAAGATCTGTTTGAAAAACTATTTGACGCATAAAACATGTAAATGATTTTTTACGCTCAATTATTTTACAAGGGGCCAACCTGTGCGCGTAAGCCGCTACTGGAAACGCTACTACGCGTCGTTTGGTTTGTGCGAATCCCCCAAATTGCACGAGAAGAAACCGACCGGAGGGTTGCCATGCCTTCGAGGCGAGGAACCTGCGAGAGAGTTCGCATTAGTAGGAGAATAGGATTTGTCGAGGGGGGAGGACGAGGGGGGGAAAAAGGCGTTGCTAGGGAAGGGTGGGCAGATGGACCGGCTAAAATCGACGATGATGGCATTGGCGGCAACGATGTAAAGAAGCGAGAGAAGAGAGACGGAGAGTGGAGGGAACACACGAGAGAAGGAGAGGAGAGTGAGGCGGAGGGGGAGTGAGAGAGACGACCGCGAGCGAAAGAGCGGATCTAAAGTGATGTTGGTACCTTGACCAATCTCAACGCAACTTGTTTTAAGCTATCCCAGAACAAGAGAGCGAGAGCGAGGCGTCTTTAGAAAACGAGTTATGCGATTGCGTCGAAACTGAAATGGCGAGACCGGGCCGGAAAAAAAAAATAAAAAACAAAAACAAATGCGCGCAAGGTTAGAGAACGGAGAAAATAGAACGCTCTTGTGTCAAAACTACATATGCGCATATAATCTTATTGGATTTCTTCTCACGTTGATATTTTGAACACGTCGTGGCGGTCATTCGATCAACGAGAATTTGTAGACAGAATTGTTTGCGAGATTGATACAAATTTAGAAAAACATTTAACTTCTGTTACAAAAACAAACGATAAAACTAGGCGCGAGAGGAGCAACGCGTCACAGATTTCAATGACCTTGAACCGTACCGCCACGGACACGTTGGCTCCGATCGCGAGTAATGTCCGAGAAATTTCAGACGTTGCTCGTTGTCGATTAAACAATTAGTAAAAAAGTTACCTTCATTTTACAAGATCATAAAAAAATTTCTCTCATTCTTCTTTTTTGGTTACTCTGAGAACGTCGTCAAGCGACGTCTTGGGAATGTCTTTCAAGCTCGTTTGATTCGATTTACCGACCATGTAGCTTTGGTTTGAGTTTTTCGTGGGAACAAAACATCCGTGCGCATACGCGAGCGTTTCGGTAACTAATGTCGCTGGTAACTAATGCAGGCAATAATACGGGATCTGCGTTCGAAAAACCCTGCTCGTTGGGTGGATCGAGGAAGTTTGTCAACCAATCGGAACGAAGAGATTTTCGTTTCGATTGGTCGGTCGAATGGTGCGAAACGCAGCGAATTGAAATCTAGCCAATCAGAACGAAGAACGCAAAGTTTGGCGAACTTGATTTCGATTGGTCAAATCAAGTTCAATTTCTTAATAATCCCGTATTTTCGGGCTGTATTTTCTTCTATTGCCGCGCTAATCTTCCAACTCGGTTGAAAAATGTTTACCTTCAAATTGTTGCCCGTTCTCTTTCTGACCGCGTGCATCGCAAACGGCAGCGAATCGGAGTATTGCAAAGCGTCCGATGAATACAATGAAAATTCAGAAAAATGCTCCACTTCGTACCGTTTCACACGCAAACGGTTTGTCAGTTGTTTATTTATGAAAACTTGGAAGAAAAGTTTCGAACTTGCCATATTTAATTGACAACAATTCTGCTGTGTGTTGTTATAATTGTTTTTGTTACATAAAAATACACGATGTTACGTTTTCTTACAGTTACGTTCTCTACGACGTGAATCCCCCAGAGGGTTTCAATCTCAGAAGAGATGTTTACGTTCGCATTGCTGTTTTTCTGAACAAATTGATTAAAAAGGACAAAGAATTTCAATGGCAGTTGGTATTGCCACCATGGGGTAGTGTATAGAACAGAAATACAAAGCTGACAGTTTACAACACATGCAACGCTCATTTCTAATTTAATTTCTAACTGTTAGGTCATCTGTATCATTGGCGAAGTCAAGATGCAGGAATCCAGGATCGACTACCTTGGAGTACTTTTTTTGATGTCGCAAGTTTGCAACGATATGTACCAGTCATTGAAATGGACAAATTTGTGGAAGGTAGTCTTTTCTCATCTTTCATCAATTGCAAGATATTGGACTGACGTGTTCAATTGGTCTTAGGTTCTATAACTGAAAATGAAATATCACTTCAGTGATGTGTTGATAAATTTTCTTTAAGTTTAACATTGTATAAATTATTTACTTGACTTCACAACAGTTTGATTTCAGAGCAGTCATCCGAGAGTAAAGAGATAGAGCTCGATTGTGTTTATATCTTGCAAAACGATGAAGAAATGTTCGAGACAGGCAGATTCGAGGATAAGAACGAAGTGACAAAATGCAGTTACGATTCTTTGCCGTATCGCAAACAGAAACAAAACGATTCTTATGCTGGTTTATTCTGGGGCTATGACATCACAGCTCGAGATTTGAAATGTCTGAAATTCCACGGCACAGTATCCAATCTTCGTCAGAATCTCAAGCCAACGCGATACAAGTAAGATTGAGACCAGGTTTGAACATGATCGATTTTTCGATCTCGTTGACACTTCATCCGTTTTTACAGATCCGTGATGTTCGATCACATGGAGATAGCTCTGCACGACGAGTACGGGTCGAAAGAATATTGGAAGGCTCGACGCAGCATGCGTTACACTTCCGAGCTGTACGATATCGCGGCGAACTACAGAAGAACGTTTCTGAATTCGACCGACGAGACCGACAATACGGAACGACCAGTGGATTGGACTGAAGAAAAGGTATTTTATATTCGATTATTTCCAGTGACAACAACACATTATCGACAGATTCGCTTCAGAGCCGGCGAGACGCGAGAGGCGGTCCGTACGTGGCGGTTCATCTGAGAAGACGACGCGATTTTCTCGTCGGACACAAGGCAACTGTGCCGTCGATAAAAAGCGCCGCTTCGCAGTTGAAAGAAAAAATGAACGAACTTGGCCTGACTGTCTTGTTTGTCGCCACAGATGCGGAACAACACGGTGCGCACTTTGCAAAACCACAATTGAACAACAACATGTGTGGCAAAATCGATCAATGTGTGTTTTTCTTTTAGAATTTGAAGAACTCAAGTCGCATCTGCCTCAGTACAAGGTGATGAGGTTCGTGCCGTCTAATTATGTAATGAGAAAGTTCAAAGACGGCGGAGTGGCCATTATTGATCAAATTATTTGTTCGTACGCAAGGTAATTACATCCTTTTTATCCCGCTACTCTTCGTTTTCAACGCAAGTTTCATCTTAGTTTTTTTTTTTTTTTTACGTAGGTATTTTGTAGGCACGCACGAGTCGACGTTTACGTTCAGAATTCAAGAAGACAGGGAGATTATCGGTTTCCCATCAGAAACCACGTTCAATCGATTGTGCAAGAACACCAAGAAGTGCGCGACAAGTGGAAATTGGCAGATCGTTTGGTAAAGTATTGACAATATGAAATATCTCAGAATATCTTTAGCCATTTTTTGTATAAAAGCTTGATAATAAATAAATCCAATTTAACTGGTACTGGTGTTCGTTGCCATATGCTTTATAATGCAAGATAATCTTGTACATAAACAAATTATAAACTATCCTGAAGGTAGCTAACAAATAATTTTTCCAAGTATCAATGCAGATAAAAAAAACAAAAAATAAGTAAGTGGCCGCGTTCGGCAGAACCGAGCGATTCAAGTGTAAGCATTTTTGTTGTATAACTTTTTATATTGAGAAAAATAGTCCAATCACAGACAATAAGCACAAAGCGCTCAATTCCGTTGAAATGCGGCCAATGAGTATATGTATATATATATATATATTGATAAATAATACATTAGTATAAATTTATCACGATAGAAGATTTTGCGACGTCAGAATCGAGAAAATTTATAATTTACGAGTGTGTTCTAACAAAAACGAATAAAAAAAAGTAAGTTTGTACGGAAATACCGTTTCGCGCGTTTTGACGTAAGCTTCAACAATTTTAAATGCATATTTTCTCGCTTCTGACGTCACAATCCGGCTGCAGCGACTATCGACTCTACTCCTTCAAAATAGAGGTCATTTATTAAGGAGCTGCGATGTAAATTTCCACCGTTATCTTTGGCTATAAAGATAAGGGGTGTTGTACAGAATTAGAATTTATTTATATATGATACACGTACATATAATACAGTGAAAGCTCCGCTTTTCGCAATTTCGCTCATTCCAGTTATCGCGAGATGTATCATCAAAAGGAAATGATGCATTTCTCGTGTTACGCGCGTGTTATGTAAATATTCAGATACCGCAATATCTTGCAATGTCTTGTAGCAGTCGAAAAGAAAATTAATTTAACGATTAGTGCAATTATCCTTAGATCACTTTTAATATGCAGTAAAAAGAAAAAAAAGATTACGCGCATAGTTAAAAATGATAAAAATCACGACACGAAGATTGCGGTAAATATTTCTGAAGTTTACGAAACAATTGTAACGTTTCTCAATTTGAATTTTATAATCGTTTGACACACGCGCGAAACTTGCCGAATGAATTAAATCGCGTTAATCGGAGTTGGACCGTACATATGCGCACACCGACCGTGAGACGCTCGTTTTTCGCGAGATAGCAAAAAAAACAAAACGTTACATTTTTACGCGCCGTTTCTTGTCTTTTTTCTTTATTCAATATATTGTCGGTCTGCAGCTAAAAAAAAACGGCGCGTAAAACAAAAAAAAAAGAACATTCTTTGTGTTCTCTCGATTCAGCGCTCACTCAGAGTCGATGCGCACGCAGAGACATTCATGCGCACAAGCTACACACACATACACGTATACATATTGCAGCAATATAAATATAAATCCCCCTTATATGTATATTTATGTATATTTATGTACATGTATGTATATGTTCATGCGTCCAACTTGTTTTGCAATCGTCATCGGTTTTTTTGTTTAACGAAACTTGTTTAGAGCACATACACTTCAGATGCACCAAAAGATTCCTCAATAGCTTCCAGTGTCTTCTTTTTTTTTTTTTTTTTAATTTCTTTAATACAACGTTTAAGACTTCTCAGATGCTCGACGTAGCTGAGTCTCTTGTGGACTGTGACGTCAGAAGCGAGAGGAAATATACGCCTAAAAAATTTTCACTTCGCTGTCCGGCACATTTTACCGTGTCTTATTGATTAAAAGTCAGTTTGGGCGAGACAAATACTCTTTTGTCCTGACGTAGGCTGCAACAATTTTAAACGTATAAATTTCCTCGCTTCTGACGTCATCATTCAAGGTGACTGAGCGAGTATCGAGAAGTCTTAACAATATATTTCTCTCTCTCTCTCTCTCTTTCTGTGTGTGTGTGCGCGCGTATGCGTACAGACTTTCTCACACGTGTCTTCGTCTTACAAGATCAAGAGTATTTTTTGCGTAACTTTTTCTATTTTTCAGTATTTGCGCTTTACGACCGTAAAGAAGCTGCGTGTCCTTGAATATAAATAGAAGAGAAATATCTGAAAATAACGCGAGTTTAATCATTCTTGATCCAGAGAGCTGAAGGCGTGTACGAGATAGACTGCGTGTGCGAAAACACACATCATTTATGTGTGAGTATCCGGATATCATTAACCTAATGTATCCTAAAACCAGATTTTGTTTTCTTTTTTAAACATCGAAGAATTTTTTCACAAACACTGTAAATTTAACATCAAGTGCGGCTGTACTACTTAGTTAAAATAAATATATATATGTATATATATAAAATTTTTTTCCATATGCATATATATATATTTTTTTTTTGTTCTGCAAAAAGAGCTTTCACTGCTGTCTTAGAAATTCCCGCGTGCGAGGTAATCTCATCGACTTTGTGTCAGATTTCCTCCATATGTCAATTATACTCTCGTCCAGTTTTTCTTCGTAGTAACGTAATCCGTTACACCGTTTCGGGCCTATCGACGTCCAGGGCACTTCCGTCAGATTTTCTCTCGCGACCGAGTAAATCCTTATGTATTTCGGCTTTATGTAATTCTTCAACAACCAGTGAATCAGGTCGAGATTGAACTCGCCGGATCGGGGTCTGTTTATGGACAGTTCTTTGATAAACACTCGTCTCTGCATCGTTTGTACTATTTTGAACATCTCCAGATGATTAAAATTATCTTCGAGCTTCTCCTTTTCCTCCTTGGTATCTATAAATGTCTGCAAGTATGAAATCTTGTTTTACACACGCCATCAACATCTTGCGGCACATTTTTTTTTTTTTTTTTTGTGCAAAAATAATCAAATTCATGTGTTTGTGCAATTACATTGAACAGCCACTCGAGTTGCGCGTATTGAATGCTCGATCTCCGTATTAACAGTTTGTCGGAGAACAGTTTCAGATATTGGAAGAAATGCATGATGATGTCCTCGGCGTACATAATACCGATCGCCGTCACATTGAAATCGATCTTTAAAAAATTGACGCCCGCGGCGTATTCAACTATGTCTGCCGCGATGTCGTGACACCAATTTTTGATCTTCAAGTATTGCAGCAAGGTGTCCTCTCCCGCGTGTTCCAACAAATGACAAATAAAGTCCAGGTGCTAGACATTAACAAAATGTCAATGAAACAAAGATGCGCAACGTTGTGTATATATAAACTTTAATACAACTTTAATACTTCAATAAAAAATTATAATATCCGTTGTGTTACCTGGTAACTCCAGTAATTCGTTATCTGAAAAGGTAAGGGAAATATAATCCTCACGAACTTGATCGGTGTTTTGGGAATGAGGTACCACTTGACGCAAAATTCTTCCGGGTGTTGAAACGGATGGTCGTAGATCGACAGAAAGTGAAATGTCGTGCCGTTTATTCGACAGAAGAGATCCAGCACTAGTTTCTCGAGGTTGTCCAACGTGTCTGAACATGTAAAATCGATAGTTCGCTAGTGCAATGGATTTTTTTCTCTTCAACAAACGCGATTAAAACAATTTGTATATTTGAATAAGTACGCGTTAGCGCGAGTTGATCAAAAAGAATTAAGGGTGGAAAGCGAAGTGTGAGATGTGTGTTACATTTTGTTCTTTTTTTAATTACAAAACACAAATACCGCCTTACCATTGCTGCAAACGCACAGCGACATACGATTGCCGGAATAATTGCTTCCGAAGAACTCCAACAGTCTCTCTCTGACGTTGACGCCTCTCAGTTTCGGTATTTTGCTCAACGTTTCCTCATTACCCGTGAGAAGTTTCGAATAAGGATGCGCGTTGCTGGCAGTGAACTTGTCGAACTCGTGCACCCGTTGGAGATCGCACTTGAGATTGTCTTTCCATTCCAGATCTATGATCTTCGCCTCTCTCTCGATCCAATCTTCCTTGAAGAGAGGCGTTAGAAAAATATGAACGAAACGTCCCAAGACAGAGCGAAAGTGCACGGATTTCACGTTGACGTAGAAGCTGGTGTGATCCGCTGTCGTCGTCGAAGCGAAAACCCCACCGCGGTTAAACAAAAACTGTCTGAACTGATTGCATCTTCGTTGCTTGCTGGTTCCCAGAATCATCACACGTTGGCACAAGCACGCCAGTCCTTGCATATCAGGCGGGTCGTTAAAATAGCCTTTAACAAATTGTTCGAATTGTTTCTCTAAACTCAATTGTGCAATTTATTGTTGTTTGACTGATATACGTGATGTCTCAGATTCGAAACCAAGAGATGAGACATCGTCGCAACAGGTGCGACGAAAGAACAAGTTTAGATTGAAAAATTGTGTTTGCGGTTCTTCAAAAAAAAAAAATATAAACAACTTGACAAATTTATAAAACCAATCAACAAAAATTACCAACGTTAGCGTCTAGTACAACACTTGCTCTGGAAATTGTTCTGTCGCTTATCAAACACACTCTTATCCCATTGACAAGTTCCAATCCTCGGTAGGATCTGTGATCGGTTTCTGATTTTTTTACATCGTAGTATCGCCACACTCGACGATCTTGCGCGTCTGCCATTGTCAGAAACCCGATTGAAAGACGAGGTTTAAGAAAATCAAGAAAGTTAGCATTGAATCCGTACATTTGTATTACTTTGTCAGATTACACACCGTGTTTGTTTACCGTCGTACCTTAAGGTCGCGAGTTTGGATTTGATGAGGAAAACAAATATTTTCTTCCACTCGCAAGGAAAGAAACACAAGTACAGAAAACGTAATTGTGATTGCGCGTAAAGAACATTTAAAATGTTAATAGTGTGCACATGTGTGTGTAATCTATTCTGACCTGGTGTAGTTGCACGCATTAAAAAAATAAGTAACGAAATACTCAAACAAATGTTTGCTTTTCTTGAGAGCTTTATTGTCACGTAAATAACAATAAAACAGGTAGCAATGTTTGGCAGAGCCACTTAAGGCCGCCGCTTATTACAAATGTTTATACAAATTTTTATTTCTATTCCGTACTACTTTATCGTCCCATGTTACACAAGAATAAGTTAAAAATATTACAAATTGAAAGAAAAGTAGTTACAAAAGCACCGTTCTCTCTCTCTCTCTCTCTTTCTCTCTCGCGCACGCGCGCGCATTACTTCGTAAAAAAGTTTGTTTCGAGACTGGGTTTTTTTTTTGTAGTAGCTCATACACACATATTGCGTATAAAATTATTTTCGGTGTTGCAGCAGTCGTTTTTTTTTTTTTTTTTTTTTTTTCCAGGAAGCTAAATAAATTTGTGTCTGTAAACTTGGCGAAGCGGCGCGTACATATAAGTCTGCAAATAAATCATTATTTACACATCATAAACAAACATTGTCGAATCGAGAAAGAAGAGTAAATAATAAAAACTTAATGAAAAATATCTCCATTTTCATTCTCAAGTAGTTTTGCATATACATTTCCTTTTTCTGCAAAAGAAGAAAATATCTGATTGATTTCCGTTAACGTCACACAATCGTTGTAAATACACTTAATTAAACAATTAAATGCATCACCAGTAAAAGATGATATTTTTTTGTTTTACTTTATCGTTCATGTGTTCTACGAACCGAGTGAAAAGATAACGGATATGTATGTGGCGACAAATTATTATTATTTTTTTTTATCTTTACTTGAAAAACCTAGCGATTATTCGCACAATTCAGCGATTGTTACGTTAGACACGACGTGTTAGAGATGACACTTCGATGCTGAATAGAAAGTTGCAGAATATAAAATCACGCAAATTAACTGTAAAGGTATTTGAGCTCCCGAGATGCATTCGGTTGATATCACACTCTGTATCTCACTAAAATCACACATTCGCGCAAACTGTACGTTTCGATACAGTTTTTCTTTTTTTTTTTCTGTGATTCATCGTAAATTGCGCGTTCTGCAATGTCTCTCTCTCTCTCTCTTTCTCTCTCTCATCGGAATGAAATCGCTCATCTTTATGTCAGTAGAAAAAAGACATACACATTTCTGCATCCGTAGATCCAAAAATCGTCATATAGTACAGGCGGATATACTTGCGGCGGTGCAAGAATAAGTTTTAAAGCGCGGTTTTTTTGTTGTTCAAGAATATATACTTGTTTTTGTACACAATGAGTTCGATCGTTGATTCGTTGGAATTTTTCTTTTTTTTTTTTTTTGGTTTTTTTTTTAATTTTTTTAGTACGTTTAGGAGCCCTTTGATGCATTGTTGTACAGAGGTGTGAGACGTTTCACACGTTTCACACAAATAAGCGCGTTGGCGTATCAACTTTCGAATATTACAACTAGTTCCGAGTAGCATAGCCGCGACATATGAAGTAAACAGAAATTAAATAACTTGTATCATATAGTTCGAATATATGATTTCGAAAGACTGAGGAAGAAAGTGGAGGAGCAAATGCAGCACGTTCACAACATGCCGAAACCCTTCGAATAATTGATTGCTTTCAACAAACGATCTTGCAGTTTCTCTATTGTGCTGTAATCTGGTAACAATAACACGTTGAAGCACGTATGCGCTATTGGCAATCTGAAAATACACAACGAGATGATTTCACGTTTATCAAAACGGGCGAAAACGAGACAGTGACAACAAACAAAAATCGAGTCAAAGAGCGTAAAACAAAAACATCGCCTTACCTGTCGGAATCTGGACCGTGTCTGGCAATGACCATTTTGAGTCTCGAAAGACCGCCAACCGGCACCCGATCACTGCCGGTTGTGAATTGAAGAAGTCTCCGTTGACTCTCGGGCGGCAAGGAGTGAGCCACACGCCAGAAGTTACGTATCGCCTCGCTGTCGACGGTGTAACCGCCTTCGTATTCCGTAGCCGCTTCCAGCTCGGCAAAATCGAATATTTTGCTCCCGCAAACGAGCTATACGTGCGCATCAAACAAATCCGTCAGAACAATCGGCAGATCGATATAACCGTTTGCGTTATGTAAACGCGCACGATCACTCGATTCATACCTGTTCGATCTCCTCGGGTCTGAAGAGCAACGCGAGCGGACTCTCATCCGTGACCATTTGGAAGCCGCGCCTGAAGGCGTTGAATTGTTTCTCCACGGATTTGTTCAGCAGGAAATCCGCGTAGAGATCGACGAACTCCTTTTTGTTATCTTGGGTGACGTACAAGTTGTCGCCGTTCTCCCTGAGTTCGTAGAACGACAACGATCCGAACACATCCCTGTGGAAAAGCGAGGACACAATGAAAACGCGCGGGCGTGCGTGTTTCCTCGATCGACGACGGGGCCGATAACGTACCTGTAACCCACCCGGAAAGTTTGCATAAACGTTTCTGGCATGTCGTCTCCCGTGTATTCCATTAATTCTTTCATTGTGCGGTACAACGTCGGGCCCCAGTCTTCCAGATCGGTGAAAGCACCTTTCCTGCCCAACAATTTTCTATAAACCACCATTGGGAAGCGCACGTCCAAAATTACATTGTTGTAAATCGCCAAACCGAGGACAATTCCTATCAGTGTGAACTGCGCGTCGCTTTCGAACGACGTCGGATTGAACCAAGTCATTTGCGTGTCTTCCTACAAACAATAAAAACCAAACAAGAACAAATTACACGCAATTGTGCAATTTTTATTTACGCATTGGGCTGTAAATTGCAAAAACAAATTCTCACTTGAGTGGTGAACATGCCGTAATCGGGATTGAAGATCTCTTCCACGACTAATTGGAAGAATTCCTTCGACACACCACCCTCGTCAACACCTTGTTCCCCTTCAAACTCGACGACTAACTGCTTTTTCAAATCCGACGGATTCTCCAACGCTACCATTTCCAGTTCTACCAATGCGTCATCTATCAAATGATCTCTCCGCACCTGTTTCAACGTAAAGTTAAACAGGTTTAGAACGCGCGAGACACACGTATCGGATCGTCATACACATAGCCGGGGTAAATAAACGAACCTTCAATCTGAGATACGGATTGGTGGGTTGTCCGACAACGGTCTGCAAAAAACTCATACGTCGTTCGCTATACATTCGTATACGATTATCATAATACAAACCCAGAGTTTTAGTGGCTGGTGTGAGAATGAAAGCGTAATGCATAAAGCTAAACTTTGTTTCTGCGTTTTCGTCGTTTTCACTTTTGTAATAAGCAAAATCTTTGTCCATCTCCACGGCATCGCTAAGCGGCTCGTTGTAGAAATCGGTAAACGGTATGAAAGGTTTACGCGCGTCTAACGCGGTAATTCCTAATTCTGTCGCTAGCGGATCCTAAAACGAGATCAGTATATTTCGTTTGAATTAAAAATCTACAACGAAAAAAAAGATACGTCGTGCGGGAAGAAATAAAGAGACGATACTTGAGATGGCGTTGACGTTGACGATCGCGAGCCAGTTTTGTCGCTGCTACCCGATTCGGCCTCGTCGCCGAGAGTCTGCTCGGGTATGTCTAATTCACCGGCCAACATACTCGCGTAGTACAAGATTTTCATGACTTTCGTGGGTGCGGTGATAGTGTCCGCATCCTGGACACAATAATCCCGCGTAAAAGTTCCCCCTATTACCTGTAAGACATCCACACGATAACAATACCGAATTTCTCAAATCGTTGTTGAAGAATTATACATCGACGTGATTGGACAAACGCACTTTAACGGTTATGAGTTCCTGGAGCGCCTGAAGAAGACCGGGAAGCCGGGGTTTACAATGCTTGGCCCATACCCGTGCCAACTTGGCTTGGGCCACCACAGGCAAACAGTTCAACGCTTTACACAACATGTGAAGAGCCAATTCCAAGTATTCGCTATTTCCGAGCATTGGGATCTCAAATACAATGATGAACGCTCTTAGAAACATTTCCATGCTTTCCCAGCTTGAGCGAAATACCCTCACATTTAACTCTATGTCCTCTGCCAAAGTGACTAGCGCATTGACCAGAGCTGACTCGAACACCTCGCCTGATTATTAAACACAAAATTAAATGAACGAGTCCGCGAAATGTGAGCTTCCATCTAAGATTCCAAGACGAATGTAAGTGCGAAATATTAAACAATGTCGGTTTTTTAAAAACGACTGAATGAGAAAAACTACTTGAATTTAACAACGAGCCCCTATCAACTGCTTTGCCAAGTAAAAAAGTTATTTTTAGATTATGTTGTTAAACTAAGATATAAAACTGTTTTGTGTAGCGAAGTATTTTAATACGTAATGACTGTAGATTTGTTTGGTTTTGGTTACATAAAAAGTGAAGAGAACAGATTAATTTTTTTTCTCATACCTGGCAAAGACCAAAGTGCTTCGAATGCTCGACGAACTGATGGCAAATCGACACTGGTGTCGTCATTATTAGGAACTGTCGGTGACGGATCACTGCTATCCTCATCTTTATCTTCGCCTTGAAGAGATCGTACTGCCTCTTTGTTCATATCAGCGGGAGGCCTCAACAAAGTGTCGGGCGCCCGCTCAAGAAGTGCCGTGAGAGGAGAATTGCTCTTTTCAGTCTTTTGAAAGCTGATGCTTAATGACTCTTTGCAAGAAAACACTTCTCCCAAAGTACGAATCAACAAAGAATATGAGCTTTCTGCCTTACATTTTTCTATAATATCCAGAAGCTTAGCTTCTGTGAGATATGGTTGTTTTCCTAATCAGAGAAATTAACATTTATATTAGCTTCGCTAATCACCAGCTAATTGTTTGTGTGTCTTAAAATTAAAAGTTTCTAAAAAAATCAAAATATAAATACGCGCTGGAAGTCGGTTGGTTTGGTTCGAGAATTAAAGCTTTTTTTTAAATCGACTGAGTAATACCTTCGTCAGAACTCGTAGAATTAACATTTTTTACAGGTAGACTTTTTGCTAATGACGTTTGTCCGGGTTCTATGGTAGTTCGTGCAACTTTACTGGGTTGTGTGCCATCACATAGTCTCGCTTCTTGTGAGAACAACTGGATTGCTTGAGCAGCTGCTTGATTTGGAGTTAGATTAGTAACCTAGATTAAAAAAAAAAAAAAAAAAAAGAAACAACAGATGCTTAAATATTATCCAATTGTTTCGCAGAGCAATTGCAGCATTGACAGAAGTTTTCAAAAGTCATACTTTGCCACTTGAGGCACAATACTGATTGTCACAATAGGGATTTCCACAACCATCAGTAAGTTGGTAAAAGTAACGTTCAATGAGTTTCTTCGCAGCCGCACGCTTCATGTCACTGCAAGGACTCTCCGCACGTACCCTACAAAAAAAAATCAGAAGAATATATACACACATGTGCGATACGCGTGTACGTTATTCAGGTAGGTCTGATGTTTTAACTGCCTGAGGAAGCTGGTACTTGGGCAAATGCTATAATCGACATTTTATTTTTTGAGAATGGCAATTGTAGTTGTTTTGAAAGTTTGAATTACAAAATAAAAACACATTCTACTGAACATCCAATCGGGGAGAGAGAAACGAACACTACGCGCGAAGAGAAAACGAAATCACTTTGAGATCTATGAGACACAAAAAAAAAAAACAAAACGATGCCAAACGGCTGCGAGACTAAACGGCCGAGGTCGAAAAAATCGTCACATTGTTGTACAATTCAACAAGGAGTCGGATAAAGAGGTGTCGTTCGCATCAAAACAAAGTTCTAATAATAGATCATCTCTCTTGCGCTATCTCGCTCACGAGGACGAAGAAAATAAAAACACCTCTCTTTCTAAATTTTCACCCACAAGTGAGAACGAAGACGGAACAATACACAAAAGGAAAAACTACTCGTACGTGATGCGTAAACGGTTGGAAAAACTGGAAAAACTGTGTGCTCCGCGCCGGGGTGAGATTTCGAAGCACACGCTTCGATTGAATCAATACACGGACAATATTTTAACCGCGAACGTTGTCGTCAACTTATCCGTCAACGACCGTTCGATCTCGCGTCACTGCCGTTTAACCGATGATAAAAAATAATAAAAAAAAAATAAATAAATAAAAAAAAAAAGACCGAATTTGTTTATCACGCGCGACTTAGTGTCTCGGGATGATGAGAGTTTACGCTGCCTAAAAAATCTATCGCGTGTGTACATGGTGTTAATCGAGAGAACAACAACGTATTTTTTTGTATTGTCTCGCGCGCGACACTAAGGGACGCACAAACGACAGTCTCGTGACACCTGGAAATGTGATCTTCTCCAGGGTCCCCCTGACTCTTGGAACTCATAGACTAGAAATCGGTCGGTATTTTGCCTGTTTGTTCGGCGACGGGAGGGTTGATTGAATCGTACCACCACGCGCGCTCGTTATCACCGCACTTCTCGTCCGCACCACAATCGCCGTTATCCAACTTTGAAACTGTAAATATTTATTTCTAATCCTTAGAGCGAGAATATTTTTTCCGTGCCACTTTTTTTTTTAAAGTCCTTTTAAACGTCGCCTTTAAATCGCGTTCCACAAACACGCGATCGAGGCAACTTCTCTTCGCTTTGATGATTCGTCGCCCCCTCGGTGCTTCAGCGCACTTCTCTCGCACGTCAGAGAGACCGACTCCTCGTAACGAAAGAGGGGAGAAGGAGAGGAACAGAGACACACACAGACCGAGGAAAACGCGACAAAGAAACACAGAGAAATAAAAACAGAAGCGAGAGAGAGAGAAGAATATAGACGGAGAACCGGAGAAACGGGGAAAGAGACAGAGACAAGAGGTAGAGAGAGAGAGAAAGGAGAAAAACAGAGAGATAATTCGAGACGACTATAGCTTCCGCGCGGGGGAAAGTAAAATTTTGTTTGCGCCGAATTCGCGTATCTTGGAGGTTATGACGAAAACACAATCGACAATGCGCGAATTACGTGATGTTTTTACGGTGAGAGATCGGGAGCGCAAACTTGATCGTTTCACGTGGTATAAACAGACAAAACTCGTCACGTCGAGAAGAATCACGGATCTCGGGGATTATCTTCGTCGTCTTTCTGCACTACTGACGTCTATCGTTTGCGATCACCAACACAACCAAGTCACCGCGAGTCAATTGCAACTGCGCAAAAGTAAAAAAAAACAAAATGCAAGGAACGGCATCGGCTCGGTCAACGGTCGGTCAAAATATTTGTTTAGCAATATTTTTGAAATTGCATGTTTTTTTTTTTTCATGCAATATTACTTTCATAATTCGATGTACCTTTTTGTGAAGAATAATAAAAAGAGAATTGGCGAAAGTTGCGCGTGTGCGTCGTAAAATATCCCTATGTGATTATCTGGGGAATAAAATCGAATGCGTTCGAAAAACACGTGGATAATTGCGAGCGGCTTTCTGAACGCTGTCATTGGGTGCGTTCAGACAACTCAACGGTTGAGGGATTAATCACTTATGATAGGACTATTCTTCAAAATTTTCTGCGGTTCCAAAAGTATGATCCAATCAGAAGTGATTATCTCTCAACAGTTGTGCAACTGTTGAGTTGTCTGAACGCACCCAATTGATGATGACTGCGTTCCAATATTAACTGCCAGTACTAAAAATCTATAGTACTTGTGACGTGAAGTATAGATTTTTAGTGCTGGCAGTTAATATAGGAACACAGCCGATGTCTGATCATAGCCCTCAGTTCCGTTATTACTACTGGCAGTATTGAATCTATAGGATACGTGACGTGAACCTATAAATTTTCAGTGCTGTCAGTAATAACGGAACAGGGGGTGAATAGAGGGAGACACGCATGAAATTTTCAAAATTTTCTTGGAAAGATGTGGTTTCCCACATCGCAAATTTAAACTCAAATATAAAATAAAAATTTATCAATATAAAATTATGAGCTGGGGAAAGTTTTCAAGAAAATCAAAATTCATCGAGATCTTGAAAGTTTTATTTTTCAAAAATATGAGACAATGAAAATTTCAGATGAACAAGAAGATAATTCTGAAAACTTGCAGTTTTTCATACTTATATTCACATGTTTATTCTTGTTTTGAAAATTTCGGAGAATTGTTTAATTTATATAAAAAAAATTTGAGATACGCATGTACAGAAGTTTTTCTGCGAAAAACAAAAACTATATTGCACATATGTAAGAAGAATGTTTTAGATAGAAATTAAATACTATAAAAATTATTTAAATATTTAAAAGTTTTGTAATAACTCACGCATAACCGGATAATTTCCTTATGACGTTGTTTACGTCATTAGATGTCGTTTTGACGTCACTGTGTAACATTGACTGACGTCATCTTGCTCGGGGAATTTATGTATCTCAATAGTACGGATAATAACAATACATATAGAAATATTGCGTTGTATGGAAGTAAAATTTAACCCCTTTCTTTGCTTATCTTTTTATTTTTATTTCTAAAGGCCCAAACGGCAACTATCATACTATATTGACAACGCATTTGTAACACGACTTCCGAGGATGGTTTATCGTATTTGAGTCTCTCGTGATCTCAAATTGTTCTTTCATTTGTAAAAAATTTAATTTTGTAAAGTTACATTTTATATTTTTTGTCGCTCAGAAAAAAACGCAGGTCAGGGTTAAAACGAGCGAATTGAATTAGTTCTAAACCTTGGAATGTTTGAATGAACCTTATTGATGAAACACGCAACACTCTTGTTGCATTTATTTATTTATTTAATTATAATGGAAATCAGTAGCATGATTTTTACACGTGCTACTGATCGTAAAATAAAAATGTAAAAATTTCTATTATGGGAGGAAGATCTCGAAATAGTTTTGGTGAGATTTGTTTTTTACTTCTGGACATCTTGTACACTTTTTCTCAGAATTATATGTAAATAAAAAAAAAAAAAATAAAAAATGCAAAGAAATGTCCTTGTGTATAGATGTGTGTGCGCGCGTGCGTGCGAAAAGAGGAGAAAGAGGAGAAGGTAGAAGAGAGAAAGAGAGAGAGAGAGAGAGAGAAAAGAGAGGATGCAAGGTTTAGGACAGAACACAGTTCGCAGGAGCAGTATCGATCGATCCGAGTGGAGTTGGAAACTCGACAGGTCTCATATCTGGGCACGCAAGAGGTGTAGGAAAGCAGAAGAGCGAGAACGGGAGCGAGCGAAGGAAAGCCGATCTCCGCGGAGAGGCAGAGACAGAGAGAGAGAGAGAGAGAAAAAAAAAACGAGAGAGAGAGACCAGCCGGTATAGGAGAAAGCGCCCCTATAAGTAGGCAATCAGATAGGTCGGACAGCTGCCCGGGCACGGATCCGCGCGCGGTCCGTTCAATTCTCTCATTCCGTCTATGTATTTCCGTTCGTTTGCGCGTTGGTTCCTTCCGCTCGCTTTTCTCTATCTTTCGAGAGCTTCCGCTCTGTTCTCTCGCCGAGTGTGACCTTGAAAAATTGTATGACAGTGTGCGAATCCTGACCTTGGCGAATTTACCTTCATCAAGAAGTTACATAGAGATCCGATTTCGTCAGCTGACTCTTTACCGGCGAGTTTACGTCCTGGTATAACGTCTGGTGAACATACGAATGTGTGCGTTAATTTTAAGCAATGAGAACACGGTAAGTGACACCTCGGATCGCTTGAGTTTAATTTAAGTTCGAATTTGTGATTCTCTCTCCGTTTTTTTTTTATCTGAAATCAAATTCGACAAGTGAGAGATAGACGGACTTGTATAATCGAAATAAAACGCGTGTTTTTTTCGAGAGAGAGAGAACCGATTTTCGGTCTAATTGCAATTTGGCACTCGACTTGAATCTTTGCGTAGACTTGCATAAGTTATTTAAAAAATATTGTATTCGGAAGAATAAAAGAAATTCTTCAAAACACAGAAGAAACAAGAAATTCGAATTTCCTTTTCGGCTACATTTCATTTGGTCCGACAATATCCGCTTAAAAAAAAAAAAGAAATTATATAATAAAGACCTAAACGGTTTTGGTTTCATTTAAAGATTTGCGTATCGAAGCAAAATTTTCAATTGTGTGTGCGAAAGAGACGATTATAAATTGGAAACGCGAGCCTCTTAGCGCGAGCAATTACGTAATTCCGCGTGTATCACTTCGATGCAAACGCGATAACAACAGTTAGAACCCGAGTGATTATTATTTAGCACTTAGTTAATTAGCGCTTGTTGAGATTTCGGATAGAGATGAGACGGTAAATTGATAACGAACGTTTCAGAAGTACGAAGATAATGAATTTTCTTGAATTAAAAACAAAAAGACACTCTGTGCTCTTAAAAAACTTATTAGTGAGAGAGATTGATTGATTGATTGATTAAGCTGTATTTATGAGAGAGAGAGAGAGAGAGAGAGAGACAGTAAAAGAGAAAAACTATAATTGCAAACAAAAAAAAAAGTATTCAATAAAGCAGTTTGTGTGCAGGACAATTGAGGAGAAGTGAGTGCGTAGACTATCGACTTTACTAAGGAGAGAGATGAATATCTGCATATTGAATTTCGACGGGATTCGACAGCCATGAGAAAACGAAGAAACGATTGATGTATCACGAGCGCTTTGTAGTGTAAAAGAATGGAAGAAGCATCCTCGAGAATTCGTCCTTATTTGGACTGGGACGTAAGCAGAGTTTTTTTTTATATATATAAGCGATCCGAATTATTCGTCAAGTGTTTTAATATAATATATAATATGACGCAAAAATATATATTGCGTGAAAAAATGATTTAAAAAAAATTTAAGCGTTTGAAGAAAACCGACAGTGCAATTTCGACAATTTTTCCTGAATCTGGGATTACGCTGTTGGTTCGATCAACAACGCAAAGAACCCGAGGAACATCCTCGCGCGTTCGAAGATTGTTTATTTAAAAAAAAAACAAAAAAAAACAATTTTTGACGCTCGTCTTGTTGGGGATGGAAGAGTGAGACATGCACGTTGCCTCGATTTTTCGGTAGAACGAAGACAAATACTCCGTGGCGAATAGCCAGGCGCCTCTTCAGGGCGGAGATGATCATCCGGAGCGCGGAACGTGGACGGGAAGATTCGATTTTCTGTTATCTCTTCTGGGATACAGCGTGGGTCTCGGAAATGTCTGGAGATTTCCGTATCTTTGCTACTCAAACGGCGGCGGCGCCTTTCTGATACCGTTCACCGTGATGCTCGTTATCGCCGGATTGCCGCTCATGTTCATGGAACTCTCCTTAGGTGACGATTGATCGAATTTTGTTGTTACAAGAAAGTTGTTACGATTCTCTTACGAACACTTCGTTATTCGCACGTTCCTGCCGCACGTTTTGTTTTTTTTTTTTTGTTTTTTTATACAGGACAATACGCCAGTCTCGGACCGGTTGCGGCTTACAAGCAGTTTTGCCCGTTGCTTCGCGGCCTGGGATACGGAATGGTTCTCATCAGCTCCGTCGTCATGCTCTATTACAATTTGATTATCGCCTGGACGCTGTATTACATGTTCGCCTCGGTTTTTGGTAAATAACATAACACATACGGGATATATTTTTTTTATTTGACAATTCGCTGAGTGTTGAAAGAAACCGGGGAAAAAGTCTGTCCCGCACGTTTAAACAAATTCGATATCTCGATAAATAATTATGTGACATATTGTATACAAGATTGATGACGATGTCACGTGTGTAATTGCACGCAATCGAGTTTTCTGTCCTTTTTTTTTTTCGCGATAAGTTTTCTATTTCAAAACGCTCATTCAGATTGTTCGCACAGGTGGTTGGGAGTTGCCCTGGGGCAAATGCGAGAAAGAGTGGAGCACCGAGGATTGCTTCATGCCAGACGCTGCCGAGGCCTGCGCCTCTCAGAACGCCACTTACTTTAAAAAACGATGTCTCAATTCGACCCAAATGACCGCGATGGGATTGGTTATCGATAACATAACCAGTGCCATCAGAAAACCGCCAGCCGAGGAGTATTTCAAGTATAAAAAACCTACATATCGATTATCGGCTTTTTTGTTCTTTTTTTTTTAACTCGCGCTTTTATTTCAACTCGTCGATATGCAGTTTTCCTTTGAATTTTTCTCCTTATAATTTTTGTGAATATATAAAACACTACTCAAGTTGTATTCGAAGAAAACATTTTTCTTCCCCGGGTGTGTGTGTGTGTTTAGCAATCACGTTTTGGGGATCAGTAGCGGGATCGAGGAAACCGGATCGATTCGGCCGTCAATGGCGGCTTGTCTGTTTCTGGCGTGGATCATCGTGTTCCTATGTCTGAGCAAAGGCGTTCAAAGCTCGGGCAAAGTCGTGTATTTCACCGCGCTTTTTCCTTACGTCGTACTGGTGCGTCTTGCGACTAAAAAACGTCTTTGTTTAAGTACCTGAGAATCTCGCGCGAAACAATCTCTCGCCTTTTCGCGCAGATCGCTCTGTTTATTCGGGGGATTTTGCTTCCCGGCGCCGACGAGGGAGTGCTATTCTACTTGACCCCCGACTGGAAAAGACTGATGTCCGCCAAGGTGTGGGGAGACGCAGCCGTGCAGATCTTCTTCGCTCTGAGTCCAGCCTGGGGCGGTCTGATCACGTTGAGCTCGTACAACAAGTTCACCAACAACTGCTACAAGGATTCTCTGATCGTGGCGATCAGTAACATCGGCACTTCGTTCTTCGCCGGCCTGGTGATCTTCTCGATGATCGGTTTTCTCGCTCACGAGCTCGACGTGCCCGTCGCTTCGGTGGTGGACGAAGGCGCCGGTCTGGCGTTCATCGTTTACCCGGAGGTAGTTTTTTCTACCCTATCTCGCACATGCATTTTGGATATGCGATTTGAGAGAATATATCGACGAGCACATCTCCAAATCAACGATTGTTCCTTTGAAGGTTGTGGCCCGTCTGCCAATCGCGCCGATCTGGTCGCTTCTGTTCTTCATCATGTTGCTGACATTGGGACTCGATTCGCAGTTCGCTCTCATGGAGACCGTCACAACCGCGATACTCGACGGGCTGCCCACGCTCAGGAACTACAAGATCTGGGTGGTTCTGGGAGCTGCGGTGATCGGTTACGCCGGTGGCGTTGTTTTCACCACCAATGCAAGTTACATTTTGAATCTCAAGCGGAATATCAATTCTCATCAATTTAACGTGTTTCTTGCAGGTATAAAAAATTGTTTTTTTTTTGTTTTTTTATTTTGACAGGCCGGTATGTACTGGCTACAGCTGATGGACAAGTACGCGGCGAACTGGTCCGTTTTGTTGATCGCCATAAGCGAGTGTATTCTCGTAGCGTGGATATACGGCGCGGATCGCTTTCTGAACGACGTCGAGCAGATGATCGGGCCTCGCGGTCGTCTGTGGAGATTCTTCTGGACGTGGATGTGGAAGGTCGTAACTCCGGCCGCGCTCTTCTTCATTCTCTGCTTCAATTGGGTAAAGTACGAGCCGATCAAGTACGGAGTTTACGTTTATCCGAAGTGGGCGGACGTGTTGGGTTGGGTCATCAGTATGTTTCCCGTCTTGGTGATTGTCGGATTAGCTGTTGTAAGTCACAACGGTCTCATTTGACTGAAACACTAAGAAGCCATGGTGTTTGTTGTACGAGAGAAAGACAATTTCTTTCAGGATCAACTGAAGAAACAACGTCGACGATCGGATTATGACGATGATTACGAGGACGACGATTACGAGGACGACGATGCCGACAGCAGCGGCTCTTGCCGACAAACCGAACGGAGAAAGAGCAAGCGCAAGAACAAAAGTTTGTGGGAACGCGTAAAATTATTGTTGCAACCGACGTCGGACTGGGGCCCGGCGTCCCAAAACTCATCCTCCAGAACGCCGAATCGCACGCCCTCGTCAGGTAAACAATTCCTTATTATCTCCAATGAAGCGGACGTACACGTGCGCGTAGAAAGTGAAAAAAAAAATCAGTTTTTAATTTAATTGTAATTCCTTGAAAGGACCTGGTGCATATGATACGGTGCGTGATATGATCGTTTTAGTTAACGGTGAACCGATAATACAACCGCCCAGCGCTGTTGCTATTAGCCACAAACTTCCCGGACCGTCGATTCTCAAGAATTCTAGTAAAACCGATCTGATCACGTCGCAACAAGTGTGACACGACGTGCGTCTTCAATTCAACGACGACAATTTTTCTTAGACAACCCGCGCTAAAGATATCTAAAAAGAAAGAGAGAGAAAGAGAGAAAGAGAGAAAGAGAGAGGGAGAGAGAAAGAGAGAAAGGGAGAAAGCATATCCGATACACACAAACTTGTCACAAATAGAAAAAAGGATTTCTTATTAAAATATTGTCGGTAGTTGCAATCTTTACCTGCGATTGCCGAATCACATGTTACAAGATTTATATACAGAGCGTTCCAAGACGATGTCAAAATGTAATGAGGCTGTAATGAGTTTTTCGCCTTCACACGCGGTTCAAGCGCGACCTAAAGGCGCAAAACATGCGCGCGTATGCGCCAAGTACATTCTAGTATTATTTATTAAAGAAATTTATAAGAAAGTCTTCAAATAGAAGAAGTTCGTAACTTGTTTCACACTCCGAAGTGTGTTGCTCATATCCGTTAAATGTGATCGTTTTGTAATTATGATTGCTGAGGAAACGAAGAAACCACACACGGGTTACAACAGCGTAACAAATCTTCGTTCAGTTTCTCTGGATGATTTGTTAAAGTAACAATATTTTTATTACCACACATATAACTCATATTCTTTTACAAGTTGGATGATTTAGCGTCGATATAAAAAAAATATTATAATTGTTGAAATATAAGATTCCTATATGAGATTATTTTCCCACGCTCTACGAAAGGTATGACAAAATTTGTGAAGAAGCGAATACAAGTAGTACCTGTTGTTATCTATCTTCCAAAAAACATAGAAGCTTCGATAGATGTCTCGTGGACAATTTTCAATATCAATTAATTTTAACAAAAGAGACTCTAGGAAAGAATAGATTGTAGATATCTATTTTAAAACGTGTGTGCAAGAGAAAAACACTTAATGAGAAGAAAAGACAGAAGGGGAATGTAACGTGTAAGTGTTCGTATTGTGTAACTTATAAAAAAAATTTGTAAGAAAAAATTATATATATATATATATATGTGTGTGTACAAGGTTAAAAAGAGTTATCAGACGAAAGTTACTCAGTTTGAGAGACTGATATTGAGAGAATTGACCGACATGTTAAAAATTATCCCAAGTGTTACCGCGTGAAGATCGAACTTATCCCTCTTTGTGCATATGTGTGTATATGCGCGTGTATTTTTAAGTCTAGATGTTAAAACAAAAAAAAAAACAAAAAAAAACAAAAACAACCAATTAACAGCTTTCGATGTCATTGAAGAAGCTCAAAGTGACCGAAGCCCAAAACAAGTTTCTGAACGGAAAGTGGTCCAGCAGCGCCAAGTAATTGCTACAAAAAATGTTCATATCTTTACGTTAATTCTTCGTGTTGTTCTGTATATCTCCGATAAAATGGATGAATGGAATCTCTGTTTTTAATATCGGGAATATATATATATATATATATATACATATCGCCTTGACCCCCTAATGGCCGTTCATCAAGAATATACGTTTTCTGCCATCAATCAATCTGCCGTCAAAAGTGTGTTCGACAGACGTGTTCGGTTTCTGATGCCAGCAAATTCGTCGTCAGACTCGCGTTTACAGAGTTTGTTACAGAGCTTTGCTCTTTCCAATTGCACGGTATTGAAGAAATCGCGGTACGGATTCTGTAACAAATCCGTGACCTTTTCGACGACGAAAATCTGTGTTGTCACGGGCAAAAAATCTGTTTTCCAGCCGGCTTATATCGCCTTTTAAGTGAGATAATTGACTGTTTTTAACAAGTAAGGGATGACATATGTAAATAGTAAGCGATAATAATAATTGAGATTGAACCGCTTACTCATCACGAAAACAAAAATGTTAATTATTTTGTTTCCTACATATCTATTTTATACGTCATACAATATATATATATATCTTGTGCGTGTATGTGTGCGCGCGTGCGCGCAAAGATTTTAATATAAAATTATAGACACACACGATGAAAGTAAATAAAGTAAACGTTCTTACTTTACGTTGTATGAGAAAAACAATATGTTTTATCGCATAGAGTATTATTACGGTTCGAATGTTCACTTACCGAGTAACCGATAGAGCGAACAGTACAAATTGTGACGTGTCCTAATTACGTTGCGGCGTATAACCGGGAAGCTTCTTTTTTTAGAGAGAAGACTATTTATACTGTTATATCGTAAGAAAAATCATGGGAGAAAAAGAAGCTTCTCTGTCTAGAATTATTGTAATTAAGGAGCAGTGTTCAGAGCGGGAGGCCAATTCGACGGTCACGCTCTCGAAGTGTGTATATCCCACACACGTGCGAAACGAAACCGTGACAGAACTCTTTCACATGTTCATTAGACGTAGCGTGGACGTTCATTGGACGTCCAGCGAACGTTGTGAGCGATCTCGAACTCTCTTTTTAGTGACCTCGCTCGAGATGGGGAAAGAAAGAGTCCGTTCATTAGTTTTCGAGAGCGACCGGCAATCCTCGATCTCCCAAGACTGATTTAAAAGACGGATTCGCGCGAGGCAAGCACGATAGCGTTTTTTCCGGACACATAAATGTTAATCAAAGTCGATTTATATACATATATATAAATATATATATATATGAATGTTAGAATTAAATATTTTCTGTAAAACAAACAGTTATTTTAAATATGTCGTAGAATCGACGTGTGTTTCGCGGTAGAACAAATTGAACGACTTATTGGACGACTACAATCAAGACACATGTAATGCCTTGAGTACAATAGCACGTGGAATTAAAACGGAGAAAGAGATTTATAGCGCGAATAAAAAAAAAAAAAAAAAAGACAAATTTATTGAACGATTCAACGTCTTCTCGCTCGTCTGCCTTCGGGACGATGCGATGGATGTTGTCGCACGTGTGTCGTGAACAAACGAGAACACGCGCGCGTGTACATCATCGTTGCACAATCTTCAACAATTTTATGGGACTGAGAGAAAAGGAGAAGTGGAAAAACCTGCGCGCGAAAGTTACTGTAACTTAGGTAGTTAAAAAAAAAACGGTGTGTTTTAAAAAACGCAGTAAGTAAAATATTGCAAAAAGAAATAAAAAACGTAATTTTATACATATAAACATTTTATATGAATAAAATTATATAAAAAGAAAGAGAGAGAGAGAGAGAGAGAGAAGATACGAGAACAAAAATAATTTGTGTTATTGTTCATGTACAAATATTGCATTATAAAAATATATTAACATTTAAGCACATTTACAAATGTGTATAAGCGCGTACATGTAAATTTGTAATGTGTAAAATAAATGTATACGATGCATGTGTAATCAATAAAGTGTTGATGCACGTTATATACGTAGTTAACAATGCGCTATTAAAAACTAAGTTCTTTAATTTTTTTTTTTTTTTTTTTTAGAGACAACAAACCTTGATTCTCCCTTCATTGTTTCTTAATGCGAGAGACGACAATTATTGCACATCGCTGCAGCGACGTTACGTTCGTATAGAAAAGTTAGTTTCGTCGTATCTTTGGCTTCTTCTTACTTTTGTGCGATGTTACTTCCGCGAGTATTGCGTCGAGAGCGGGACGTTTTAATTAAACGATCTCATCAATTTGAGGACAAACAAACGTTTTCGTACGAGTTCTTCATCTCTCGTGCGCTTACTTTTTGGAAAAACGGACGACTCTTGCACTCGGCGTTTTACGAATCGGTCGAAGGCGGTCCGAACGCGACTCTGCACCTCGAAATAGCGCCTAGCACCGGTTTTATGAGTATCAAGAAACCCGCGAAAAATAACGACGCGAAGGTCAAGTCTCTCCCGGTGGTGTTTCCGGGCCACCACCTGGTGTAGGTCCCGGTTATGAGTGTGGCCAACAGGAGAATGGTGATGCCGATGCCGCCGCAAGCGTGAGCGACTTTGATCAATATCGGTCTCACACGTGGATACACCCACACCGTGTTCTTCGCGAGGATTCCGAAAGTCGCGGTCAGAACGGAGAGTACGATCGTCACCAGGCCCAGCTGCGAGTGAGGCGTAGCGAAATGGCTATTGTTCATGTTCACTTTGTTGACGATGATGATGACGAAACCGATCCCGATTAGGGCCAGGCCTATCGTGTGCAGAATCCAGTGTATCGTCACTCTGTTACGCCTGGCTAACTTCGACGCGATGTACGCCTCACCGGAGATGCTGAAGACGGCCTCTGTGATCAGAAGACCAACCTTTGCCACGGGATATGTGTAAAAAAGTAACAGATGTGTCATTATTGGATAATTATTGCGATATGGAGAAGAAAAGTTTGCAATAAATATATTTACACGTACAGGAATTTAAAATATCTCGGATATTATTTTTCCAATACATTAAATTAGAATTAACGTCAAAATTAACATTACGTTAAAAAAAAAAGAAAAACTCTCTACTCACCCCCACGGACATGCAAATCGGATGCCAAGCGAAGAAGCTGTAGTTTCCAAACGCAAGTACCAGAATGTACAACACGGGAGCCAATAGCAGAAAATGCGTGATTACTGAAAAAGCGAGCGTTATGGTGCTCGGAGGACCCTTGTTACTTTCGGTAGTCATGTTGGAATACCGAAGACGTTTTCTTAATATCTGAAAAAAAAACAAAAAAAAACAAAACAAAACAAATTAGCGTTTCAACGTCAAGTTTCCCGTGTCTGTTCACCTGAGCTCGCATTTTCCCATCAAAAAAACTACGACGCCTGGCAAGTGCAAGTCCTCAATTCGTCACTGCCTATCAAAGAGTTCTACGGACTCTCCACACGAACGGTTTTACGTAATTCCTCTCGTAATTACTACGAGCGTTAGAATGCGCGATGCGTGATTCATCTTTAATTGTGTGCGGCGCGATTTCTCGCGTCTTGAGCGTGTATTTATGTTGTTGTATTCTTGCATCCATCATCGTATTGTTACATTGTTTTTTTAATCAAACAACACGACTTTTAATTTTTAAGTTGGACGTACGCACGCATGCGCACATGTACGTAAACACAAAAAAAAAAGAAAACCATATAGCATATCTGTATTTGTAATGAGTGATAAGTTTTTTTTTTATCAGTATACGTGGCAATAACTTACTAATTCTGCGACGCGATAACGAGTCGCGTCTTTGTAGACGTGTGTGCAACGAAGATATGGCGCAGAAAAACTTTTGCACAAAAAATCAAAGATATTGTATCTTCGAAACTGATCAATTTAAATTAGTACAATAAAAAAAAATAACACTAAGATCAAAGGATGATCGCGCGAAGAACTCTCGCTCGCGCACACGCTGTCTGGATTGTTTTTCAAGAAATATATCGAAGATACCGACTCTAATTTAAGATTGTTGTTAGTTTAGCGATAAAAATCCAAAAGTCCTCGAGGCAATTCATTTCGTTAATTACTTGCTAACTACCGATAATAAGCTCGCGTTGAGTAACGCCACAAAAATACCGCTCTTTATCTCCCGCCGATCTCGGAGCGTCGATTTGTATCTACGACGTTTTTCCAGTTCTGACAGCTGCGTTAATGTCGTAAAATCGAAACGAAATTTTGAAATCCGCGATCGCACGCGATGTGTTTTCTCTGAATAATTTTTTAAAGTAACTCTTGAAAAAACACAAGTGTGAAACAAACTTTGCTTGTTTTGTTGTTGAAAAAATCAAACGAAGAAAAAATCAAATAAATGTTAAAATATTTATTTACGTTAACTTGTTTGCGTTGTTTTTTGACTCTATTTCTCCAAATCGGTTTGGCATTTGACGCGAAACAATGATATAAATATTATTATATTCACCATAATGTTTCGAAACACACTTGCGCACCAATCAAATCTTAAAAAAAAAAAAAAGAAACGCCAGGTATACTTCTTGAACTCACCGCGAACACTGCTCGACCGCTATATAAAGTCGCTGGTGACTTAAAGTGAAAACGTGTTTTAAAAAAAAAAAAGTCTCAAATGAATACACTCTCTCGTGTGTTCTTATTTTTATTTTTTTTTTTTTTTTTTTCACGAGAATTGGTACAAATCGCTCGCACACGCGCACGCGATCGTGTCCGTGACGCGACTGATTGTGAACAGCGAGAGAGCGTGGCGATCTAGGTTGTAGATCTGTGGATCGTGACGTTGGCGGTCGATGAGGAAACATCGTCGACTCACGGTCGGCTTTAGCACGTCGAACAGAGTGGATACATTGTCTGCTGAGGAAAATCTGAAACGAGGAGAAACTCAAGGAAACTCCAGTTCCAAACAATTTATATATTTCATTTCGCGCTTGCATCCGTGAATACGTGAAATAAGAAGATAACATGTCTCACGTTTTTCAAATGCAATAAATAAATAATTTTCTAATTTTTATTATTTCTCTATATTTTATTTATATTTCTTCTATTTCTCTTGATTAGAAAATAACACGAACGAGAAATGTTAATGAATGAAGCGAGAAAAATGTCCACTTAAAACGTTGACAGTCCATTTAAATCATTGACACACGTGACACAAAGAACAGTTTGCAAAAGTCTGGCGTTTGAAACATGTGAAACTAAATAAATACAAGCAATTTGTATTTATTTGGCTGACAAATCCGTCAGCTTCTGGTTCGATTAATTTTTTTTTTCATCCATTGTGTCCGTGATGGTTTACAAACATTTGATTTAAAAAATTTCGATAAATGTTTGTCGAGGGCTCTGAAGAGAGATTCTTCGACGTTGCGGCCTTGATGTGACCACAACACATGCGTACATTCCAATCGCATAAGCACACTCGTAACGCGCAAGTATGCACGCTCCATAAATTTACATGGCATCCGCCACTAACGCAATCAAAGAAAACCGAGAAAAACTCACGCTCAAGAAACGCCTCATAAATTATCTCGTCATCCGACGATCATGTAATTTTAATGACGTTTTTGTTTTTAAACTCAAACAGGTTTTCTTATTACAATAAAACAATTGTTTGCGTCGGGCTAATCTAATAGTGAAGCTATTTTTGCGCCGCGTTCAGCTCTTTACTGCTAAAATTGTTTCTTGCGTTGCATTTCTAATATCTCTTTTTTTTTTTTGTACAAAAAAGAGATTCACATTAGAAATTTTAATTTCTTCTGACATTTAGTAAGTATAAATGTTTCCTTTCGTTACATTTTATTTGTTTACACTTTATATGCATTTCTATTAGTTTTTTATTATACTAGCACAATACAGGCGCGCTCGCTATTGTCATTTTTATTTTAACGTGTTGTGTAAGTTAACACAATCTGTTACCGCAATGACAGCTGGTATATACGTCTTATAAAACATAATATACATATGAGAGATGTCAGAAATAACGCGTGAAAATCAAACTCGAAAAATAGTGAGAGAAAAGTGGAAAAAAACAACACGTGACTAAATTCACGTGACAGAAAAAAGAGTAAAAAAGAGAATATTATATATATTATATATAAAACTCTATATCTATATATAATACACACATACACACATATATATACATATCGTAATCACGTGATCGGGCTCAGTGACCCCGCCGCGGCCGCGCGGCCGAGGTCAGTGACCCCGCCAAGGTCGCGCGACCGAGGTCAGTGACCCCGCCGCGGTCACGCGACCGAGATCAGTGACTTTACTCTGTTGTATGTATATAATACATATAATATAATATAAAGTATAATATTATAAATATATAATAAATTATATGTATAATATATAGTATTTAATGTTATATATAACAAATTACAGTCACGTTACTTTAGTCACGTGTTGTTTTTCTACTTTTTCCTGTCACGTGACTTTACTTTAGTCACGGTTTTTATTTTCTCCACGTATACGACAAACTGTCAAAATCGCTTCTCTATCAATAATACAATAATTACTCTCTCAATCTTACCGATTCGATTCGACTCGATTCGATCAATCAATCGGCAACGCGAAAAAGAGGCAACAATAGATGCGATATATTCGATATGAAAACGCGCACTTCGCGGTCCAAATAGATTTTTTTATATAGAGAGAGAAAAACGAGATTACTTTTTATCATATTTTTTATTGTACTTTACGTAATCCGCGGTTGAAATTAATACTCGCACACATTAACACACGCGCGTGTGTAATCAACCAGAACGAGTCTGTCTGATAATATATCCGTTCCATTTGTAGAACAGAATTTAATGTAAAAGTTCGAGCTTTTCAATTTTAAGGAAATTAAATTTTGTGCCGTCGCTCACCGACACGGCACTTAACGTGTTAACGTAACAAGTTACAAAAATTGAGTTACGACAAAAATCAAGAGAAAAAGGCTAATTGCGCGTTTAAACAATTTGCAAGCGACGATAGTTTATAATTCTTGTAACAATTTTTGCAACACGACGCGATTTGACAAATGTCATCGGTGTCACGTGCAACGGTGCGACAGTGACAGCTGTTGTGTGTTGATCTTTGGTTGTCGTGACGACCGGGTTCGAGCAAGCACCCCCTGGTGAAGCACCCGGTCGGAGCGGATCTTTCTTTATTCCCGTTGACTGAGCAATTCGCTTGCTTTAAACTCTGGAAAATGGTAGTCGTGGACAAACCCAGGCATCTAATTGTTCTCACAGCTGGACATTTCTTCGGCACGGGACAGCAAACCGACGATGACATCGAGGATCGAGAGATTCTCGATCGTTTTCTGGAGCAATCGTCGTGCAGAACTCTGTGCGCCCGGCCGATCGACGAGGATCGGAATCGCTTGAAACTGACCATCGAGGTCCCGGCTGGCAGAAACACACTTGTTTTTTTTAAGGTAACGGACACGCGTTTTTGCAATGTCACGGACGATGACATTTCAGCGCGGTCGTCACGCTCGCTGATGAGCCTGACGTTTTTTTTCTTCTTCTTTTTTTCGATAAAAGGCAATTTTCTTCTCCAAGGCAAATTGCGACAAGAAGATTGTCGTGGTTTTATTTATTTGTTTGCTGACAATGCGAAAACCGCAGGTGACAGCGGCGCCGATCACAGGAGACAACTTTCACGACGTGGTTCAAGTGGCTTCCACCGGTTGCGGTGACAGTACGGTATTGATAGAAGGTCTGCGGCAAGTATGGACACCGACCCTCGAATCGTCCGGTTTGAACACGTCATGTCTGAGAAAATTGGAGGAGAAACTGCTGAGTTCCGGATTTTCAATCACCGTCGCGGAGGAGGAAGAATATTGGACGAGGAGAAGGGACGAGGTCAAACGGTCGCACGAGAAAGCGACTTGCGACGAAGCCGTTAAACTGATAAAAAGCATCAGGATCGAATTAGAAAGCGCCGCGGTGTCCAGGTTCGCGCGATTCAAATATTCGAAACAAAAAGCGCGCAAAAAATAACTGATGAAAAAAAAGACCGACACTTGGAACAACTCGAAGCTCAGAACAGAGTTCGTCAAAATCGATCTTATTTTTTTCACAGAGACGGATTGATCGCCGTGGAAGAGGCTTGCGAAGCTATTTCGGTATTCGCGGACGATTTGTGGAAACTTGGAGGACCGGCGTACACCGAGGAACGAATGAAGTCGCTTCTAGACGTGATTGGAAACGAAGTGGTCAAATTAACACAAAGCTATCTCGATGCGGTACGTTCGCGAAAAAGAAAAAAAAATATCACGAGGTAAGAAAAATTATTGTCAATCGACACGTTCGACAGGTCGGTGTAACTGACGCTCGTGCGAGGGACGAGACAATCGCTCTCGGAGCTACGGTGTGCGAAAAGTGGACGAACGTCACGCAGAAATTGACGGAGCTTTTCTGGCCGCATCACTCGCTGCATCCTTGGCGCGGAGCGATCTTCGTTCCTGAAAAATGCTCCAAGTTCGGCAAAATCCTCAGGTGAGGTCAACGCGACGTGCCGCCGTTCTGCCGTTTTTTTTTTTGTTTTTTAAAGCGAGCAATGAACCCGATCGCGCAATTTTTTCAGACAAATATCCGAGTTGCGAGCACAACATCGCCAACTGAGCAGACTTCTGACTCCCAACGAAAGATCCGGTCTCGGCATCGACGCTCTGCTCCAAGCGCTGGACGACACGAAAAGTAAGTTTCGCTTTCCGTGAAAAAAGAAATGAATTTTTATAAAACGAAAATTGCAATTTAGAAAATATACAAATATCTTGGTGATGTAGTTGCGTTGAACGACGACGAGCGGGACGGCGAATGGGAGAGACTGAGGAGTAAAATCGAAGAGGGTTTGGCGCCGGCTGAGGAACGCGTCGCCCAGAAGCTGAAAAACCACATAGCCGACGCCGATACTCCGAACGCTATGGTGGCTGAATTCGCGCGATACAGCGAACTGATCAAGAGGGAGAAACTCAAGGGAGCATTGCGCGGAGAACGGGAGTCTCTGCTTTCGGCGTATCGCGATCTGATCGGTAGAATCGCTTTTAAACGTGTCAAAATCTTCTTTTTTTTTCTTCACGTAGGGAAAATTCTCACGAACACTCTCGACACGCGCGGATATAAATGTTTAATATAAAATTCTAGAAAATCGCTTAGCCGGTCCCGACACGGAAAATCTCTTGGACGCTCCCAGAATATTGCAGGAGATTCAGGCCGCTAGATCGGCGGAAGTGCGATTGGAGAGCCTGGCTAAATTGGGAAAAGAGTTGCTCGCCGATCTCCCGGGCTACAAGGAGGTGGCGGCGCGACTATCGAACGCGTTGAAGGAAGTCGAGGAGAAGAAGCAGGATCTCATTGAATCATGGGTATAATTTTAGTAAACACACACGTAATAAAACTCTCGCCATTATTTTTCAACAAATTCAATTACTGGTCCAGGTGACCAACACCAAGAACGACATAACGAGAAAAGAATTGAGCCTGGGCACCGATTCGCCGGTGGTCGAGCTCACCGGCACCAGCATGATGCGGGTTACGTACGATCCTCGACTGATGACTCTGATCAGAGAGGCCAGAGCGTTGTCCGGCGAGGGCGTCGAACTGCCGAGAGAGATCAGAGAGCTGGTGGACAGAGCCGCGTCTTTGGCCGGACGTGCGAGAGCTCTTCAGCAAGTCGCCACCTTTCACAACACGATCGGCGATCGGATGGTGCCGTCTCAAAGGCCTCTCATGCTGACCATAGCTCTCGAATTGGCCCGGGCTGTTCAGGAACAATCCGGTGTTGTCTGGTCCGATCCCCATCTCGTCGATGTCTACACCGCTCGATTGAAAGAACTGGTGAGGAAACAAACGCATTTCTTGTCTGTAAAAATAATAGAAGAAGAAAAAGAAGAGAGAATTGATTAAAAAAAAAAATATGTTCAAGCGACAAATGCGACTTGCAGGTGGTAAAATTCGCTCGACAAAATTCGGAACTGATTTCGAAGCATTGCACGTTGCGAGACTACGTGTCGAATCTGCTGAAAGGCGACGCGGTGCATCTCGTGGGAAATCAAAACATATGGAAAGAGACGCTCACGAACATGAGAGCGATCGTTGACGCCGTGGATTCGGAGTACGGCAACGCGAGAGCTTGGAAGCTGCACTGGGATCGACAACTGTTGAAAGCACTGAGTGTGGCGTACAGGTACAAAACGACGCAATTTTTTTTAAAAGAAGTTCAACAAGTAAAAAAGCTTTGCGCCATGAATTACGTTTTCATTTTTAATCTGTAGAAGTGCCTTGCCGTCCTTGTCACGAAAATTGTCGGAGATTCGGGTGGAGCTCACCTTCCGGGACGGATCTCTTCAGTGGAGACCACCGCTCGAGGACATTCGCGCCAAGTTGTACTCCGGCATAAGGCGATCGCTTTCGATCCCGATAAACTTTCGAGGCGTGGGTGACGTAGCGGACGCGCATTTCGGAGATCTGGTTCAGAAGAACGCGTACCTCTTCAGCGGCGTTTACAAGCAAATCGAAATTGTGCTGTCCACTCTGGAGTCGTTCAGGATCAAGTGGCTCGGTCTGGCAACGCCGGCCAACATTGACGTCGGGGAGCAGTGAGTTAAAATCAAACTACAAAATACTTTTACATCGTTGTGTTGTTTATTACACACGCGTACACGTTGAATTTCCAGATTGAAAAACAAACCTCCTCAAGAATGGGCGAAAGCCTTCAAGGAGGCCAAACAGTGGGCTCAAGAGGTAAGTCGTTCGCGCAAAATATCGTCTTGTCTTTTGTTCGATAAAGCAAAAAAATATTTGAACGCAGGTTGGAAAATTGCGAGGTTGCGACGTAAAGATCTCGTGCGTGTGCGTCGATACGGCGACAACGAGGAGCGACTTGGAGACCGCGTCTCGTCGTTACTGGGAGCGTTTGTGTTCCGATTTGAGAACGGAGGCTTCGTCGCGGCTGATGGCCGTCGTGGATTTTCTGTCCTTCGCGTCCAAGGAGCTCGAGCGCAGACCACGAGACGCGGAGGAGGTCGGACTGGCTCACGAAGCACACGCGCGCATCGAGCAACAGTCGGCCGGGATCGCCGACGAAATGGAGGCAGTTGCTGTGCTAGCCAAAGTTATGGCTGCTTGGACCAGCGAGAAACTCGACGGTTAGCATTTGGTCAAGCAAAAAACGCATTTAATTTCGCGGAATTTCTGAGAAACTGATTTTTTTATCTAATCGCGAACAACCCACGCGGGGTCTTAACAAAAGTCTTTCTCTCTGTTGTACACACTCGAATGCAGGCGTTACAGCGGCCCACGCTGCTTGGCAGGAGTTAGGAGATCGTCTGGAGAAGCACAAAGCCGTCATGGCACGTCTGTTGGAAGACGCCAAAGTCAATCTTCGTCACAAAGCGATAGCGTTGAGAGACGAGAGAGAAAGATGGCAGGCCAAGTGGTCCAAGAGATCCGACAACATCACCCTGGACTGGCTGATGTTGATGAAGGAACGTTGGATCAATCTGAACGAGCAAATGAATTCTCTGAAATTAGATTGCAAGAGAATCTCTCTGGATCTCGAAACCGTTTTCGAGGACGACGAGATCAATCTGTCGCAATTGGAGCGTGAGCTTGAAAGCGAGGAGTCAAATTACAGGTAATTGTTTTCAAAAACATTTTTAAATATATTATTTACGATCTTATTCCGATGAACGACGAGGAAAAACAATTTGTTCAGATTCCAATCTGAGTTTTTGGAAGAACTGAGGAACCAAGAGACCGAGGAGTGGGCCGTGGCCAGGAAAAGATTGCCGAGGCTTCACGACTGGCTCGATTCGTGGGAGAGTAAAATTCACTTAGAGAACAATCACGAAATCGACACTTACGTCGGCAAAAAGATAAACGAAGTCAGATCGGCGATCGAGGCCGTTCAGCTGCTTCGCGGCGACGAGCTCGCCGAGGAACACTGGACCGAGTTAATTCCCATACTCGGTTTGAAGGTCGAGAACGCGCGAGACATCACTTTGGGTCACGTGTTCGCTTGTACAAAAGTCTTGAAGGAAAACGAAGATAAAATAAAAGTATAAGAACATCTCAAGGTTATCGATCTGATGATGATGTGAGTGTATGTTACATTTAACGTTTATTTGTGTTTTTAAGACAATAACGAAACGAGCGCTCGCGGAAAGCGGGATTCGGCAGGCCTTGATAGATCTGGAGATCTGGGAAAGTACAGCGTCACTTTCGATGCAAGAATCCACTGACAGTAAAAACACGACCGTTCTGATCGTCGGAGACTACGGCAGCTTGTTGGCAAAAATAGGTACTCTATTATTTGCTGAAAAGTTCTACTAGGTAACTTTTATCTTACATTTTTTAAAAAACACAAATTGAACACATTAACAGAGGAGCTGAGGCTTTTGCTCGAAGGAGCGAAAGGTACATCGGGACACGACAGGTTCGTGTCCAGAGTTGCGCGTTGCGAAGCCGCCCTGTCGGAGCTCGAGGAAAAGATCAAGATCCTCGGCATCGTGCAGAGAAAATGGATCTATTTGGATCCGGTTTACGGGAGCGGAGCCGCCCCCAATGATTCCGGAAGATGGTCGAGAGCTGACAAGGAATTCAGGTTTGGCAGTTCACAGGAGCGATATGTCTTCGTCTGCTCTGACCTTAATTATCTTTTTCTTATTCTTTATACGTTGATTTTTTTGTTTCTATTTCAGATACCTCATGGCCGAAGTGTCTCGGGATCCTAAAATACCGTCGTTGAGACAATTTTCCTTGTCGGCTTTGACAAATTTGAAGGATCTATTGGACAGGTGTCAGAAAAGTCTGGACGAATTTTTGGAGGTAGAGTTTGCAACAATCGCGCGCAAGATGGAGAAGCTTTTTAGGGAATTGTACTTTTCATCTCTTTTGTGTATCGGAAACTGTTTTAATTACAGGAAAAACGAACGGCTTATCCCAGACTGTACTTCCTCAGCGACGAGGATCTTCTCGAACTGATATCAGGTAGTACACGAGGCCTGGAGGCTCACTTGCCGAAGTTGTATCACGGTTTGGGTTCGGTGGTGAGAGAAAACAACACGTTAACGGCGATCGTGTCGCCCGAGGGAGAAGTACTGAGGCTGCCCGAGGCCGTCGAGCTCGCTGAGCCACTGCCGCAATGGCTGGACAATCTCGAGAGAGGAATGAAAAACGCTCTCCGTCAGAGTTTGGACAAGTGTTTGAACGACTCCACGCCCGATCCGTCCGTCTATCCCACGCAGATACTGTTGTTCACCGAGAGAATAGGATTCACCGAGCGTTGCGAGCGCGCGCTCAAACAGGGCCACGCGGCTCTGCAGAAGCTCGTCGAGTTTCTGGAAACGCAGAGGGCGAGATACAGAGGATTGGAAGACGCCGGCGACAAATTGACCGCGCTTAAAGCGCGCAATCTTCTTCTCGACACTGTTCATCATCTGCAAGTGGCCAGGACCTTGTTGAGAATCGTCGCAACCGGCGAAAACGCCGGCTGGATCTGGCACAAACAATTGAGGAGTTACAGAACCGTAAGTATAAAAAAAAAAACAAATAAATAAATCAATTAATAGTAAAAGTGATACGAAGCGCGATGTTTTAAACAGAGTCAAGGCATGTACGTGGTGCGATGCGCTGGCGCGGAGTTGCCGTACCGCTTCGAGTACCAAGGCGCGTCCATCGGCCTGGTGAGGACTCCCTTGACAGAAAGATGCTTCCTGGCGCTCATGCAGGCTATGAAGCTCGGACTGGGCGGAAGTCCAACCGGCCCAGCCGGAACGGGAAAAACCGAAAGTGTCAAAGCTCTGGCGTCTATCCTGGGTAGACTAGTGCTCGTTTTTAATTGTGACGAAGGTGAGGAACTCATTTCTCTTAACTTTTTCTGGAAAAAAAAACGATTGAAGAAGAAGCAATTGCTCTCTACACGCGATTTGATTTCGTGGACAGGAATGGATACCGGCAGCATGAGACGAATCCTAGGCGGTTTGGCGCAAGCCGGCGCCTGGGGCTGCTTCGACGAGTTCAATCGCCTCGAGGAGGACACTCTGAGCGCGGTGGCGATGTTGGTGAGGCCGCTTCAGGAAGCGCTTCGAAACGGATCGCCCGAAATTTTGCTGGGCGATCAGAAGGTCAAGTTGAATTCGCACTGCTGCATCTTCATCACCATGAATCCGGCCGGGACCGAGTACGGGGGTAGGCGCAAACTACCGGATTCCCTGGCGAGACTCTTCCGACCGATCAATATGGCGCATCCGGACAAGCTTGACATCGTGAGAACTTTGCTGGAGTGCGCCGGTTTTCTGGAAGCGGCCACTCTCGGCAAACGACTCGTGGAGGCTCTCGATATCGCCGGGACCATGCTCTCCGAGCAGCCGCACTACGACTGGGGCCTCAGAGCGCTCAAGTCCGTGCTCGACGCGTTGCGCCCGATCGCCGGCGCCGACGAGACCACCAGGTGCGCTTTCTTCAAGGAAAAAAAAGATAAATCTGTTTGGTTTGTTTTGCGATAAGCTTTGGAAAGGATAAAAATTATTTCTCTTACTTGACAGACTTCTAGTCTCGATCAAAGCGTCAACCTTGCCGAAGCTGACGGAGGCCGACACGGCGAAGTTTCTTTCGCTGCTGAACGATCTCTTTCCGAAGACCAATTCTTCCGAATCCACGGAGAACGAGGATCTGGTTGTCGTGCTGTTGAAAGTCTGTGACTCACGCGGACTGACGAAGGAGATCGCCAACAGATGCGTTCAACTGAACGATCTGCTGAAGAGCAGAACCGGCGTCGCGATCGTCGGCCCGGCGGGCAGCGGGAAAACGTCAATCAGATCGTGTTTGGCCGAGGCGATGACGAAGATAGGCAAATCCGTGTCGCAGGTAATCGTTTATCCCGGCGCGATGCCGAAGAAGAGATTGCTAGGATACGTGAATCCACGAACGAGAGAATGGAAGGAGGGTGTTCTGTCGAGTACGATAATGTCCGCCGGAAATTCCGCCACCTGGATCGTCTTCAACGGAGACGTGGAGCCCGAATGGGCGGAGGCGCTCAACTCAGCCTTGGACGATAATCGACTGCTCACGTTGCCTAACGGAATAGGAGTTAAACTCGGTAGCGGCACAAGGTGAAAACAAATTTGCGTGATTTGACGTTTAATTAAATATCTATATCGCGATGATGAATTGTTCAAGATAAAATGATTAATTGCGAAACAGGTTTATTTTCGAGACGCACAAACTTGCCGGCGCCAGTCCCGCTACAGTTTCGCGACTGGGTGTTCTCCACTTGGGATCAACGAAGTCGACGTCTTTACTGGTGCCGTCGAGATTGGAACAACTTTCTTCAACGGTTGCGGAGGTCGCGAACGCTCATTTATGTTCGTGCATAGACGAAACCCTGAAGACAAATGCCGACGGCTTGTCCGCAGCCGGTCTGATGTCTGCTGCACTGTGTCACCTATGTAGATCGGAAACCTTCACTCAAACCACTCACGCACTTTTGGTCTCATTATGCGGCCACATTAAAGACACACAGTCTAGAGACAATTTGGCGAAATTTATTTACAGCTCGACCGACGGTTGGTGAGTGATCAAACGTATAAAATAAGTTTTACAAGTTCTTACATTATTTTAAATATTCTTTCAGGTGTCCTGATCCACAAAAACCAAATGCGGTTCTCTACGATCGTGAAACCGATCGACTGATGCCCTACGGTGACACGTTCGAGTCTGTTGACAGCGACCGCGGACCTGTTTCGATTTCAGGTGATATAAAAAATATGATTATTGAAATTAGAATAATACGAAGAATGAAAACCAAAAGAGTAGGATAAATTATATGTTCGATTTAATGTACCGCAGATCGCGTTAGAAAGACACTGGCGGCTATTTTACCTTGGATAGAGGACGGCCATCCGATCATGATTCGCGGATCTCAAGCTTGCGGCAAAAATGTTCTGATTGATCTCGCGTTGACGAGGATCAAGAATTACGAAGACGTGACCGTGGTGAGAGGATCTTCGCTCTACGGTATCGACGATCTCGTGACTCGTTTGAAGAAGGCGTGTCTGCGTCTGGAATCTTCCTCGCAAGGTAGAACGTACAAACCGAGAAGCGGATCGCGAGTGCTTCTTGTCTTGGAAGACATGCACCTTGCCGCCAAAAACTTACAGGTAGTATCTGCTTTTGGGGTTTCTTTTTTTGTCTATTTGTTAAGTCACACAGTAAATCTTAGATAATTGCGTGGATCTCTTGATTCTATCGGTCTAACCGAGAGGAGAAAACAAACATCGCAACTCAACGCGACGTAATTGTCTTCAGGAGTTGGTGAGAGAATTGATTCAGGAGGAAGGATTTTTGGAAGACGACCTTGTATTTTCCAAAGTGTCCTTAACAATCGTATGCACTGCCGATACGTCCGCTCGATTGCATCCCAGACTCGAAGCTTTGTTTGCAACTTGTTACCTGGAGTAAGTAACGATATATCAAATCTTTGCAAAAACGTGCGAAATAAAAAGAAATACCTAATAACATAAAATCATGTCAATCATCAGACCTCCAAGCCAAAAGGAAGTCGCGATAATTCTCGAACTTCACTTGAGAACTTCTTTGAAAAAAGTGGACTACGTTATGGCGGAATCTTGGATCGTCCGAATGAAACCTAATATTTTGGACGCTTTTCGATTCGCGTATTCCGCTCAGGAATCGTCTTTCGTCTGGTCCCTTAAAGACTTCGTCTTTTGGACAATGGGCCTCAAATATTATCCCACGCCGGAAAACGAAGCGGACATCACTCGTTATCTGTTGGACATCGGACAACGTCTGTTTCGCGCTAGGTGACTTTGATTATTTAGAAATTGTGTGTAAAAAAAAGAGACTTTTAATAATAAAATTTTTCGCGATGTAACCGCTTTTCGTTACAACTTCTCGTCCAGATTAACGCCCAAATCGCTAAAGCGATGGGAATCCTTGCTACTTTCGAAACAATTCGACGTGAAGGACTTCGACGACGATACGTACGTGTGGAAGGACGCAAATATCGGATTATATCCTTTGAGCAAGGAACAATGGCGCGAGGAGATAATCACCACAGCAGCCAGATGCGCCAGGGAAGGTCAACCGATACAGACGTCGATTTCATCCTATCTTTTGGAAACTGTAGCTGGTAATAATTAAAAATTTTAATTAAATCTAATTAAATGTATTTTTAACAGAAACGGCTTGCAATATTTTGTAATATTATTTCGCAGGACTGAATTGGGCTATAGGATGCGATTTTCGCGGGATAATTTTGATTGGGCGACCAGGAGCGGGCAGGAGATCGGCGGTCAAACTGGTTGCGACTTTCTCTTCTTTTCGACTGATCGACTCAGGACCTGGTACATCACAAGTTACAATTTGCTACAAGTTGTATATTATTTTATAGAAAGAAATTCAATGTAACTTATCTCTTTTGGTGTGTTATCGGCATTAATTTCTCGATTTCGGGGTTGCAGAACGCGGTAAGGTGGCGATAAAAAACGCCGTGCAGAGCGCCGGTGTCGAGGGTCAATCCGTCTTGCTTCTGTTGGAGGAACATCACGCGAGGGAAGAAACTCTGGCCGTGTTGGTGAGCGCCATAGTGTCCAAGGGCGAAATCCCGGAGCTCTTCACCGCGGAGGAATTCGAGACGTTGGTCGCACCGTTGGCCGATTTAGCTCGAAGAGAAGATTTTCAGGGAACGTTAGAGCATTACTTGTATCATCGTACGTATATGTTTAGCAAATTGTTTGTTTTTGAAAAAAACTTGCCGAGTAAAACGCGTTTTATATTTTTTTCAGGCTTGCGCAAGTATCTTCGAGTAGTTGTGATCTTGGATTCAGAAGACATCGAATCGTCGTGGTTCCTGCGTCTGGGTCTTCTGCGATACTGCGCGCTTCTCGGGCCCGGGTTCAACGAGTGGTGGTCCCGTGAGAGCTCGCTGATCGACTTGGCGGTGCAGGAGGAAACTTTGCAACTGCGCGAGGACGAAGAACCGCCAGCCGGCGCGAGGATCATACTCGAGGCCCATTTGCAAGCACCGCGACATCAGAAGGCGCCGGCGAGATTTCTCGCTCTCATACACACGTGGAAACGTCTTCGCGACACGTGGAGCAAAGAGGTCGAAGAGAAGTTGCGATCACTCGAGGCTGGCATCGGAAAGCTGGGAGAAGCCGGCGAGCAAGTGGCCAAGCTCGAGGACGAAGTATCCAGGCAACGTCAAGAACTTGAGGTTCGCGCGCCACAATTTTTTACAACTTACAATTTTTAAGCTCGTGTTTAAATTTGTTGTTTGTTTATTACGCGAAGACGGAAAAGGGAAGAGCTAACGCTGCTCTCGAGCAGATCACCGCCACGATGAGAGGCGCGACCAATCAGAGAGGAGAGATGACGAGCTTGAAAGCCAAGACCGAAAGCGAAAGCGTCGAACTCGCGCGGCGCAAGGTGACGCTTCGAACTGTTATTATTATTATTATTATTAATTTTGCGTGTAATTAAAAATAATGTTTGTTCTTTAAAAATAGGCGGATATTGAAAGCGAATTGGGAAAAGTGGAGCCTCTCGTCGAACAAGCTGCTCAAGCGGTGGCTGGCATAAGTGCCGACGCGTTAGCTGAAGTTCGCTCGTTGAGAGCTCCGCCGGCGCCCGTGAGGGACGTGCTCGAGGGTGTTCTCCGGCTGATGGGCATAAAGGACACATCTTGGAACAGCATGAAGACTTTCCTCGCAAAGCGAGGTATCAAGGATGAGATCAGGTAAGAGAGATTACGTTATATCGATCCCAACTTACATCCACTTCTTTTTTTTTCTCATCGCCTTCACTCTTACATTTTTTAGAACGAGGAAAACCTTGTTTTTTTTTTTTTTTAATATACATATCTAACGCGCAGAAACTGGGACGCGAGACGTAGCACATCAGCCAGTTTGGAAGCGGTCGCCAAATTAATAAACGAACGTCCGGAGAGTTTCGAGGAGAAAACGGCCAAGAGAGCCTCGGTGGCGGCTGCCCCGCTGGCCGCTTGGGTTCTCGCTAATCTCCAGTACGGCCAGATATTGGAACAGGTTGCTCCTCTGGAACGAGAACAGAGACAACTGGCCGAGTACGTTTTCCTCCTTTGTCTTTCAAATTTTTTCGTGCGTGACAAATATTTTACTTTTTTGCTTTTTTGCTTTCGCGCTTAAGACGATTGGCGGCGGCCGAGACGCAGTTGGGAAAATTGTCGGAGGGACTGAACACGGTGGAAAGTCGCGTGGCGCAGCTTCAAAAGGAGCTCGCCGAACACACGAGAGGCGCGGCCGAGCTTCAGCTGCGAACCGAAGCCACGGAGGCGAGTCTGTCGACAGCGCGGGCTCTTTTGCAAAAACTCGACACCGAACATCGCGACTGGCAGTCTCAATATCAAGAACTGACCGCTAGGAAGGAGAGACTGGACGTTGAAGCGGCCAACGCGGCCGCCCTGCTGGTGTATCAGGTGTGTTTCCACTTTTACTGTTTGAAAACGAAAAATCGAACGGAAGAAGTTAATTGATTCGCTTGATTATTGATAAACTGACAGGTTGAAAGCAAGTGATATTTCAATTGTGTGTATGCGCACAGGACCCCAAGAGAGATGACACCTGGCAAAAAGCGGCCATCAAACTGCTGGTGACCGAGCGGGAGCGACTGCAATGGAGAGCACACGGTTTGCCAGCGGACACGAGCAGCTTGGTCGCGGCCTCTCGCGCGCTAAAGGGACCTTTGGTGTCTATTTTCTTGGATCCCTCGGGCGTGGCTGTGTCTTGGATCAAACGCAGCATCGGCTCCGGACTCGAAGTCACGCAGCCGGGAAATACGAAATTTCTGACAACCGTGGAACTCGCGGTGCGATTCGGAAAGCCACTTTTGATCGAGGAACTGGTCGAGTTCCCGTCGGTCTTGCTGCCCGTTCTCCGCCGGAAACCTCTCAGGTTGGGCGATCGCATTCTGCCGGCTCAGCAAGGATTTCAACTCTTCTTGGCCACCAGAAAGGACAGGATGGAGGACGTTCCGAGAGAGGCCGATGCTGTGTTGTGCCACATCGCGCTCGGCGCCGGCACGAAGAGCTTGACGGAGAGATTCGTGGAGAAGGTATATAGGAAAAATATGAATTTTTTGTTTGTCCACAGAACAAAATCTTTATCTTATTTTTGAAAAATATATTTGTGTGAGATAATTAAATAATTTCGACGCTATTCCGTCAAGCTCCTGTTGAACGAAACGCCGGAGCTCGAGGCGCAAAGAAGAGAAGCTTTGGAGAGGGAGGAGAAATTGTCCGGGGAACGAGACGCGGCCAGACTCGAGCTGTTGAGTCAGTTGGCCACAGCCAGGGGCCAGGATCTCCTGCAGGAATCCCAGGAAGAGGGAGGACTCTTGTCCACGCTGGAGGCGACGCAGTCGAAAGCGAAGGAAATAACGGCGGCTCTCGAGAAGAGCAGACAGAACCTGAACGAAGTCTCCAAGTACACTTTTTTCTTTCAACGCGCGATTTTTCGGATTCGAAGGTTCAACGTCAGTTTTTTTTTTTTTTTTTATCGCTGTCTTCCTTTCAGACGGGCTAAGGATCACGAGCAATTCGCGCAGTTCGCCGCCAACGTTTACGAGACCATCAGAGGCGTAACGGTTCTCAGTTCTCTGTACGTTATTTCCGCGGAAGCTTACACGGACATCTTGCTGAAGGCGGTACAGGTTGACAGTTCGTCGGGCGAAGACAAGGACAGAAAAAACTCGCTGATCGAAAAACGGTGCGACATAATTTCCGTCGATTCCGTCGATGTCAACATTTGCGATAACGTGCGGTCTCGTTATTATTTTTAGATTGATAATTCTGACGTATCACCACTGCGCGAAAGCGATCTACAGAAAGCACCGACTTCCTCTGGCGCTGCACATGGCGTTGTCGTTAAATCCGATATCGGAGGTCGAGAGAAATTTCCTATTCGACAAGGGCGGAAACGGCGGCGCCGATAATTCGGACTTCGAACCGCCCGAATGGATACCGGACGAACGGTGCGACGCTGTGCGAACGTTGGGTTCCTTCTTGCCGGATGTACGTGAACGCGATCATTCGACGAAGATGTCCTTTAACGATTTCAAAAAATCCGAGAGATTTTAAAAAATTTCAAAACATCTCTCTGTATTTTTTTTTTTTCATTAAAGGTGGCCGCTAGGATAAAACCTTCCTGGTTGAAGGACACCTCCGGCATTTTCGCGGACAGTGAGCTCAGTCCTTTTCAGAAAGTCCTGGTCCTGAAAGCTCTGCGACCCGATTATTTGCACACCGCTCTTTCCAAGTATGCCGCCAAGCAGTTAGGTGAGTGTCATCCCCATATTTGCATCAACATATCGATTGTCTAATTCGCGAATTTGCTGACAAAAGGATTGAAGAACCTGGCACCACCTCTGTGGACGTTAAGCGCGATCGCTCAGGAAAAGGAAGCGTATCCCGTGCTGTTGCTTTTGTCACCGGGAGCCGATCCTGGTCCCGAGCTCGGCGCGCTGGCTACGAAACACGCGGCCGCTGGATTTACGGAGATTTCGTTGGGGCAAGGACACGTCGCTCAAGCGGAACAAGCGTTGGAAACCGCATGCAGGTTGTAATCTCCGCGAATATTACGATTGTACGAAAAAAGTTAGGGTTTTTTGAATTTAGGTTTTTTTATTATCAAAAATTCTTTTAATCATTAAAACTCAATTATTTCAAGAATCACCAGTCACGAGCGTTGTCTGTCATCGATTTGCAGACACGGCAGCTGGATATTGCTGAGCAACTTGCAGCTCGCGCTAAACTGGTTGCCGCGACTGGAGAGCTTGCTTCGGTCGCCAATGTGCACCTCGAACAAAAATCCCTCCGCGAGAATCTGGCTGACCACCGAGGAATGCTCGGGATTCTATCCGGGTCTGGCGGGGCTGTGTTTGAAACTTGCTTACGAGCCTCCCGAGGGCGTGAAGAGAAACATGAGGAAATCGCTTCAACAATTTCGACAGTCGCAACGTACCGACGACATTTCGGCCGCCGTTTTGGCGCTCTCCTGGTTGCACGCGACGTTGCAGGAACGACGGAATTTCGTTCCCCAGGGTTGGATCAGATCGTACGAGTGGAACGAGTCGGACTTCGAGGCGGCTTACGAGTTGCTGATCAAAGACGCGGCGAAGGAAAAGCGATCGCAGCAAGGTGTGAGGTCTTTTAAATTGTGGCGCTTCTTTTTTTTCAATGTTCGATGAGAAAAAAATTGTAACCTGCGTAAAATGTGTTTGTAACGAGAAAGAGGGAGACTGGCAGATTGGCAGAGGTTTGCTCGACGTTGCGGTCTACGGCGGTCGTCTTCAGGACGATTACGACGCGAGGGCGTTGCGCTCGATGATACGCGACGTGTGGTCCCGAGACATCTTCGACGGTCGTCGAAAACTGGGAAACGCGTTGAAAATAACCGACGCGGTCCTCGGCGATCCGATAAAGTCGCTCGAGAACTTGGACGATGTCGACTCGCCCAAGGAGTACTTCGGACTTCCCGCGAACGCTTACAGAGCGTGGGAGAGAGCCGCCGCCGAGAACGCTCTGACATATTTGGAATGTAAATATTTTTTTTTCAAGTCTGTGCGAATTAATTTAAATTGTTTCACATACGTTCTTCTTTCAACAAATCACTTTCAAGGTATCTCAGCGAAATTCTTCAGTAGCAAAGAAAGAAGTGGCAAGAAGTCGGAAAAGTCGAAGGTTCAACGAGAACTGAAGGAACTTGTGGAACGACAATGTTCTCAGACAATTGCGAGCGATGCGACGAGCGAACAGACGAGAAATCCTTTGCAGGACTTCTTCGTAGATGAGATCAATCTTACGAGAAAGTTAATGAATGTCGTACAAACGAACGTGGACGCGTCGTCTTTCGAGAATGGTGAAGTAAGGCGCATTGGTTTTAATTGCAGCTTTGTTTTCTTTCTTTATGCGCACACAAATAATTATTTTTTTTTAGCATAGAGAGAGAAAGAGAACGATAATTACGATTGTAAGATAAATTTATTTATTTATTTATTTGTCTTTTTGTAAAAGTCTTGTAAATAATAATTGAAGATTCCGAAGCACTGGCACGAAGAATGGCGCACCGGTCCGAGGAACGCGATGCAGTTTGTGAAAGCGCTTCTGTCCAAGCACGAAACGTTAAAAACCTTAGCGATGGGTGTGCCTCGCCGAGTAGACTTGTCTCAATTGTCGCGACCACGTGCTCTTTTAACCGCGCTCAAGCAATATACCGCACGAGAGCTTGGCTATCCGTTAGAAACCCTTGAGCTCCGCGCCAATTGGGTCGAGAATCGTACGAAAAAAGAATGGAAGATATCGATCCAACTCGAAGGCCTGCTTATATCAGGTATATACACGTCGAGGTCGTTTTATTTGTTAACAATAGGAAGTGAAAAAAAAATGCATTCTGTCAATGTCACACGATGTATCTCTGTTTTTTTTTTTGCTAGGAGCATCGATCGAGGATGGTGTTCTGAAAGACTTGGACGCGGATTCGGCAGCGGTCGCTTTAGCCCCGACGTGTCAAGTGGCGTTTGTACCGGAAGAATATTCTTCCGAGGATAAATCCGGTGGCGACAATCTCAACTCACTCGAGGACACGTATCGGCAAGATTATTTAAACATACCGGTTTACACAAGTGTGCAACGGGAGATGTTGATTTGTTCCTTACCCGTCACGTGTCTGAGGGAAGAACGCGCCACGTGGTTGCGTCGTGGCGTCATTCTGTATCTGAAATAAACTTGTGCAACAATGTATTGGATAATTTTAACGTGATAATAATATTACGTGATGTTTTATTTATGTTTTGTTCTCTTTAACAAGTTCGATAATTTATTAATTTAAAACAGTTATGTAACAAATGCGTGTGAGAGAATATAACTTTTATTAGATTTTTCACTCATTATTTTCAGTTTGACAATTTATTAATTTAAAACAATTATATAATAACCTTCGAGAGAATATAATTGTAATTTTTTACAATAAGTTTTTCAAACTTTTGCCAATTAAATTTTAGTTATTTCTGTAATTATTTTTAAATGATTCAATATCGTAAAATGCAATCGTCAGATTTGCTCTCGGTCGAGTGAGCAACAAAACAAAACGCGGAGGATGAGAAAAATACACCACACTTTTACAGCTGTAGTTGCTCTGTTTAATAATAGATTTAAAAGTACAGGTAAATACAGTACAATATCTCAGTTGTTTTTTTTTTTTAAGAAAATAAACTGGTTCATTGTGATTGGTCCGCCCGGGCAAAGCCTGTATACACATTCCACGACTTTAGAAACTCATGGTTTTGCTCATGATGTTTTCCGCAAAAAACAACGCAATTTGCATATTGCAGAAATATAGATTCGATATTTTTTTTTTATACATACAACACGTGTAGTGCACAATCTCCATTTTCTGTAGAAAATAAACAATATATCATTGTATCTCCCTGTGTGTGTTTTGGCTAGAAACTCTTTTCCATCAGCATACACGCACATACACGCAAAACTAAAATCGATCTTTTCTCTCCCTGGAAATATCTTTTTTTTTTTTTTTATGTAGAAACATCTATTCGGATTTGAAAAGAGAGAACAAACAGACGCGCGAATATACAAATTTGTTTTTTTTTCTTTTTTGTTTTTTTTCTCGTTGAACTGGTAATCCCTAGCAAAATTGAGAAATCTCATAGACTAGTTACAATTCAGAATCTATGATATTAAATTGTGTGAATATAATCGAAGCTCTCCTAAAATTGTAAATTGTAAATCCAAGATACGAAAATAGAACAGAATCAAAAAGAGCAGCGGTTTCCACAGCGAACGTGTGTCGCGGCTGTGTAATCTTTTGCTTGTTCTTTTTCTTGTTAAGACTAATAAAAAAAAATTAGGTGATCAAAACGTCTCAGAATTTAACTGCAGTTCAGATTAGTGAATAAAGTTTTTCGTTCGCACATTCACCGGTGGACAACCCGTTCCTTTTGGTTCTCTTCATATTTTGGATGTATCTATAATATGAATACTTCGTTAAAGTTTTTCCGTACAATATGGACGACATTTTAAAGCTCTAGAATTGAAAGTCTAAAATGTACTAGGATTTCGTATTTTAAACAAATCGAAATTTCATATAATTACGATATCTTTTTAACTACTTAGTTTTAAACACGCGCGTTGAAAGTAGATCCAGCTGTATGTTTTTTTAGATCTAAAAGATTTTTTTGAAAATAATTTTCTTATTTTTACAATAGAGAAAAAAGAGAAAAAAATCTCTATGTTTGTCTTTACATTCTTTTGAGAAGAAGATTCAAAATTCTTAAATTAGATCTCAGCACGTAAATGATGAACATTTATATACATATAAAAAATAACGTAAGTTGTACACAAATATCACGTGAAACGTAAAAAAATCACAAATGAAATTAATAAAATTAAAGAGGATAGAGAGAAAGCTACTTCCGATATACCTTGTCGTCCAGTATACACAGTCAAGTACAACTTGAAAATTACAAATGTCGAGTAACAAGACTCACTGTTTACAATATATCGATTATAAATTGTCTACCTTTGTAAATTTTTACGAGAGGTATATAGTGAAAATGTGTTTCTCATGCGCGGCTGCTGAAAAATGCAGCGTGTTCGTATACACGAAGATATTTCTTCTTCTTCTTCTTCTTCATAAACACGATGACAAAATTTCGACGACGAATAAATTGTTTTCTCGGGGAAACGAAATAGAAAAGAGGGACGGGAAAGAAATGGCATTTTGTTACTACGGCACGAGTGCGCTGGCTTACATCGAAATGTCAAGTGATTGTCGTCGAATTTATTGCTTTAAAAAGACTTGAAATTGAGATTTGCGAGCTGAGCCAGCGATCCCGCCGCTGCGAAAGGCATTGCTATGTGTGTGTTATACATTACAAGAAAAGTATTAATCTCTGGACATGTATCTATCCTTGAACAGTGTTTTCCATTTTTTTTTTGTTTTTCGTCTATTTTCCGAATAAAAATACGATTTACTTTTCGATTGCGACAACAATAAATATTGTTGTTGTTTGCAATTGGATTTATTTATTTATACAATGTGTGCATAAAATAATTTATTTCGTAATTTATATATTATAGTAATAGTTCTTATTAAACTTTATAATTAATAAAAATATAAATAACGTATGTGTGATAAATATATCTATAGATATTAGTATATGTGTATATATTACTCTCATTGAAAGAACTTGAAGCGCGACGTAAGTGTCTAAGGATAGGTACGTGCTCGTAGATTTTTGTCTTACGTTAGGGAAATTCTAGATCAATTGCCTTTTATCTCACGGTCGTATATATATATATATATATATATATATATATATGTATATATATACACATACATACACCACTTCGCCGGATTTCTCTCTCACGCGAAATCGTGACAATTGCGACGAGTGAAAAATTCCGTGAGAGACAATGGCAATCTCTCTCTCTTTCTTTCTCTCTCGTGTTCATTTTGTTTATAAATCGAAACACAACGAGTGGTGTGTCAAGTATTGTACATTTTTTTTCTATCTCTTCTCTCTACATCAAAAAGTTAGATTTTACAAAATTACCGCAGCTTCGCATATTTAGGTGTGTGTGATTTTTTTAAATTCTTTTTTTTTGTTTTTTAAATCAAGAACCTCAGAACCGTTATCTAATATCTCGAGCAATAAAACTAAATTTGCTATTCCTCAATCCTTAAACTAGATAGACACACGTGTACGCATTTCGATAATAACGCATGCGCGAAGTACTCTCTTACATGCTCTACCATGTTCCTACAACAAGTGTAACCCTATTCGATTTAAATTTTCATTTATATATATATATGTATATCTCTTAAATATTTGCGACAATTATCGTCGACAATGATACAACAGGTACAGATCGCGAAAGGCATTTCTCTTTCGAGTATACTCTAAAAAGAGAAAATGTGATGAAGATAATTCACGTAAGATAAACGAACGTCGCGGTTTCTTTCTTTTTGCGAATGCAATATATAAACTTTTTTTTTTACACTTTGCGATCCGCGCGAAACGGTGAGATTGCATTTTGGTGCATCATCACTCGATGTCTCGCTCGCATGTACGTTCGATAATAAACAATCATAAAATATATACGTTCGATACGTTTTTTTGCAAAACTCGCTCAAATCAGACAACAACTACTAGCTTGCTGCGGACCGCGAAGTGGTTGAACAAGAATGAAGGTTTGAGAATTATCGTCTGTCTTTTTTTCCCACATTTTCGCGGTAATTAAGTTTCTTAAAAGTAAACATTCTAAGGAACAACTTTATTCTTATACGTAAAAGAATACAAAATATATCTATATATATGTGAGATCTTGAGAGACAGCGCGACTCCTCAGATACTAACACTCAATAGCGTTTTTCAAATCTAAAAATATATGTAAATTTTTGAATAACTTTCTAATGAACAAAAAATCAATCGATCGCGTAAAAGCAAACACTTTATTTACACAGGAAGTACGTACGCTTTACATGCAAAGACCTTTTTTTTTTTTTTTATGTATAGATATATATATATATAACGAAATTGTATTTATAATATTTGAACTATTGAGTGGCAGTAAATGCACGATGTTTTTGTTTTTGTAACGGAGAAGAGAAGGAGAAGGACGTAAAACGAGACTATATAACTTATTTAATGTACAATCACAATTATCATATTAATCGCCCGCCGTATCGAAGTTCGAAAAAGAGAGAAGGACAAATACACATTCTCTAAATTGTGATTGCGAAGAGAGAGAACGATATATGGATGTATATATTAAGTTAAGTAAATCGGCCTCGACTTTAAAGACGCTCGACGAAGGAAAGAAATCGTTGCGTGCACAATCTCTCGTGTATTGACTTGTATATAATGAGCGGCAATAAATTGTTTTTTTTTTTTTGTATTTTTTTTACTCTTAAAAATTTCTTTACACGCGCGACAACAATCTCTCTAAGCGCTTCGAAAAATTTTCTTTGCATCTTTTTTGTTCGTATATGTACATAGATTTTCTTTTTATATATATATATATATCAATTTTTTTTAACAGAAAAATAGTTATAATAGTATGTATATATGTATATAGTATGTATACGATATAATATAGCGATAGACTGTTTTATCTAACTATTACTTGGTGTTCGTACGTTGATCCCTTTTTACATATTGGTATCGTTTATACATAGAATATTCCTTCGTTTATTTTCTCATTTTTTTTTCCTCTCTCTCTATATAAGATCACTCTTTTCCTCTACTTTCCCTCAATTAAAACTAATTGGATTATCGATTCGCTTGTAGCACCCATTATCCGAAATGAAGACTATATAATGAACATCGTCGTTCAGCGCTTGAACTCCAACGTGAGACAGTTAATCTTTCGTTTCGTTTCGTTTTTTTTTTTTTTTTTTTTTTGGCATAATGATTTTTCGAAAGTTACACACGTCGATTGGCACAGATTCGACAATTACAGTGTACCGACTTGTGTACGCGCGCGCAAGTCTCTTCTTCACTTTTTCTTCTTCAATTGCACAAACGTGACCGCTGCTTCTTTTTGTTTTGACGTTAGTATTAATCATTCGCTCTAACGAGTATCGTGTGAATGTATCGTGTGGATGTACGTATGCAAAATTGACTGTCTCAGATTGGACCATTGATCGGAGACATTAGATGTCGCATAGGAGAAAGACAAGGTTTTATTTATTTATTTATTTTTTTTTTTTTGCTCTCATCTTAAAAAGTAATTGAGGAGATTTTTCTTTGGGCCGAGAGTTTTTTTTTTTTTTTGTATCCCGAGCAGGGTATGTTACAGTAGAACGCAGGTTAGAGAGTTTTATTTTAATCTCGAGAGTTCACGAGTGAGGAAAACAAAGGTTATCGATCGAAAAACAACCATCTACGGTAGTTTAGATGTAAACGTGTGTGTGTATTTGTGTATGTATTTGTGTGTGTGTGTGACAGATATACGTGTATGCAATAATACAATTACGTCTTAAAGAGTAATTTCGAAGTATCGACAAGAAAGATTATTACGACAGAGCAGTTTTGGCAAACACGTAAAATCGTCGACATGTAGACGTTGAACGGGAGAATTTGATCGGTTGTAGGCGCGCGCGCGTTATTCAACATCGGCGAAAAACCTACCGCGGTCGGGGGGGGGGACGTCATCACATTGTCGGAAACAGATGAAACCCCCAGCTGTCACACACCGAGAGAGACGCTGCGGTTCAGGCCGTGACAATTAACGGTGGAGGTCAGAGATCGCCCTCCATCTCTTCCGTTGCCAATTGAAAGTGTTCTTGACCTGACAATGCGCAACGCGTGTGTTACATATCGTGCGTCACCACTAAGTCTAAATTCTTGCGTTTAAAACGTTTCTTTTTGTTTTTAAAGAAAAAATCAACATATCTTCCACTTCTTCGACAAACTAGTTTCTTAGCAAAAAACAATCAAACACCGCGGAAAAAATTTGTTAAACACGAAAAAATTCGAGAGAAAGCTCGTTGCGATTACTTACTTTGCAGATACGCCGCTAGATCGTGATCCTCCGCGATCAGCGCGAGCTGATGCGGCGTGTTGCCTTGCCGATCTTTGATCGTCAGCGATGCGCCACCGGCCACGAGCATGCAACAAATAGAACGACGTTTGTTCTGGGCCGCTTTGTGCAGAGCGGTCTGTCCTCTGAAATCAAAACAGTTGTCTTTTTGTTCAAAACGCATCCAGCCGGAATTTGTCGTCTCAATTCTTCTCTTCGCGCGGCAACTACGAAATATTTTCGATCACGTGTAAGAGGTGCGCAAACGCTCACTTGTCGTTGTCGATCATGTTCAGAATCGTGGGCGGAGCGCAGCCAATGAGGTATCTGACTATGTCCTTGTGGCCGTATCTCGATGCCAAGTGAAGAGCCGTTTGACCGGTCTCGTCGATCGACAAGAGCGAGTATCCCTTTTGGTGTAGCTGCTTCAACACCGGAAGATCGCCGACTTTCGCCGCCCTCAGTATATCGTCGCAACTTCTCTCAAGTAGCCCGGCGTGGAATCCGTGAATTCCCGAGCTCAAGCTAAAGAGCCTGTCGCGTGGGCTGCACAAGCAGATAAATAAAAAGAACACATCCTTTATACTTTTAGGCTCGAAATTCGCGCGAGCGATATTTTTTTTTACCTGATAAAAGCGGGAGATCGACCGGTCTGCGACTGATCGGTCGTTTGACCGATCGCGTCGCTCAAATCTTGTTTCTGAATTTCGCGACTGACACGTGAAATCGGTCTGACGTCCTTCTTCTTGTTAGAGACCGGCGGCACGTCCAGCGAGTTCACGATGGGTACATTCGCCGGTTTGATCACGACACTTTGCTGCTCAGTGAGTTCCTTGCGCTTTTCCTTTTTCCGTTCGTCCTTTCCTTCTTCTTCGTTCTGAGACGATTCGTTCCGCGGCGATGGCTCTTTCTCTTTCGTCTCGACTAGCGTCTCCTTCGGATATTCGTCACTATGTATCATATCATATCACATTTTCAGAGAAAAAATGCAAGTAATTGAATTTTTTTTCAAATTGATTTTCTTCGTTTTTAAGTATTTAATAATTTGTTTGTTTTTTTTTAAATTAAATAATAAAAAATGTACCTCCGCGCTTGAGTCTGCGTGGTTTCTGCGTTTTCTTGACTCGCGGCAACTTGGCTCGGCTGAGCCGGTTGGGTCTTGGATTGCGGAACCGCGTCCTCGTCGAGAACGTAAACAGCATCCACAGCAACGTCCGTCACGTAATGCAACTGTTCCTGGCCCCGATCGATTCTGAAGAATCTTTCCGCGGTGCACGCTAATTATTACGCAAAACAACCGAGATCAGATCTTGGTTCGAGCGCGTGGAAAATTTCTCAATCGGAATTAATCAGCACTCACAGTCGAGAAAACAGCAAGAATCCATGTTGCGATCCTTGGCCAAGATCTTCCTCAGACTTTCCAGATCGGTTGTCGCGTCGAGATCCAACGGGTCGGCCACCCACAGCTCCGCTCCCTCCTTCAATTTTTCCTTGTCGTGATGATTCGTCTCGTAGTCCGACATCCTTATCTTCATCACCGGCAACTTCAGTCTCTCCAATTTCGCCGTGTTCTGCTGAGGTTTTCCCGCGTTTCTTCTCTTCGCCAGCATCGTAGCCTTGTTCAACATGCTCATTGTTATAATAGACGGCAACAGGCGGCAAGCCTCACCGTCGACCTGCAACAATAAAAAAAAAAAAAACAAACAAACAAATAATTTGAGTTGCACACAGAAGTGAAAAAAAAACTTCTACGCGAGAGAGAAATACAAGGACGAATAATTGTAAATGAGAAAACAAAAAAATGCGTTAAATCAAAATAGAAAAACTGGAACACAGTTTTCACAGTTCGTTTAACTGATAAAAAAACGCGCGCTAGTGTTCACCTGCATCGGTATAGTTTTGGTTGTAACCAACTTGGCCGTGCTGCACTGAACTATGCAGGTCCCGTGTCCGCGAGCTTGCAAAAGAGGCAGCTGGTACGTGGTCAGACCGACCACCTCGATCAGGCCGTCGTTCATGGAAGGCTCCTTTGTGCCGCTTCCCGAGTTCCACGGATGAGTCCCGCCCCCGTACGAGGCTATGTTAAGAAACAGAATGGCGTGCACTCGGTGCTCCTTCAGTTTCGGCGTCATGTCCTGGCCGTCGCATTCAAGCGTCACGAAGTCCGAGAGATCCTTCCACTTGGTGAGCAACAAGTCCTTGCAGCCCATCTGCCCGTAGAACAACTTGTTCCGCATTCTGGAGTTAAATTTCTCCGGGTGAGCCTCTATAAACGATTGCGGCGATTTTATCAAACGAGATTTCGTGTGCGTGTGCGTGTGCGTGTGTTTATGACGTCGTTTGATACACACAATCGATTGCGATTTGAATGAATTAAGGGTCGAAAATCTTCTCACCTCGGGCTTCGTGAAACTCGAGAGCGATGTGAGCGTCCACGCCGAGGGAGAAGTAATTGTTGACGACATTGAGCGGCAGGTTTTCCTTACCCTTGCCGCCGTCGTCGTCGTTCTTGGCGTCGGGGTTTCTCTCGACCTTCAGTTGCCATCTGTCCAGCAGAGTGGTCTCGCTCTCGCCTATGCTGGTCAAGATCTTCCCGATTGGTTCGTCCTTGTAACCGCCTCCCCAACCGAGCGCTCTCGCCAGATCGTTTCCCGTGCCGAGGGGAAGCACCCCGACCGCCGGTGCCGGATAAGCACCGATCTGATCGAGAATCGACAGAACCCATCCGACCGTTCCGTCCCCGCCGCAGGCCAAAACGCGCAAGTTCGGTACTTTTTTGAAAAGCTCCAATCTGAAACGCAAAAAAAAAACAAAAACCATTTTCTTACTTCTTCCTCTTTGACATTTTCTCACACGCGTAATGTTTCATCATTGGTGCTGTAGTTTTGAGCGCAAGCGAAGTTTCTAGAACAGAAAAACTGACTCACCCCATTTTTGGACCACCTTGCGTCAGATCGAAAACTTGTCTCGGATTCAACAGCCACTGAAACTTCTGCAACAACTTCGCACCCTGATTGCCGCCGGACTTCGGATTGATGAACACCAAGACCGGCCTCACCGTGGCCGTCGGTATAGGCTTGATCACCCACAGATCCTCCTTCTCCTTGTCCTTGTCCTTCTCATCCTTTTCCGTCTCTTTGCCTTTCCGACGATTGGATCCGCCGGATTTCTTTCTTCTCGGCGATCTTCTCAAGCTGCTCTTGAAGTTACCTTTTCGGGGTAGCTTAACGATCCACGACGGCGGCACTATGATAGACGCTTGCACCCCAAGCTCGCAGTTCTCGCCGATTTTCGGAACGTTGAAGCACGTTTCCTTGTTGTGGTAAGCGGTTTTGCACCAGCTGCAGCTCACAGCCACGATTTCTCTAGAACTGAAGCTGAGCTTCGATTGAAACGATTTGCCGCAGTTGGCGCACTTGCCTTTCTGAGATCGTCGGTGAACCCAGTGATGGTGGATTGTCGTTTGCTCGCGATATTGACGCACGCCCACGTCGCGAAAGCTCGGCTTGCAGGCGAACTCTAAGCTACCAACGCAACACGCGTGGGCCACCACACGACACGCCGGACATTTCAACCGGGGTCCGTGTTTCTGAAAAGAAACAGACATTATGTATGATTTACGTTTCGCGTTCGTATATTCGTACAAAAAAAAACAAAAATTTCCGATACAAAGTAGTTCGATTTGACTGACGAAGAAAAAATGTGAGATACGTTTCGTTGTTGTTTTCTTTGTTTCGTCAAACTTACGGAACAGTCGTTGACGTAGCAGAAGTCACCGGACGTGGCGGTCGGCACCCAAAGATGTTCCCCATTGATCGCATCCGAGCTCCAGTCTGGCGTCGACCTAGGCTCGCGTTGACTAGGACCTCCTTCTTTACCGTCTCCACCTTCTTCTCTTCCTCTAAAAGAATTAATTAATAATCATTAACGTTAGAATTAATTAATGACGTGACTAATTAATTATGCAAAAGAGAGGAAAAACACATAATAACGTTCCTTGGAGTGTAATTAAACTTTTTTACGTTCACGTGTGTGCGTGTGTGTGTGTGTTCCATTTGCGAGGATCGGGCACAAAGAAGAGGCGCCGTAGCGTATTAAATTTCAAAAAAAGAAGAAGAAAATTCGCCTAATTTCTCGGCTTCTGACGATTCAATACGGTTTGCTCGGAATATTGTTTCAAGTTGGGTTTTCAAGCGCAAAAGAGATGAATAACCATCCATGTTTCTCTTTAGAAAGAGAAAAGTCTCTTTTTAGAATAAAATATTCTTGCGCAAAACACGCGCGTTGAATTATAAATAGAGAACATGTAACAATCTCTCGCGAGAGCTCACGAGAGGTGCGTGTGGCACACCAATCCACATATTTGTATCCACGATCAATGTCTCCCAGAGATTTCGTGGAAGAGATACGCGTGTGAACCTTTGTTTCTTTGAAAAAAAAAAATCTTATAAAAATGAAGGAAAAAATAAATTGAAAGTACGTCCCAGTTTGTTTTTATGAAAATGAGTAATGACTCGCGTCGCGAGGTGCTATGGCATTAACTGACCTTTTTACGTAAAAACGATATAGAAAGAAGAACACAAGTCATTCTGCGCAGAAGATATTTCTACTTGCGACTTGGTTTTTTTTTTTTATACATTTTGTTTCATCGTTTTCTTGCCATCTATACACAATTATTTATACGACACAAAACTACGAGATAAATAACCAGAGAAACGTTTATTTGCGCATTTTTCGAACATACGTAAATTAACTCGAATCGTCCATCCGAGAGAGAGGAAGAGAGAAAGAGAAAAAATGTCAAAATGTGTCGTGTGAAGATAGACAAGATTTAAAAACAAACTGTTTTGTTTAAACTAAAGATCACACATTTTAATACAATTAATTGCACGAAATACAACGGGAGGTTTTAAGTGTGTTTTGCGTCACATCACAAAAAGGGTGAGGGGGCGGCGAGGTAGAGGGAAAAAGAAACATTAATGCAAATCAAGCTCAAGGGGATTTTCTAAGTAAGAGAAAATTAACAAATCTGATGTGTTTGAATTAATATATATATATATATATATTTACATATAAATTGTGTTAATGAAACACATAAAATCGAACACCGACTTAAAGCGGAAGAATTCGCGCGGTTTTCTCATTCCATCAGTCAGACGTACCCACCCTATCGGAAGTCGCGATTCCTTGCCGGGTACGAGCGCCGTGTACCTCGTCCTAACGTCTGTCGGCAGAACGATATCGACGCTCTTAGATCTGATATTCTGCTGCGGCACCGCGAGCAAGTCCGCGTCGGCGATGCCGCCGTTCTTGTTATTATTAAAGCACGAGTCCACCGAGGCGGCGCGATCCCTCTTCAGCTCCGGTACCGTCAGAAAAATGTCACGCACAACGAACTTGGATTTGTCCGCGTCGACGTTCTCGTTCTCGTCGTCGTCGTCGTCGTCGTCCATCGTCGTCTCGACGGTCATCGTTCTCGTCTCGGTCGTCGTCCTGTTCGCGGCCAGAACCGCGGATATCTCCGTGAGAGGAAACGTGGTGAGCGCTTCCTGTCTGGACAGCGATCGTCTGCGCTGTTGCCTTCCCGGGAACTCGAGCTTGATCTCGGAACTCATCGACTCGATCTCGACGACGGGTGAGACGCATCGCATCGGTTCGTTCTGTATATTGTCGTCGTCGTCGTCGTCGTCGGGCAGAGTAACCTTAATCTCCGGACTGCCTTCCCTCTTGGAAGGCTCGTACTCGTGATCCGACTCGTTTTCCGAGAGCTCCGCGCTGCTGTCTCCGCGAGATTCGCTCGCCTCCGTTCTGGGCGCGTCCTCGGTTTGTCTGACGAGGTTTTTGTATTCCTCGACGCAGGCACAGTGGTAGCATCCGGAGACCTGGATGATCGGCGTTTCCGATCTCTCGGACGACTGGCCCGGACTCGCCGAATACGCGTCGAAGCTCTTGGAACGCTGACCGCTGTAGAGCTGCGGCACCTTCAGGGTGGCCGATCTTCTGCGATCGTACGTCGTCGAGGATGAACACGACGACGACGACGTGGTGCGAACGTCTCTCCCGTCATCCTGGCGCTCGGTCTGCAACTGTATTTCGTCGAAGGAAGCCGATCTGATCTGCTTCGGCACCTCGAGGCTCGATTGGGTCTTCATTTCTGCGCCCGTGGGAGTGCGCGACCTCTTGAACGTCGAGCGCAGCTTCTGCATTCTTGCCTGGATAGCTACCTGGCGACGCTGCTGCCGAGCGTTCCCTTCTTCGGTAATTTCTCGAACAAAACTCGTCGACAGCTTCGCACGGCTGTGTCGCTATCTCCGTCCTCTTCGTCGTCGGGAACGGAGGACTTGGCGCCGCCCCGCTTGTCTCGAATCGTCTCTTTGAACCTCAAATAAAAAAACAGCAACGATGACGACAACGCGGTCGTCTCTTCTTCCAGATTGGACTTAGCTGCGGCCGATTTGCAGCCCATTCTAAGTAATTTCGATGCGTGATCGCGCGGCTGATTATCACAATCTCCTCGAGTCTTCAATAACCTTCTGAAATCATCAAACTTCTTGACAATCTCTTCCGTGTCTCGAACAGAGCAGAGCACAAGAAGGTGTTTTTATTCGAAAAAAAAACGTCAACTTCAGGGTTTTTTTCTGATCAAATACGTGGATCGTTACCGATAAATGTGTGTAATGTCGATTTTGATTTGTGTTGCCGCGCGTGTCAACGTTGCCGCGCGCCTTTAGTTTAGTTCCTCTCTTTCCGTGCGTATACTTCGAGATTATCTTAAAAATTACATCGGAACGCGAATTAAAGCTTGGGACTCACAGACACTCCTCCGTCGTTTATCATTACGCGATTCGTTTTTTGTTTTTTTTTTTGTTTTTATCTAGACAATTGTTAGTAGCACGCTTTGTAGTAGCGCGGCGTATCGAGATGGGCAATCTCATCGCGTGATGAGTTTCGTGAAACGAATTCATTCGGGCGGCGAGCAACAATTTGCGCGACGTCAAACTTGACACACTGTTACGAGCCGGGCAAACTTGTCGCGTCTCTCTTTTCTTCAACTCACAAAAGCCTAACTCTCAAATGATGATTTGCACTCACACACAGTCACTCTCAAACTCTCGCTCTCTTTCTTTCTCTCGACCGGTCCGTCTCTCTTGTCGCTACCGCCCTCACGGCATAGCTCTCTCTTCCTGAGTGACTACTGGCATCATCGATCGAGGTTTCCAGCGCCGGAATTTATTTTCACAGTGACGCCTGATAACGTCGCCGATGTCGGCCGATAACGAGTGGTAATCGCAATCATTTCCCGTTGCAATCACCGGGCAATAGCCGAAGCCACGCCAACACTCCGATCCTCATGTCATCCTCACACATGTGTGTCTATTAAACAAAAAAAAAAAAAAAACAGACGTTTCGAACGCGAGATAAAGTTCGCGACACGTTATCGTTGTCGAACGTTGTTGAAGATTCTCGACGACTGACTGAAAAACGTCGCAATTTCTGACAACAAAAGCTTTCTCACTACCGATGCAAACGATTATCTCTCTGTGTGTGTGTGTGTGTGTGTGCACGCGCGCGCGCGTGACAATGGACACAAGTAAACGGTGTGAGTTGAAAAGATCTCACTGAATCGCGAATTGAGATCACCCCGGATTGAAGTTTTCTTTGTACATGTTCCACTAAGGACCGGGCCTCTCGTAAAGCGAACATTCATTGGAGCACAATAAGCCGAGCGACCTTCGCCACGTCGGTCGATCCATAATGTCTTCGATCAATGACAAAATAAAGTCGAAATAAGCTCGCGCATCACTTCACCCTCTCCTTATCTCTCGGATCTTTCCTATTTCTCTTGCGACATTCTTTCAAGAGGAACATCATCAGAGCTTAGAGACGGCATCTTTCTCTCTCTTTCTCTGCGCACAAAACGCAAAGGGACCGATTGATTTGTATCAGCAGTTCTCTTTCACAGAGAGATTGAATCAATCGATTTCACGGAATCGTCCCATTTTTGACAAAGACAATCTTTCACATCTCACGGCACATATTGTGCGCTCTTCGGCTGAACGCGCGAGAGAGCGACACGGCGTGGCGAGATTGCCAGTCGGACTAGCGGCCGGGGGTTCGTCGTCGATGACCGATGTCAAAAAGAGGGTTGAGAGCGCGCGGAGGTCGGAGAGGGTTGCTTCCGTCCTTCGTCCTCCCGCTTTCGCCATCCTCATCCTGCTCATGCGCCCTCCGACGAATCAGTTTTCTCGCCGCCGGGCAAGATATCGCGATCATGCGCGCAATATCACGTACGTGTACCGTATACGTGGTAACCAGGAAAATCTGGCCGAATATAATCCGGACTTTGTGGAAATACGCAATGTAACGAGAGAGGAATATGAGTATGTGCAGAGTCGGCGATATAAATTATGCATGTAGTTTGTATGAATATTGCACACAGAGAGATATACGCGCGCGATTGTTGTTTATTTCACGAAATTTGCACCGATGCGAAATCTGACTCGCAAACCGATTTCCCTCCTATTATTTATGCGGAGGTAACATGCGAAACAAAAATACTGATATTAAATTACTGTGCGTTAAATTACATAGGCGCGTTCGCTCGAAAACGACGGCGACGACGACGGAGATTGATTCGCACGAAGGCGCGACATTTCTCGGCCCGCAAGCCACGTGGAGCGAAGTTAAAGAGGCGGTTTGGATAACCAGGAACCGGAGTTGTATCGATTAAACCCTATTAGGAATTCGATCGGTCTCATCGTTACTGGATAATGTATGTGTGCCGTGATATTTTCAACCAGAAGGGCCGCGTCTATGTATAGATTTCCGTTTCGTTACGTCTGAGCGCGCGCGCGTGTGTTGCAATGTCGTAAATGTATGCTGATGAGATGTGTGTGACATCGAGCGGTGAATCTCCATCTAGAATCTCTGAATTATTCAACGTGTTTAATTTTTTTTTATTTAAAAATAATTGTGTTGTTTCAAGACTGGTGATTTTTTGCGCGCGACAAACAAACTCTCGAGAGAAGAGGCGCGGAGACACCGCGCGCGGATATGATGTAAGATCTTATTTAGCTTCCCACAACAAATATTCTGGAAAAAAAAAAAAAAACGCAACGTAAAACGCAAGGCGCAAAAATAACGAAGCGGCGAGTACTTGAATGTCGCTAGAAAAAATCCGCGGAAATATTCCTTCAGCGCGGGATCGCTCGAAAAAAAAACAAAACCAAAAAAACAAAAAAACAAATCGAAAAATTTACAGGTGTCTACAACAACAAAAAAATCGCTTCTCAAAAAAAAAAAAAAAAAAAAACAGTCTCCTTCTTCAAGCCCGTTAATTAAAAAGGTTAACTGCTAACCTTTTTCCCAATTCGGACGGTAAAGGGTCTTCGCGGCATCTTAAGTTCGTGCCCTCCGCGAAATGCACCCGATGTCCTAGTCTCGGAGCCAACACGAACAACCTACAATGCACACACCAGACGGTGGTATACTGCACACGATTCACACAGCAAAGAAAGGATACTAGCCTTGAGGATCTCTCTTTCTCGAAAATTCCAATTGTCGTCGCACTTCGCAATGTGTCACACACACACACACACACTGCGTGTGTTTTCGCACTTTGTTTTAAAAACATTGACAATTTTTGTGCGTTTTTGCAAGTAGATCATTTGCGTGAATTACAACACGTGCAAATATGGAGATAAGCAAATGTCAAGGCGATCAAGAAACGAAACATATTGCACCTTTCCCTCTTCGGCCTCTAAAGTGCGGTGCGCGTTTGAAAGTTTGCACTTTCGTGCGCGACATCTTTTACGGTTTTAATTAATTGTTATCACTTTCTATCGTTCAATTATTTATCGCTCTATTGTATACAAAATCTCAATGACGAGTCACACCTGATCGCACGCGAGAAGAATTTTAGAAATCTCGTTCGAGATTTGACGAACACGAAATTTCTCAATATCCCAAATTTGACACGTAAACATCGCAACGTCCGATCCGGAAGAGAACGCGTGAGAAAATTCGTACTTGACGTTCAGAAACTTACTTGAATCGAATCAAAATCACGTTTTTCGTCGTCGGTTTCGCCGATCCAACTCTCAGGCAACATATCGACCATAGCCAACTCATATCCATTGTCGTCGATCGCGGTTTCTCTCGCACCGCTGCTACCTCGTAACTGAAGGAAAAAATCGCGCAAATAACCTGCGACGCGAACTTATTATCTATCGCGTACCCGGTGAATAACGTTTCACAACCGCGAATTATGTCATCTCCGTGTAATACCACCTGTTCGCCACTTTCCGAGGTACGAGAGTGTACTGACAGTCATCCACGGTATTATATCACACCTTCCGCTACCTTTCGGAATACTATAGCGATATATCGCTTTAGTATTATGTAAATTTCTGATCAAAATAAATTCAAGATTCAGAAAACCTGCATATTAACATCTGATTATTAAACGCGAAGAGGTCTCAAGGTTTTTGTCAGAAACGATCGATAAAAAAACAACCTTGAACACATTAAACGCGCGTCTTAAACGACGATATACTTATGTTCAAGCGAACTGATACGATTCGCAAGATCGCGTTTGCCATATGAATCGATAATAGAAACAATCGACGTAGCGTAAACTAAAAATTCCCACCAAACGTATTTGCAATGTTAATTTCTAATCTTAATAAATCTATAATTTAACACATTTCCGGGAAAACATTAACGAGGAGTGAAAAAAGAAAAACATGTGACAACGCGATGTTTTTCGAAAAAAAGATGTAACATACATTTGTTAATTTTTTTTTCATACATATATAGAAAATTGATACGGAGTGTTTGAATATTTTAATACTTAAAGAATAATAATACATTTTTTAATTACCTAACAATTACTTAAATATTGCCTCAATAGAAATATTTTATTGCTTAAAAGTTATAATATTTTTATTATTTTTAATATATCTTTAATTTTATATTAATGTATTTTATATTTTTTCCGATTTTTTTATCATTTTGTCACATCAATTATACTAATGTAAAATATATAGTATCCAAAAACTTTAAAAAAATTACTGCCTATAAACTTAAATAAACGAGCTAATCACGTTACATATTTCACCGCACTAATTTCATTTGAAACCACAATTTTCAACACAAAAATTTTATAAACAGTACAAGACGTGTCTGTATTGGAAACAATCAAGACAAATTATGAGGCAACTTAAGTAACTATCTTCGTCTCTTTCCAACCATGTTTGTCCTTGCACGGCAATGACAATGAGACAGCGAGAACTACAGTCTCGTTCACAAATTAGTTTCTTTTCGTGTAATTGCGAATTAAAATTCCGCGTTTTGCGGTCGAATACGTACGCGTGTCTACTTCCTATCTCGTTTCGACACTTCAAATTATTTGCGCGAACTCGTCTTTAACTTGGTCTGTAGTTGTATCGCGCACCGTGAGAAATACTTAAATCGAGTTATAATGAACGACACTGTATCGCGGCGCGATGAGGAAACCGGCCAATCGGTTTCACGTTTGCTCGAACATATTACCGTCTGGTAAATCGCCAGCAGATCCGAACTCGCTCGAGAAACGTATTTCGCGAAAAACAACGCGAAAAACAAAAGTGACATGAGATTCCTGTGGGAAAAACGGGGTTATTCCCACTGTTTGAAGCAAACACATAGAGCAAATATAAAAGGATTTGTTGTACAAATATAAAGGATTTATTGTATTTATATTGTGCGTTGCGAAGTAATGGGATATGTTATTTCTCGTCTGACAATGTTTACCTTTGCTTTACCTGCTGTGTAGCAAATGTCTGACACTAATGTAGAGCTCACTTCGAAAGTGTTTAATCATCGAAGCGAGCGTGTCGTTTTCTTACAAAAGATCTGCGTACACGTTCGCGCGAGTGGCTTCGCGCTAAAAGTGTCATTTTATCTTTATTTCTCATTAAATTCGAAACAAAGATATTTTCCAGCGCTTTTAGCGCGAGAGCCAGCTTGAGTCGAACGAGCAGCGCCAAAGTGGTCGTTTTTTTCTTTTTTTTTTTTTTTAATAATATACAAAGAGCTACGTCGAGAAAAAAAAGAAGTTCAATTCTCACCCTTCCTCGTGCGTGTCCTCCTCCGCCATTTATTTTATCGGCAAATTTTCAAGCTCACGTGTGAGGGGGAGAACAAATAACAACAAGCCAAAAAAGAAAACCGCTACTCCGAGATAAAGTCCGGGAAGACGCGAAATTTTTGACGGAGAATTGTTTGCCATGTACTTTTTGTTGGCGCGCCCACGCGAACAACAACAGACAAACGTTTCAAGCGCGATTTTCACAATCCCATCTCTCGATCTTCTTCCGTTAACTGACTTACACGAAGCGGCTTGGGGGTGTCATCGGTGTTTACTACGGCTTCCGAAGACTTGCAAAGTCTTCGCAATTCTATTTTCTATAATGCCATAAAGGTATTACTTGTGTCCGCGAATGTGTTAAATCACGCGTGGCTGGGTATAGTGTGTCCCTTGCAGGAAAAAATAGTTACAATATTTTCACGCACACACGCACACACACACGCGCGCGCGCACACACATTTTACACGCAACACACATGTATTTATTCAATACGCGTTATTTAAAAAAAAAAAAAAAAGAAAAAAAAATATCGCGCGTGTTACAAATCGCACCGATCGGTGTGAAACATGATTGCGAAACAGTTTCATTGCAAACAAACGTGCAAGCAAACGTGTAAGCGATTTTCTTGTGTCAAGTGAGCAATTTCCTTGCGTCCGATCAATTTTTTTTTTTATCGCTTACCTCATTGAGACCGGCTCTCTAGTCACGCCGGTGCGATCAACACGCCGGCGTTCTTCCTTTTCCGGCGGTCTTCGCTATCGGCATGGTTACAGACGCGGATCGCGTGACGGTCGCGGTTGCGTCCATCGCTTCGCGACCGATAAACGAGCGGTGAAAGTTTGTGAAAAAAACGCGCGACCGTTAGTTACAAACGTTTGCATGTCGCGTGCGTGCGCAAATTAGGAACGATTACGGGGATTCGATATGACAGATCGAATATTCGTTGGGGGACCGCGCCGATCTCACGTCGTGTGTGCGCGCGGACGTGCAACCAACGCGCATTTGCATGCTTCAACACTTGACACATCCACTACATCAGCGTCAATTAATTTATGCGAAGATGCGCACTTGCGAACACACAGGGTTGACTCATCACTAATGTACGACACCTCGCCGCTGCTTCCAGAGCACCGGGTTTTCGAGCGGAATCCCGCGAAAGAATATTTCCAACGCGAAAAATCTTCGCCTCTCAACCACTAATTCGCGCGGTACTTAGCGAGACGATTCTCGCTAATTATTAGCTCACTCACATGCGCAATCACGCTAGAGCGCCAAATCGAAGGTTGCTTCGTTTTTTCTTCGTTTTTTTCATCGAAGAAATTTCGACAATCGTTTTTTTGGGGGAGGAAGGGAAGACAAAACACCGCCGATGTGATGTAATTTTTCCGCCGTGCGCGTTTTTGATAAAACCAACACACACACACGATTCTTTTCAAACCGCGAGGACATCAAAACCGCGGGACGAACAGAGAGAGCGCGCGCACGCGATATCCGAAGACGCGTACCAGAACTCGACAGCTTACCATTATAAATAGTCGCGGCCGAGACGCGGCTAGAGGCTCCTCACAACCGAGTGTAACGCAAACGGACAAAGAGGAACAATGAGCGAACAGACGTAGGAAGAGGACAGACCGACGGGAAATAGCGGTATAACGTTTTGTAGCGATGGGCTCGAGCGACCTTTGAAGAGAAACTCGTTCGAGGAATTGTCGCGCGAATTGAATTTTCTCGGCGCGGGTGACTGGATCTCAGATCCGAGATACTTATTAGAAAGAAAAACTTTTGTATATATATTTAAAATCGAGAGAGAGATCGCGCTCGCGCGCGGAACAAAAACGTACGTATTGTTTTATACACGCGTGTGCCATATGAAAGACGTTGGACAAAGATGGGAGTTCCCAGAGAGTCTCTAGCGAGGAGAGAGCAATTAATCTAAGAATAGAATAGGTGCATCGACTCCATCGCTAATCTCACCGTTTGTTCGCTCATGGTTCGCGTGACTTCACCGTACCATTGTTCTCCGCCCGCACGTTTCTAAATCGTCGCGTGTGACGATTGTCGTCGTCGTTGTCGTCGTCTTCTTCGTGTGCGTTTCTCGTCGTTACTCTCGCGCGGTAACGATCTTGCACTTGGCTTTGCCACCGAATCTCGAACGAAGATCTATTTCTGAGATGACGATTTTTTTCTGGCACCATAATTTGGCACTTTTGCGCGTCGCGCTGTTTATTTCCGAGGCGATCGTTGCCACACACCGAAGGCGAATCTCGCGATCCGAACGTTTTTCCCACTCGGCGAGAGAACGCCGAGAAAGAACCGGTTTCTCTGTTTTTCAAAAAAAAATGTTCGAATTTAATTGACGACTTCAAACACAACAGGGTCCGGTTTTTTTATTCTCTCTCCGCTTCGGAACTACAACACAACTGAATGACCGCTTTGAGAAAGTTTTGCGCTATATATATATCTTGTCTTGATAATTACCTTGCCGCAAGTACATTAACGTTTCCGCGTGTGCCAAGGACATCACGTCAATCGCGCGATAACATTCGTACGTGCGTAGAGAACTGGCAAAAAGTGTGTGTAAAATATTTCGCGCGCATAAAATACGTCCGACAAATATATATACCCGTATAGTTGTCTAATGATTTTGTTAAATGTGTGCGACTGATATTCAAGTTTACACAAAATCAATTTTAATGTAATTTTTAATATACCGACTATATTTAGCGTATTAAATTTTTTCTCTTTGTATGCTTTCTTCCGTTTTAGCGATGATATGCAGTTTTGCATTGTATTTTTGTTTTATTTTTTTTTTTCTCAACTAAAATAGCCAAACGTTTCGGAAAATAAATAAATAAATTTTGTTTATTCAAAACCAGTTTATTCGGGATTGTTTTATTTTCAACATATACGCAACGCAGAAAAGCGCCAAAGGACAAAGCGAGAGAGAGAGAGAGAGAGAGAGAGAGAGAGAGTTTTTTTTATATGATAAATCGCTTTATTTTTGTAATTTGTGTACGTGTATCTTTTTGTACAATATAATAATAATAATAATAATAATAGTAATAAGAAGTAATATAGCAATAGTAACAATTACAATAGTAGTAGCGTAGTAGTATTATGATATAGTAGAGAGATAATATAATAGAGTAGCAGTAGCTTGAGAGAAGTGACAATGAGATGTATAGCAAAGACGGTAAAAAAGGATAGAAATGGATTACCACCGTAGCAGCATCCATCATCCGTCTGAAATTGATCGTTTGAAACAACAATCAGCTTGATTATAATGGCAAAGGTGTGGCGACCTGGTTGGGCGTTTTCCGGTTTTTATCCCGGGAATAGATGGCCACAGATGTGTTGTCACTCATATAGGCGTTTCTCTCCAACGTCGCTACTGACCTACGCTCGATAGTTTCGGAAAACGTTAATGAGAGACTGAGTGCAGTGATGATCATCACTTCGAGAGAGAGAACTGTTGAAATACGCTTCTTTTTTCCAATATCTGTACATGCCGAGATAAACGAGAAATTTTTTTACTCCTCTTCCTCCTCCTCCTCCTCCTCCTCCTCCTCTTCCTCCTCTTCTTCTTCCTCTTCCTCCTCCTCCTCCTCCTCTTCCTCTTCCTCCTCGCCTTCCTCCTTCTCTCCGCCTCCTTCTTCTTCCTCTTCTTCTTCGAATTGCGGCTCCTCCAGGTCGTCGTCGGCGGCGGCCTTCACGTCTTCCTCGCCCTCCGGGGACTCGGGATCGCCAGGTTTCTTGCCCGGTCGCTCGCCGAACCACTTAGGTAACTTCGCTGTTATTCGCGAGAGATAAAATGGTTATTGATCAATGTGTGATAGACATCTACACGTTGCCATACCTTTTTGTATATTAGCAAAAACTGCACGTCGCAACACGAAAATTTAACAAATTTTTCATACGTTTGTGTCATGATAAGTGTGTTCGTATTTAAAAAAACAAATAAATCTTTAACAAAAGTGGGCAAAAACACTTGTTTCTGTTTTATTAAATCAATTTTGCGCATCACTTCGGCGCCTCGAGAACCACCTCCGAGAGTTCTTCCGAACTCTTTCCTGTACTTCCGGTGGCAATTCTCGAAGTCCCGAAAGTGAAGATCATACGTACTCTTCTGACGACCCATAAACTGTTCCTTCTGTTGCGCCCACTGTTTCTCTAAGATCTCCTTCTGCTGTTCGGTCAGACCCTGAAACATCAACGGACAGAATGGCATGCTAGGAGTTATTCTCACACATCGGGCATCTTCGTCTTCGAGGGGGGAAGGGGAAGAAAAAGACCCTTTTTCTTCGTATTCTGTAGTTTTTCGTGGCTCTCGTAAAATTCGGCTCTCTATAGCGAAGTTAGGGTTGGGGGTTTTCCTCATAAGATCGTTTCGAAGTGGGTAGCTAAGCGATCTTCAGCGCTTCGTTTCCGGAGGTTCAGAAGATACACAAAGGATTTTGTTTTACAATCTTACCCAAATAAAAAACCCAAATCTCGGACATTGTAGAACCTGAACTGATACTGACTGAACAATACAATACACAATTGAAACAACGTAAGGGAGTGACAAGATAACAAATGTTTCGACAACATTACTGGGGGAGGAGCGGGGAAATTATGTTCGTGGTGGTAATTGCTCTCGCGGTCTCTCCCATGCTGATGGTGCGCGTGAGATAAAAAAAAATGAAAGACACGCTGACGGTGTGTGCACACAAAAATACGCTAGACCCGTGCTCTTTTTGTACATCAGCGAAACAACACAGCAACAACTTGGTTTTGACAGCTGCCTCTCGGTCGTTTAGTCAACGAGTAATATGTACAAATTATTAGAAACACGATAATTGACGATGATGAGAATCTGAGGGATGCAATCCAGCAAAAAACGACAAAAGCGAAAAAAAAAAACGGGGGCATGTAATAACGACAGAGGGATCGACACGAGAGATTGGACTCACTTTTGGAGCGCTTCATAAATTGTTCTGATCTCTGTTTCCACGTTTTCTCGGTGATCTCCGCTAAGAGCGTGTCGTAACCCTGTGATTTAATCGACACATGCTCACTATTTTGTTTTTGTTTTTTTATTTTTTTATTTTTTTTTTAGGTAGTTTTGTTATCGCATTCGTATATCTTATTTTGCGCGTGTGGATTTTTATCACGTGTAGGTTTTTCTTTTGTTACATCGTGTCGAAAATTTCTCGCGTTCCCACACGTGTACACGTTGTGTGTGTGTGTGTATTTTATTTTACACTCCACCGTTTTCGTTTATTTCTTTTGTTCCACAGTTGGACAAACGTTGACAAAGCTATCTCGATCGTTTAGTCGAGAAAGTAAAAACATAAAAAAAGAAAAAAAAACACGAGTATCATCGCGTTACGTTTCGCGTGACCTTTTAATCGAGATAAAGATAACACTTGTTACTTCAGAAAAAAATTTGCGCTACAAAAGCGGTTTCAATTTAAAGAAAAAAAAAAAACTACAAAGAGAGAAGAGGAAACTATCTCTCTCGTTGTGCGCAACTTAAACCCTGATCGAATAAAATAAAATGTTCCCTCCCCACGCATGTCGCGACCTGCGGAAAGAGTTTTGTCGCGCGTTTTTTTTTTTTTTCAGAGAAGTAAATAAAATATCTGTACTTACACCCTCGAAAAGTTTCTTCTTGTCGTCGTAGGACCTGGTATCGACGCGACGTTCGTACTTGGACGCGACTTGAATTTTCGGCTGTAAACAAGCGATTCGATTAAACGTCATTTATCTCTTAATTTTCCCCCTGCCCCCGTTTCTTCTAAACGTAAATTACGTACGGGATATTTGCCAGTTAAAGCCTCGGGGTCGAGACCCTTCTTCAGAGCTTTGTGCCTTAGTTGCTGCTTTTGACGTTCCTTCAGCTCTTTAAGCTAAGATAAAACGGTAATATCGATTTATCAATGTAGCTTGAAAAACAACAGCGACTATAATTACACTACCACAAGCGATCCATTCCCCAAACAAATCACGCTCGACGTGTTTTCTTTCCGTTTACGCGAAGTTACGTAATAAAAAAAAAAAATTATACCAACTACGCATATATAATAAAAAAAAACATATAAAGCGCACTTGGTTTTTTACTAACTTCATAATTCAAAAGAAAAAATATTGCAACACAAACGAATTTTTCCCTCGCGGGAAAATCTTACATCGTAGTCCTGACGCTTTTGCCGCTCCTCCAGATCGTACTTTTCAGTTTCGAGTTTGACTATTGCCTCCCACAATTCGGTGGCCTTAGTACGTAGCTTGTCAATGTTCAGATTTTCGATTTCCAGAGGCTTGATGCGGATGCTGAGAGAGATTTTCTTTTCCTCCTCGAGCTGCTCTTTCGTCTTGTTGCGCTCGAGTTGCGCCGATGTAAGATTGCCCTGTAATAACGTTTAAGATACATTCAAAGACGTCAAATCAAATTGTCGCAAGACGGATACAAACACGGAAGCAGCACGTCCGCTACTCACCGCAAGATCCTTCTTGGTAATGGTGAAGTTTGGACCCTTTGCTTTGCTCTGGTCTTTCATCGCTTGCATCATAGCTTGTCGCTTCTTTTCCGATTCCTCCAAGCGCCTTGATGCGAGCAAAAATATATTATTATATACGTTTGGGAGAACGCAAGGAAGTGTTTGTTCAAGCAATAGCTAACAACACGCATACCTTCTCTTCTCTTCGATGTCACGTTGTTTTTTCTCCTCTGAAAACGGTCAAACAAGTTCGATCAAGTTCTTTCTGGGTTTTTTCCTAAAAAAAAAAAAGAAAAAAAAAAGAGAGAAAGAAAATTGCCGAGAGACGTTTACCAATTTCACGCTGGCGACGCTCTTCCTCCTCCTTCTTCTTCTGAGCCAATCTCTTCTCCTCGTCCGCGCGAGTGACTTTGCGCTTTGCTTGTTTCTCCTGAAAACAACGTTTTCTTCAGACATTGACGTCTTCAGACGTTACACAAAAAGAGAATAACATAAGTACAAACATGTGTGTCAAATGTATCAAATATATAAATAAAATTAAATTAAATTAAAAAAAATACAAGATAAGAAAAATGTCGTACCTTTAATCTCTTCAACTCCTCCTCTTCCTTGGCTCTCTGTTTTCGCCATTCCGCTATGTATTCTTTGAGCTGTTCGTCGAGGTCACTTCTTTTTTGTTCTTGTCTCTGAATTTTTCAACAACGTTCCATTAGTCACGTCATTTGTGCGCAATTACGATTAGGTCAGTAATTTCAATATCGTGCCCCAAGCAACTCCCAATGCGCGGAAAACAAACGAGCAAAGGCAAAAAAAAAAAAAACAGTTTTACTTATCTTTACAAATAAATCGACTACGTAGAAGAAAAGCAAAGAAATTGTGCTTGTGTAGCGCAAAGAGAGTTGCGTGGGTACTGCTCGACACCGTTTTCGCGTACACACCGGTCGAGTTCACACTCACCTTCATAAACTCGATATTCTCGCCAGATTCCCTGAAGAAGGCCGGAAAAGAAAAGTAACTCTCTTTAGATTACGACGGCTGAGCCTTCCGTTCTCTGAAAGATCTCGAGAGATCCTTCAGAAACTCCGTGTGTGTGTGTGCGGACGCGATTCTTTTTTTACGCACGTCCACATCTCTCATTTCCCCACCTTATTTATCACAACTTACAACTCCATCCAACATTCTCTCTCTCCAACAGCGCACATTATTCACAAACGCCGCTTGTATACACGCACACACACACACGCACACACACACAGACAACACATTGGGCGGAACAATCAGACAGATAGATAAACATCGGACGGATGAAACAGAAAGAGTGAGAAAAAAAATCAGCGGTACAAGGAGAAGAAAACAAAAGAGGAGGAAACGCGTGTGAAGGGAGAGGGAAGAGAAAAAAAAAAGAAAGAGAGAGAGAAGAAACACAAAAAAAATGCAGATAGAAAGGCGAGTAAGGTGCAAGCGTGTAGAAAGAAGAAATCAAGGTGCGCACCGCAGCGAATCTGCAGGAAGAAGGCATTAGATCAGAGGAGTCCCATATAACTGTCTTGGATGAGTTACTTCAATTACGTGGATTTGAGTGATCAGAAGAGACGTGAAAAAGACACGGAGTAACACGGACAAACGGGTGTATCGAAATGATTAAGAAACTTTGAGAAATATTTTTAACTCTCGCGCGATTTCTTTTTTGAACAAAATGGAAATTAAATTCATCAGAACGCAATTTCGCAAAAGTCGCTCGAAACATGAGGAAAATTATGTGAGAGAGAAAGAGAGAAAGAGAGAGAAAGAAAGAAAGAAAGAGAGAGAGAGAGAGTGAGAGAGACAGAGAAATCAATATCTTTGTATAAACAATTTTTATACTGATAAAAAATATATTTAATATATTTTATCAGAATACACAAACGTGTGTTACGGTATTTTCTGTACGTACAATGGGATTGGCCGGGATGTTGGGGTATTACATGATTACTGCTTGCAAGTCGATCAATCATGGCGCAAGGTCAATTTAATTAATAGAGGGGAAAAAAAATCAAGAGAAAGAGAGAGAAAGAGAGAGAGAGAGACACAAATAAACGACAGAGAGTCGATGTGTAATAAGGACATCATGACACATCACTTTCGACGTGAAACAACAGATGTGATTATGTACAATTCGTTAATATCGTTATTAATCAGAGAAACAAAAAAAAAAGACACGCGAAGATGCGAACAAGATGTAAAAAAAAAACAAAATGTAATACGAGGGGGGGGAAAGAGCTTCGAGAACACTGACAAGTGAATTATATTAGACATGTCGCTCTGACAGAAGTGAGATCCTGAAAACGTCTCGTTGTCGTCGCTTTCGCGACGAATTACGCGCATTTGGTGCCGCGTAATGTGAAACTCTTTTTCCGCGAAGTTGCGATCGAACGAAAACGCAACCCGAGCAGGGTTGCAATTTTACACACGAGCGGAATCAAATTACTCGGTGACAAAATATTGTATTTTGCGATTTTCCGTGACAGAAAACAATTTGCGCGAGCTAAATAATTAAATAAAAATCGCATTACGCGGCCGCATGAGAGCCGACCGTTGACGATGATCGCATCAGGGCGTGGTACGGTTTTGAGCATACGTCGGCCTTAGAATAAACCGCGTTACGTTGTTGTGCGTATACATTTATGAACGTCTGGCAGGCTCCCAAACGGCTCAGGTATCGTAACACGTTGGCATTATGCAATCGCCAGCGTAAAATATTTTATAATATTTGAGGAACTAGCGTTATTCACACGTTCGCGCGCGTTGCCATTTTCAGAAACCAGAAGACACGCCGATCCGATATTCGCGCGCATTTTCTCAAACGACACAGGGCCAACGATCGCGCGTCTTATCTCATCTCGTCTCGCCGCCCCATATTTCTCGTAAACAAGAAATTTCCCTCGTCTCGCGCACAGATAGGCAATTGGCAGATTTACAGCGCGAATGTTTAAATTTAACGCGCGACATCCTGTGAAACGACCCACCCGAAACGCGCGTTTTCTTCAATCTCATTCCTGTCATGTAACGCAAATTTCAAGATTGTAAATCTTGGCCGGTTTCACAGACGTCGGACAGATTGACACATTCTGGAAACTTTTTTACAGACTCCAAAAGATTTGACATCGCGCGTTTATTCGCGTCGCGCGAAAATCTTTGCGGCTTCTCTCATAGAAAGTGTTTCAATTTTTAGAAATTTGAAAATATAAAAACAAAGAATATACCTTTTTCTTCATTCGGAAGAATCTCTTTCTTTGTTTATTTAAAAAAAAATCCGTCCGTTTCCCTAAGAAACAAGGAAACCGATTCAATCGACGTCAGGGAAACCAGCTCGAGGGGGCGAGGGAGGAACGAAAGAACGTAGCCTGCAAGAACAGGGGGGGGGAGGGGTTGTATTATTGACGTGTAAACACCTCGATATTTTCAACTTACTTTTGGGACGCTCTACCCCTATAAAAAAAAAGAAAGTATAGATTCATTAATAAAGTCGTGTGTGTGATTATCATTTCGCTTACATAAGACTGCACAAAGCTCTGCACGCGCGTAATTAATTATGTATGTAAAATTATAAATTGGTATCGCTCGTCTCCAAAAATTGCATCTTCCTTTTTTTTTTTTTTTTTTTATGCAAACTAAAATCCATGTCTCGTGAAAACGATGATCGATTGTTTTTTTTTTAGGCGCTTATTGCGAGCGTGTACACTGCCTGAGATGAATTTTGCACTTTCAATCAAGCGATTTGTCGTTTTCTTCGGAGATCTCGTAGCTTTGCATAACTGGTTTGTTTGTTTTTTGTTTTTTTTTTTTTCGTTGTCCAGTTGCTGTGTAGTGCGAACAACAGAGGCTGATTAGGCGACAGAGACACGACAAGATATAGACACGAGGGAATCATAGAGCGGGTGAGATCTTTTTGCTGTAATCGTGTGTGTAACGTGTGAGAGACAGAGTGTGTGATGTGTGGTGGGTCCACAGTTTGTGTAATGTTTCCGTGTGTATAATGGTGAACATGTCGTGTGCGACTTCACATGTGGAAGTTCACATTGTGTGCGTGTATCGTCTGTACACAAAAAAAGCGTCATAGCGTTGTTGCCTTTCATTTTATCGTTTAACCATCGATGCAAAAAAAACAAAAAAAACAGCGACACGACACACGACAGTAAGACGTTGAGAAGACAGCGAATACACCGAAGAGCGGGGAAGGGCGGGGGGGGGGGCAAAAAATATACTTTTTTCCAAAACCTGAAACGCGCGCGACACCGAAAAAGAAAAATATATCGCAGGAAATCGCTTCGATATATCGCTGATATGGAAGCCATTTCGTGGCAGCATTCTTTTTTTGTAAAAATTATCCCTTTTTTTAATCCATCATGTACTGTTTAACTGAAGAAGAAGGAGAAGAAGAAAAAGATGATAGGACAAAAAAAGAAAATAGAAGAAAAATGAGAAAAATCGAAAAAAGAGGTGGAAGAAAAAAAGAGAGGAGCGAAAAAAAAAGAGAAAGAGTAAGAGAGTGAAAGAGAGAGAGAGAGAGAGAGAGAGAGCCAGCAAATGTGTCGCTATACAAAAATCTACGTAAAAATTAACAACTGCGGCGGCGGCGGCGGCGGCGGCGGCGGCACAACGCATGTGAGATGAAGAAAACAAAGTAAAAAGAGTGTACAACAGATAGAGAACGGACGAACAATTATTATACAGCGATGACAAAAGACAGAACAGTGATTAGACAACGGAAGTAAAAAAAAAATAAATAAATAAAAGAAAAGACAATATTAAAAAAAACGACATTGACGAGATATAATGCGTACACCATTTATTTTGCCGAAAAAAAAAATTAGAGAAGGCTTTTTTGTCGTGTGTAAAACTTACTCGGTCTTCTTCTCCGGCTGCCTTTGATTTTCGACAATTTTTGCATTGTATTGTACCGCGCGGGGGTCGATTAGCCGACGACAAGTGATGGTGGTGGTTGGTTTGATTGATTGATTGATTGGTTGGTTGATTGATTTGTGTGTTGTATGTGGAGATACACACAGACAGAGAGAGATAGGGAGTGAATAAACAAACAAAGAAAAAAAACGGAGTTCGTAAATCAAAGAAAGAACAGAAACACCTTCCGTGTGTATGTAATCTCAGCGATTCGGGACTACTCGCTACTTCCTTCGTGCATTTCTACATTTTTTACATTATATTCTACGTCTACATCGATTTTGTTTAATTTTTTTATTCGTCAACTTGTGTAAATCGAAAAACGCAATGTCAATGTAAAAACAAAAAAAAGAAATAAATAAATGCGGGGATGAAAAATTATTCTAACACTAAAATTCTTGCACGTTAAAACGATATTAAATTAAAAAAATATTGCGGATCACATCAGATTTTTTCTGGAAAGTAACACGTCCCGTAGATACATCTTACGAATCCGCGCGTTGCTTAACATACATTCTCGCGACACAAAATCTCTTACAGATCTCCTGGTTAATGCTAAAAAACTATATTTGTATCTCTAATTGGTGAAAAAAAAAATTCGCAGCGCGAGATCTGAATTTCGCTACGCGCCCTCGTAGTAGCTACATTTTACGCTCGCACAGTAACAAGCCTCAGAAACTTACTTCCTGAAATGAAAAAAAAAATAATACAGATTTTTTTTTTGACGAACGTCAGAAGGATAAAACATATCTCAGAAGCGGGATCTGAGGAAACTTGAACGTAATAGGAAAAAACACTTACACTTCTTCGACTTCCTCCTCCTCGCTGCAAAAGAAAAAACGGAAAAAAAGTCTAGTTAGTCAGGGTGTTGGACACAAGGGTGGGCGATTTTTTTTCAAATCGTACAAACAAACAGAGTTTACCCGAGGGGGGTAAAGGGGGAAAAGGGGTGCACTTGCAAAATCAGAGAGGGTGCACACTTTCAGAGGGGAGTTGTTCAAAGCGCGTTTGCTTCTACTTCAAGCAAATTTCTTGCGAGTACATAGTTTTCGTGTGCTTGGTATCGTGATGATGAGTGTGCGAGTTCTTACATCACAGGTTTTAATCATCTTTAAATAATTTATGTGCGAATTTAAAAGAGAAAAAAATTGTTCGTTTGTTGAAATTATATGAAGTTAAGACATAAAAAAAAAAATAAAAAGTCAAGTACTTGTACGAGGTCATCGGTAATTGAATCAACGAAATTTTTTAACTTTGTTTGAGATTCTGTTAAAGAGCTTGATCGCGGGCGCGACCAGTATGTAAAAACGTAATAGACAAGGGAATTCGACATTTGAGACAACACAGTTAGACAAGATTGTGATGGTGTGCAGAACGACACATTGGGAACACGACGAAGCCAACGGATAACTGTCTGACCTTACGTTTATATTTACTTTTTTGTTCGGACGAATAATTTACGTAATGTTCACAACGATCCTGCCTATCGTTGTCTTTGACAAAAAAAATCTGAAAATTCTCACTGACACTCTGATATTCTCGCATTCTGATTCATCTCGGAGAACAGCGATATCACATAGAAAAAATTAATTATTATATAAAACACGTACTTTGAAAGTTATGCAAGTTCTCGTGGGATTAACAAATTTGTCACAAGAATGAAGATATAATTAAAAGATTAATACGAGAGAGTCAAAATTTGAGACTGGTTAAAAATTTTCCATCCTCTCCTTCTCATTTGATTTTCAGAGACTCGCTTAATTAATTTTAAATCGCGCGATGTCTCAAATGTTGGACTTGCACCGATTTCAAAATAAACGCGATGAAATATTTTACGGATAACGAAATAATGTAGAAGTCGATCGATAAACTGATCTTCAGAAAGATGGAAATTAATTAATATGTTACTAAGTGTTTTTTTTTTTGCTTAATCACTTACGAGTATTGGTCCTCGTCGTCCGACATGTTGGCGGCTATTTAAAGTGCTGCAACACAAAAATAAGATGTATCGGTTATGAAATGTACAAAATGGACGCGCGACACACAAGAATCAAATGACGCGAGAGACGCACACACATTCCTCGATATTAAAATTCTACAAAAAACTTGAAAAAAAAATCACGTTGATTTCGTAAAAAAAAAACTGTACGTGGCACAAAAAAACACTGCACTTGCAATTTCCGCGAACAAAAAAACTTAATTAATTTGTTCCGCACGTATTGCAATGTTCTATTTTATTTGCAAATTATTACATTACAAACTTTGTGAATGTAAAAAAAAAACAAATTCTCTTCTCTCCCTCAATATCTTCAAACCCGACGAAAAGCGCAATCAATTTTCCTCGCACTCAATACGCCATATCTCACAATTCAGCAAGACAACACGTGTGTGCAATCACATCAAATAATACGTCAAAGTAGTCAATTCACGAATAACGCGATTAATTTCTCTCTGGTTTCGATTACTCACACAATCGCTTGCAAAATTGCTAGAAAACGAAGGAAACGATCATAGAGGATTGCGAGGAGAGTCTGAACGGTTGTGAGTACGTGATGATGTGAAGAAGAGAAGAAGAAGAGCGGAAGAAGAGGTCGACAAAAAAGGAAGACGAGATTGTGTCGGCGTGATATAACGAGGTGCGGACACACGCAAAAGCGATCGAAAAAAAATGAAAAAATGCAAGCACCTTAGCAAGCGGAGATAGATAGAGAGAAACGAGAAGAAAGCCGAAGTTGAATGGACCGGGTTAGGGCGCGCCGACGCGTTTTCGAAGTAATCCGATACTTCGAGGCGGGAAAGAGAAAATGCCAGTTTGCTAACCCTGGCCGCAAGCTCGGCGTTGCAAGCTCTATAAGGAGCAGTCCCCTTCTCTTCTTCTCGTCGCTCTAATTTTAGAGGTAACAACATGCTCGCTCATTCCTTTATTTTCTTCTTTTCGTTTCTCTCTTCTCCCGATTCTTTTTTTTTTTCTCTCCTCTCTCGCGAGCAATTTCGAACAATCGGCAAAAGTCGGAATCTCGCGTCTCGACGCAATTACATATTTGCAATATTCGGAGAAGACAACAAATTTACGCTATGCAGAACGAAAAACCCCGATGATTTTTTACGAATTTTTGCACAAATACGTCAACGTTTACATTATCTTACACGTTTATCTCTCTCCGATTGTTTTTATGTTTTTACTTTATATTCTCGAATGATTCACACGTCATATATTGCGTCATCTCGCCATTTATACCAAAGGCCAGAACTTCCTCACACCAATAAGCGAATTTCTTTTTGGTAACCAATAAAACGAAATCGCGAGCAGACACACGGTATATTTATAAAGAGTTTTTACTGGAACATTTATCTTTGAGGCAGAGACAGAAGTAATACATTTCTCAGAAGAGACAGCGGAAAAGAATATTTACAGTACGAAAAACTAACAATCTAATAAAAAAAACATTGCTAACAAATTTGCAACGCTCCTCTAAAGAAAAACTACTTGATTTAACAACTTCTCGATAGCGTCTCTGCTCGCTCGAAATGCAAAATTTCTTATTGACAAAATTTTTCACCGTAATTCTTGGAAATAAATTTGTTTATTTTGTTATTTTTGTTTTTTTTTTTTTATTTCATGCGCGCGCACACACGATTACACGAGAGAACACATAGAGACACAATTCACCCTCGCAGATTTTTTAGAATTGACCGAATAGAGACGAGGGGCGTTCGACACGGCAAAACAACAGAAGAGACAGAGAGAGAGAGAGAGAGAGAAAGAGAGAAAAGAGAGAAGATACAAAAATCATTAACACAGAATGCAAAAAAATGTGAAAACTTACACTCGGCTGGTGTCAATGCGTGAGAGAGAGAGTGTGTGTGTGTGTGTGTGAATGTGTGGATGTGTGAGTGTATGACGAGGACACGAGGATGTATATTGGATTTTTTACGAGGGTGGCCCGCGGACGGAAGACTCTGAGAGAGAGATAGAGAATGCGCGAGGAGATCACACACTTCGCAGACAAACACGCACAGGGAGGAGCCTGAATCCCGGTGGAATGTAGAGTCCGCGACAGCCTGAGCCGCTCTGAGGAGAGATCCGGAAAAGCCGCGACTGGACACTGCAGACGTGGAGAGCCGCGGGCAGCGTGCCCGCTCCGGGTAGTCGCTCTCTTTCTCTCTCTCTCTCTCTCCCTCATCCCTCTCTCACTATTAATAGAGCGCAGATCCGCATCCGTGGACCACGAGAACGAGATACGATTCTGGCTGATACTATTTTCGTGTCTTCTCTCTACCGACGATGGTGATCATCGTCGCTGTAAATATTTCGCGCGTCTCCACACACACACACACGCAACCTCGCGAGTAACGTGCTCGTACGTACTCGCGAATTCTCCGGACGGATTGTTCCAAAAGTAGGCCTGTTGCGTGTTCCCGATGAACGATGAGAAACTAGTCGGTTTAGTCTGTAATATGTCTGGTACAGGCTGAAAAATCTCAGGATTTTGAGATTCTAAACACTTCTCGAAGACGATCAGTAAATCTCATTTTTCACATTTTTCTCATGTGTCTGTGTCACGCGCAAATAATTATACAAATAATACGATCAATGCGCACTTTTCTCTGACACAAAAAAGTTGTCGCAAAAATGATTGAACATTTGTGTTATTGTTTTATTCGCGCCCCCGAGTTTTTCCAACACAGTCGCCCGCAGTGGCGAAAGGGCTTAGCTGGAAGCTATGTTTGGGATCGCGAAGATTGTATCGAATCGCGCGCTGTCTCCTTATGTAGACAGAGAGACGAGAAAGAGATCACGTGGGAGATCTCGCGATAAGATACGCTGCGGTATAAAGTTGCTTTGGTGTTTTACCTCAAAGATATGACGGCGGAACTTGTTTACGCGCGGGATTTACGACTGGAACGACAGGAGCCTTAATGAATGTGTTTCGTCTGGTACATTTTGCACAGTGTTTTATTTGCTTCCAGTAACAAAATAGCGAAGCGATCCAAGTGAAATGATACAAATAGATGGAAATAAACGCGATAAGAGAGTTTCAGGATCAGTCATCGTCAGTTATCTGTTTGGTTTTATAATATTAGGTACGATTGGTCGTTTGAACGGCCTGTCCTTGCCACCGAATCTCAACTGTCCAGATTCCTTTTTGCCACCGAAACCACCTCCTGAAATTGACGCAAGTAATTTGAAACGTTATGAAATAAACGGCGAAAACAAACGCACAGACACGGAAAATCATACCTAGTCTTCTTGGTTTCCAACCCTTCATGGTTCGACCGCATTCGTAGTCGATAAACAAATTGTATCCCTTTAATGTAACATCCGCAGCTCGTCTCAGAACTCTTCTAGCATCGTCTCTGCTCTTCATTTCCACAAAACCGTATCCCTGAGACATTCCGGTCACTATGTCCACTATAACCCTTGCCGAAAGAACATCTCCGTACTTGCTAAAAAACTAGAATATCAAAATTTATTTACGAAACGATCAGTTATGTTTGACGTAAATAAAAAAGCTTTGGAATGAAAATTAATTATTCTCAACAAATTGCACATTACCTCCTTCAAGTCGTGTTTGGTAACTTTGGGACCGAATTTGGCTACGAACAAAGTTCTCTCTGGATTAGACTCCAAATTGCGCGGTGGCTCGTAGTGGCTCGCGATCGCTCTGCTAATGGCCCTGTCGTGGGGTTCGGTGTCCGTCCCGTCAATGCTACCCGCTTGTAAAGGATTGTACTCTTTGGCGTAAGGACTCCAGTTCTTCAACGTATCTTCAGCCTGAAGAATAAAGAAAACATCATCTAAACACTTCAAGACAAAAATTTTTTTCACATTTATATTATTGTTTTTTTACTTTATCAAAAGTTTCGTTATTTAAAAAATATTCTGTTCGAATTAATATTATACTGTGCTTAATATTGTACCATTAATATTGTACTGATCAAATGCACTTACCATGTTTGATACTCGACATTTGTAACACAAAGTAATTGAACGTTTGTTTGTTTTGCTTCTCTCGTTGATTAAAACAGAAACACGTTTATGGTGTTTTCAGTTCTGAGAGACTTTTTAACAACAGTTTTGTTTTCTTTCCGTTTAACATGCCGTCAGCTGTTTGACATCGCACTTCGAGCGATAATCTCGAGGGTTAGGAAATTTGTTCGATATCGATCGAGATATCGAAATGCGAGATATTGAATTGCGATTCTCGATACATCGATCGATCCTTGTCGCGCGAAACACGTGCGACATAACCTGTAAATGTGTGTGCGTGTTTGCTTACTGGCGATTTAATTTGAGATGTTATTATGGCCAAGGTTGTGCAAAAACGTGCGAAAAAGAGAAAAAGCACGAGGGAAGAGCTGGAGTCACTTGATAAAGCGGTACGGTTTTTGCGCACTTGCAAATGTGTGCATAAGTTCATAGTTATTTGTGCACAAATCTATATATAAAATTTTTTCATCATTTATGCAGGAATTAATTAACAAAATATTGCAAGTTGAAGCTCACAATGAACAACTCAAAGTGCTCCTCACGAAGGCCACAGATTCCAAATTAGTGGAGAAAGAAGGAAAGACTGGGAAATCATTTGATTTCTCACAGTAAGTGTATTCTCTTTTTGTTTGTTTTTGTTTTTGTTTTTACTCAATACTTTCCTTGCGGAACAATTCACGGGAGTTTCCAATTGCAGGTGTCACATGAGACACATTCTCTTGAAATTTTACTATCTCGGTTGGGACTATCACGGTTTCACCGTGCAAGAGGATAACATCAACACCATCGAGCATCACTTGTTTACAGCTTTGATAAAAAGTTGTTGTGTAGAGTCACGTGAGAGCGCAAATTATCACCGTTGTGGAAGAACTGACAAAGGGGTCAGCTCGTTCTCCCAGGTGATTTCGTTAGACATACGCAGCAGGCTGGAGCCTGAGAAGCAGGACAACTTGGCGGACGAGTTGCCTTACTGCAAGATATTGAACAGATTGTTGCCAGCGAACATAAGATGCGTAGCGTGGTGTCCGGCATCTCCTAATTTTTCCGCGAGATTTGATTGCAAATACAGAAGATACAAGTATCTCTTTCCAAAAGGCAATCTGAACATAGACGCCATGGACAGAGCTGCGAAATATGTCATAGGCAATCATGATTTTCGCAATATTTGTAAAATGGACGTAGCCAATGGCGTGACAAATTTCACAAGAACCGTGATCGACGCGAAAGTCTCTGTAAGCGATCAGAACACAGAAAAACTCACAGGTATGTTTCTTTAATAATTTTTTTTTTTGCTACTTATTTTATCTCCAATTGAACAGAGGAAAAGATTGTTTTTTCTCTTGCAGGCTACACTATGTGCGAATTAGAAATTACCAGTCAAGCGTTTCTTTGGCATCAAATTCGTTGCCTGATGGGCGTCTTGCTGCTGGTCGGGCGAGGAAAGGAAGAGCCAGAAGTAATTTTGAAACTCTTGGACGTCGAGACTTGTCCGCAGAAACCGCAGTACAACATGGCGCACGAGACGCCGCTAAATCTTTGGTATTGCGATTATGAGGGTGTCGAGTGGTTCGTTGACGAAGATGAATTGGTATGCACCATCAGGACTTTGCAACAAGACTGGACTCTCAATACTGTGAAGTATGTTTATTATGAAAGAAAAAAAAAAAGAAATAATCTTTACATATAATTGTATACATAATTGATCTCGCAAATTTTGCTTCTCGTTTGATATATGCAGGTCTTCAATGATCAAAGCTATGTTAACGCATTTAGAAAATTTGGTCAAGGGCGTAAACACAGATTTTCAGGCGGATTGCCTTCTTCTTGGAATACAATCGAAGGTGTATCAGCCGCTGATGAAACGAGAAATGTGCGGTTAGTATAGAGCAAAAACTGGCCAACATAAATGTTCGTTACCAAAGCCACGACTTAACATCAAACTTGGTCTTCTTAGCTTTCGTTTAAGTCTATTATTAAAATTCTTTCTTTTAAATTCGTTAACTTATCTATAGCATGATCTAACAGTTTTTAGTTATCTCTAAGACATCATACATGCATACAAGTACTGTCCAAAAATTTTAATACATATATATACTACCGTATATATATATATAGTCTACTATAATACAGTTGTGTCTTCAAAATATTCCAACAATCAGATGTAAATTTTTGACTATTCGTCTCCTCGCTACGCTAAAGTACAATATCGCTGTATTTAAAAAACGTTTCTTGAACTTATCATTTGTTTTTTTTTTTTTGTTTTGAAATGTACATTCTATTTTCTTTTATTATCTTTCAACACTATATAAACTTAATCGACTAAGCCTGTCCGAGTTTCGATTCTCTTCGAACTTTCTTATTTCCTTTCTTCGTTTCGTTCTCAAACGAGAAAGATAAAAAAAAAAAAAACAACCGGAAGGAAGAACGCAAGATTAAATTTACGTACTGCATATGTTCGTTGTACTTGTGCGTTGCAATTGTGATTATTTAATCCGTACCGATCGACGCAGTTCCAACGGAGCGAGGATAACTGGTAAAAAATTGAATATGGACGAAAATAATAAAAGAGAAATATCATAAACTTGGACAGGTTTAGACTGAGAATCTGTACAATCTCTACAGGCGCGGTTCATCTCGCCTCGCGTCCCGATTTTCTCTACTAGTTTGAACATTTACCATTAACAAAGTATATGAAAAAAAAAAAAAAGAATGCATGATCGATAACTCGATTTTTTTCCATACAGACAGCTTGGAAAGCAAAATCGAACATTACAAGAGGAAACAAAACTGCGTCACGTAGCATACGCCTATTCTAATCACAGGACTTGTATATAAGTTACACATATGTATCAATACTTTTAAATATACATGGCTTTTACTCTAAGTACTACATATGGCATCTCTCGATTGTTGTTTGCTATATGTACCGTTTTTTTCTTTTTCTTTTTTTATTTATTCAGCCTTGTTTTTCGTCAAAAAGTTTGATGCACTTCATCAAAAGCCCCTTTCCCTCTCCAACCTCGCAAATGTTTTGGCAAGACCATCAAGTTTACGTGAGAATATCCGTTACGACAGAAGAGAATCAACGCTATTCAAAAACAAAAAAAAAATTTACAAATAACGTTGATAGGCCTGTAACAAGACTATACACAAAACCACGAGCGAACCTTCTCGCGAATCTATGCAGATCTAAACAGACAAATGTGTCGAAAGCGATAAGTTTTACACAGTTTTGAAGCTTTATTTCCGTGAGTGAGTTCTAAGCTGCGAACGTAACGTTTGCTGTTACTTTCAACCCTAATCTCACACCGAACCGGCTACGGACGAGCGAGTGTCAGTACAAATCGCTATGGATCTAGTGATAGCTATGAAAAAAAAAAAAAGCCCGGGCGCGCACTAGGCTGTGTTACATATGTGCAATTGTCCTCCCGTCAAGATTAAGACTTGGCGGTTTTGATCTTAAAAAATTCTAACAACAGCAGCTCTTATCTCTTAAACACTGACGTCTTTTAAACATTTATTTACAGAGGATATGAAGCTAATGAAGCTGTTATATGTACACAATCAAATCGGTGAGATTTTACTTCGGGCATCTAAGTGTAATGAAACGTATTTCATCTATCGTACATATAATTTTTTTATCATACTGTTAAATGATAAAAATAAAACAGTGCTGCTAACATGTATGTGTGTGTGACCGCTTTGTGAGCGATTTTAAAAACTGAGAAGACATCAATCGGAGGTTTTCATTTGTTTTCATTTCTATCACAGGACGGCATGCATTTGAACCGAGTGTCAAAGTTGCTCTCTTCCTCCGATGAGTTTTCCTCATTGTTTTTACCCTCGTTATCTTCGTCCTCGTCTTCTTCCAATTCCTCTTGCTCTAAAAGTCGTCTCGCCATTTGTACGGCGTGCCACTCGCGATAGTGACCTTTCCTCTTTGCCTCGAAAGCTCTTCTCCTTTCTGAAGTGAAACACAAAAGTGAAATAAAGATGAGAATTTTTCCATGGAAATCTTTACACAGACAAATTTTTTATATTCTTACCTCTTTCCTCAGGAGTTTCCTCCTCCTCCTCTTCCTCACTGGATTCTTCGAAAATTTTGGGTTTACTACTTCCGGCTAATCTGCATTTCAACAATCAAGTTTGATGCCAAGTTCTTGTATTTCCGTCCCGTGTTATAAATAATTCGAAATAAACACGAAAAATATTTAAATAACATTTACATACTTTGCCGCAATGGTGCTTGCGTCCAACTGATCAAATTCATGTTCATTTTGGAGGCCTTCAAAGTTGTATGGGGTTTTTGGTTCTTCAATTTTCATATGACCGTAATCCTTGTCGGCAGGATGAAGGGTTGCAATGATATTCATTTCGTCCCATGTTGTTTCTTTGCTAGGTCTATTGAAGATCAATATAAAAATAATGAAGAAATACGGATACAATGTTTATGTACATCCAAAAATAGAACGTGGAAATAATAAGTTGACATTTTCATATTATACTTCATATTATACTTCCTAACTTGCGTTAAGAAAAATTTGTGTTTCACACAAATCTTTCAAAGTTTTTCGTTTGAAATAAAATCGGAAACACAAAAATATTTTACACACATTCGGTAAGAATATTCGCAAGATCTACAACGTACAATTGGTATTAAACCTTGTCGCATATGTACATATACGTATATATATATATATATGTACACACATTTTTTTTTGTACTAAATTCGAAGAGCAAATCACAGTGCGTGAACTCATTCGATTGTCACGCGTGCTTGTCCTTATATAAATGTATGTTTACGTTTCGGTCACGCGAGCCGCCTTTGATATTGAGCGACGAACGTGGGCAGAGGAAGATACACGCATCTCTATTTTTACGCGAACACGTCGGAATTCAATTAACGCTCCCTCACCTAGGCGCCTCTGGATTATCAAAACTGCTGGATGTCTTTAGGATTCCCTTGGAAGGCCGTTTTGACAAATTCTCTGCCATTATAAAATGCTGGATTACACACACATACACACGACGACGGTCACTCACGATGCAATTGCATTTTTATCAACGAAATTTCGTTTCTCTTGTCTTTGAATAAACTGTTCGCGAACGTGTCGGTTACTCGATGAACATTTTCACGCGCCCCTCAGCATCAGAAGCGGTCTCTATCAGCCTCTTGTGACAGTCCGATCATCCGGTATGTACATACACAACACACCCTAACGTACAACTCATCTGCATAACCAAAATGGAGTGCACATGTGCAAAATAGTTGCATAGTATCGCCCTCTGAAGCTCCTTTTCCCCCCACTTCTCTCTTTTCTTTGTTCCGTTTCACGCGCCGACAATATTGTGTGCACACCGGAGATTAGATTACACACAAAAATAAAACCTCGAGTGTAGAAACGTAAAAACAGCTGGTTTTATTTATAGTTTAAGCAAATTACAAATTTTATGACAAAAACATCTTAATTAAATATTTTACATTCTTTGTAACGTGCAAACACACGTAATATACAAATTTCACAGAATTGTTTTTTAAGACCTTCATCGTATCAAGGAAAGTGAAGCATTTTTAACATCACCATTTAATTAAATAAAGCATTTTTCAATATCGCCACCTGTAAATGACAAAGTGCTTTTTCCATCCTGAAAAAACACATACAAACATATGATTTTATTAAACACAATTGTGGACACATAAAGAGTATATTTAAGATTGTAATTTTATAAAATACTTTGTGAGACTCACTTCTTTTGAATAATTTCTATCTCATTGTAAGTTTCAGTCAAATTCTTCAACTCTGTATTGACGGCGCAAAGTGCTTCACCATTCGGACCAATTATTTCTGTGATATTTTTCAAGGTGTTCGAGCATCTTGCCAACACTTCCTGAGTGTCTTTCCACCCGTCCTCGGTTTGAGGAAGTATCATGCCGTTACATCGCAACACGTTCAGTGGTTCCAGGAGGGTTTCCAGCTTAGACAGTACATTTTTCAAATTTCTAAACGTTTCGTTCTCTGTAATAATAATAGAAATGTAGATTTCAATTCAACAAAAATGTGTGACCATAAGACAAACAATTTGAATCTTACTGGTGCATTTCGTTACCGCAGCCAATTGCTTGTCTGTTTCTCTTTGTGCCGAGCTCAAGCTCACTATGTCACGTTTCCTTCTGGTGATCTTGATCAGTTTTTCCATGTCCTGATCCATCTCCTGAGCCACAGTGGCCAATTGCGCGGCCATTAGCTGCTTCTTCTCCTCCGTCATCCTCTTCACTATCAAATCCGTCATCATGGCTTGTAGATATTCATCGTACAGAAGTCCGAGTTCCACCTCTTTCTTTTCATCATCAATTTTCTTTTGAATATCTACCGGCAACTGTGACGGCATAATTGACAGTCTGCTCGAAGCAATTTTTTTACTTGGCATTTCTAAAATTCAACGAGACACATCAGTTTCCGACATATCAAACTCTAGTTAGCAAAGATGTAAATTAAAACAAGAAGAAATCTTTACTCGACGCTCGAGTGTCGTTTAATGTCGTGTTTCTGTTTCGAGTGGTTACATTTCTTGAAATAGAGGAATTAAGTAACGTGGTGTCCGACAGTTTTCCCGCAGCCTCTCGTGTTTTAACGGTGAGAGTTCTGGAAGAAAAATTCTTGTGTCAAAAAAATCAAAACATAAAATAAGCTTCGTCGTCAGCCAGTTGGACACTCTTTTAATCAAAACGGTTTACCTTTTATTGTACCCCTTTAAAGCACCTGTTGCTTCTTCCATTTTTTTTTTTTCAATTTTATCTTCAGAGATGGTGGATGTTTTGTTTTTTACTTTATATCGCAAGTTTGCTTCTGTATTTTACGGTTCAAAAACTTTTCGTTCTCCTGCGCTCTGTTCTGTGTTTCTCAGGAAACGCGGTCGCACACACAGATTGAAAGATCGGAACGGGAGAAAAGCGTGGTGGGAGGTCGACCAATCGGAAATAAACGAGCGATTCCGTTCCAATTTTAACAATCCGGGGTTAACGAGGGCGCGGTTCGCGATTATCGAACAACTTTTTGCACGCGAAAGTCCATATCACGTGTCGCGTGAACTGTAGACTTTCGCTCAAAAAAAAAGAAGAATGGTCTCACGAAAATCGAGACCCAAAGGGTGTTGATGCACATCACCACCACCACAGTGCATAAACACATATAGATCGAGGTAGTATGAAACGTCTGCGGAATTTAGTTCACTCAATCGAGTTACGCCACTGTGTATACGTTGTGTTTAAAGCTCACAACAGTGGTCATGCCGGTTGTAATTTTAGGTTAAATTATTTTGGCGTGAGATTTTTCGCGTAGTTTAATAATAAAATAATAAGATAATATAGAAAACAAAAAAACCTGGAATATAGCGGTTTAAAAAAAAATTAGAAAAAAATGGACAATAAAATAACGATATGCGACCCCGACGAAGAAGAGGAATTAGAAAATGATATATTGCGTGATATGGAACCAGTTATGTGGATCAATGACGATCCGAACTACGATTTGGACGAGATTAACACGTTTTTTCACAGAGTTGACTCAGATCAAATCATATACGAGGAGAAGAAGAAAAGGTGCAAATTTATCGGCAAATATGTCATGGGCGACGTTCTCGGCGAGGGTAGTTACGGAAAAGTTAAGGAGGTTCTAGATTCGGAAACGCTCTGTCGACGAGCCGTCAAAATACTGAAGAAACGAAAACTCCGAAGGATACCGAACGGAGAACAAAACGTTCAACGGTGTGTGTTTGACAATCGTATATGATCTTGTGAATGTTTTCGCAATGTATGTGTGACATTTCGTGCGAATTTCTATTTTATACACACGCTTGTTTATGTACATATTTATTTATTTATATTCACCGCATCTATTGTATTATAAATGAACAAAAAAATTTATTATTAACTTCACACATAAACCGCACCAATAACTAATGCTTGCTGTTTATGTTTCACAGGGAAATAAAATTATTAAGAATATTGAAGCACAAAAATGTAATAAATCTCGTGGATGTTTTATGTAGTGACGAGAAAGAGAAGATGTATTTAGTTATGGAATTCTGTGTTTGCGGGTTACAGGTAAATTTTGACAAACACACATGTATATTTGGTTCAGAATTTCATACACATATATGTGTCAACCACATGTGTCTAAAACTAAACTTGTTATCAACTGATTTTAAGAAAACTGTTTTATACAAGGTATATTCTGTTACAAGATAACACTAAAAAACATGTGCTATTTGCAAATTTCAAGAACACCTTGATGTCACAAAAATATCAGACATAGAAGTAAACACCATTTTTGTTTGATAAGCCTTCTGTCAAATGCAACATATTTCATACAAAACAGTTTTCATTGAATCAATTTCATAACAAATTAGACAGTTGTTTAGTGACTTATTCCGTCCATAATGATCAAGATGTTTTATAATTAACATTTGTTTTCTAGTTTGCTTACAAATTATGTGCAATATATGTATCATATATCGTTGTTTCGTTACACACAAAGAAAAAAAATCATGTTACCAAGTACAATTGAAGTTTTTTTTTTACAATTGACATCTGTGCAATGGCCTGCATGAATTAACAACAATTAGATTTCTATTTATTAGATTCTTTACAGGACATGTTGGAAAGCACACCAGCCAAGAAGCTTCCGCTTTGGCAGGCGCACGATTATTTCTGCCAGTTGTTGGACGGTTTAGAATATCTTTACAGCAAAGGAATAGTTCACAAGGACATAAAACCTGGCAATTTGTTACTAGCTCTAGATGGTACATTAAAGATTAGCGATTTTGGCGTCGCAGAGGTACACAAGCTTCACATCTATTTACATTTCGTTACTTTAAGAGAATTTGATCTAATCTATATCTTCTATTTAAATATAATCTTCACAAATGCCAAGATCAGATGTCATTTGATTTAATAAACTTATACGGATGGTGGAACGCACCAAGTATACTTGTTTTTCAAAATGAACAAACGTTGCGCTTTTTCAAAACATTAGATATTTCATTTCTATTTGTAATTTTGTCTCTTTTTCATTGTGCCAGGCGTTAGACATGTTTTCCAAAGACGACACATGTACAATAGGTCAGGGATCGCCGGCGTTTCAACCACCAGAAATCGCGAACGGCTGCGAGAGTTTCTCAGGTTTTAAAGTAGACATATGGAGTAGCGGAGTTACATTGTAAGTAGGATGCGCGTAATCTTAGGCGTGAGGTGTAAAGGGTAACGTGTTTTTGTAACAGGTACAACATAACAACAGGTCAATACCCTTTCGAGGGCGATAATATATACAAGTTGTATGAGAACATTGGAAGGGGTGAATATAGTATACCGAACGAAATAGAAGATCCTCTGAAATCGCTCATACAGGGAATGTTGCAGAAGGACGCGGATAAAAGATTTACATTGCAACAGGTTAAGAGACACGCCTGGACCGTTTGCAAGCACCCCAAAATGCATAAGGAGGTGCCCATACCGCCCCTGAAAAGCAACTCGTGCCACAGTATGACCGTCTTACCATACCTGTTGGAGTATCATTGCGGGAGCGATGATGACGACCCTGTTTATTATACGGAACATCAGCTGAACGGTACGAATTTCGTTGTTTCGTTATAAATTCGCTATAAATTAACATGAAAAAAAGCCAGCCACAGAACTTCCGAAAACGGAAGGCCACACAATACGGTGGTTACAAAAAAAATATATATATATATATATTATTCTCTCGTTCATCGTAATGCGCAATCGTTTCCTTTTGTAGAAGAGAGAAGACTTCAAGAGTTAGATCATATCAGCGAGGATCAGAAAACCACGTGTAACAGCCATCATATCAAACCCAACGCGAACAGTCAGAACAAACGGAGATGGCGCAAACCAATCTCGTGCATAAGTATGAAGAGATTTCCGTCTTGCAAACCGTCGTGATTTCGACGATCGTTTCGCGTGTTTCTTCGCTTGTATATTGCCGACCGAGTCGGTCGCTATAAAGCTTCTCCGTGTCCAAGACCGAAAGCTTGATAATACGCGCTGTGAGCGTATACGTTACACGTTACGCGATTCAGCGTGTAACGCAGCACGAATAGAACGTAACGCTTTTGAAGTGTCGCTTCAAAAGTGTCGAATGAAAAAGAAAAAAAAAAAAAAAACGTTTGTGATATTAAGATTAAATAGCATATAGAGATAACAATTCACGACAACCTTATTCGTCATACGATATACTACGAAACGTCTGTTCAAATTTACATTTATCTTTCGGTGCCATATTGATAGTGCGATTAATAAATATGTTAATCGTAAAATAATTCTGTTTTATTTTTATTTGAACTGTGTGTGTGTGTGTGTGTACGACGGGAAAACCGACGAAAAAATGTAAGCAACATCACGCTATAAACCAAATTTATATATAAACGAAAATGCATTAAAAAAAAATAAAGTTATGAATATATTAAAAAAATATTTTTAAAATAAAAAAATATATTTAAGAGGTAAAAAAGGTCTGTGACTAGATAAACTAGTAATTTTCTAGAGAATTATACACATATTATAATCGACACGTAAAAAGTTTCAGAATCACCCTAAAGATACATTGCAAAACATCTCAAACCTGATATTTTTTTTGCGTTTTTCACAAGGTGCCTAAGTGACTAGTCGAAAGAATTCGGGCTCGCGTCCCTCAAATCAACGCAAAGTGACCGCGTGTTTGTGTATTTTCGCGTTTAGAGAGATTTTCAGTGTTTTATTTCGTTTGTCGGTCATTTGATCTCGAACGAAGAAAATGTGGATCAGTTACGAAGTCGTCGGTGTCCGTTTCACGGAGAAGTGGCTACGAATAAAGTGGAGGTCAAACTAACTTTATTACGCGTCAGGTTTGTTTTATCGTTTTCTACGTTCTTGTTTCTATCTAAAGCTCCACTTTTCCACGTCTTGCTAACACGCGTGATTGTTGCTCGTAAGTTTTGCTTTGCAGATCTCATAAAATACCGGAAGAGACACTTGCCTTTCAGCGCGTTAAAACGTTGCAAGTGATTCGAACAAGGAAACGCGACACATTTTCTAGGAAAAGAATCTAGTCTTCGGCCTCGTCTAGAACAAGTCACGATCTACTGAGAGAGAGAGAACCGGAAGAAGATTCAAAAGACAAATTGATGTATCTCGGAAAACAATAAATAACACTTAGAAGATGTAATCAAGCTTCTCTCACAGATTTCCTGATTGTCCATCCTGTGCAATTTCTTTTTAACAAAAACGTTTTTTTTTTGTTTTTTTAAAACAAATTGTGCACATTGACAAAAGAAACGTCTAAAAACTGACAGACAGTACAGGACAGTGTGTGGTGCAAAGGTGATCTGTTTTTGCAGCTGTAAATGAAAATCTTATATGTTACCACTACACCAATTATTATTTAATAGCTCCACTTATATATTCCAATCTCGTTATGTATATATTGTACTTTATATTACAAACAAGTGTTTTGTTTTTGCTGAAACTACACTAAATTCAATTCGATCGCCAATTTACTCTTCTTACTTTTCTCTTGTCACATTTCAAGATGTGATAAGACTCTACATGTGATCTTGCTTAAAATAATGTACAATATAACAACGAAATTTAATTGCAATTTTTGCAAACATATCAAAGTTGGTTTGGTTAAAATCTTCGACGAAGCGTTTTGGGAGACAATAAATTTGGAAGAATATTAAAAGTGCAATTTGATCTCACAAAAGCAAATCCTGAGATTTTGATCGGAAAAACTAAATATCAGCAATATTAATTCCCAGTCCCTTTCTGTAACTCGTAATAATTTCGTATATCGTTGTCGTATCGTTGCGCATCAATACTTTTGTCTGCGCAACAATTCGTAATGCATACACTATTAGAACTTACAGAAGACTAGAGCTGGTGAGCTGGTGATTGAGAAGATATAGATTTTCTTCCATATTTATAATAATAAAAGATGACGATTATATAATCTTAAATGTACAAATAAGTTATTAAGTAGTCTACATACATAGTAGCTCCTTCTTAAATCAGAAAAATTTCCACTCGCTTTCTACACGTTTGTCGCCATTTCCCATCGATATAAAAAAGTTATGTCGTGAATAGACGTGTTTACGACATTTATTTTGCTTTTTCCTTCTTGAACAATCGGGACAATTGGTCTAGGCGCAAAAGAAGAAAGAAGCGCTCGGATTCACCTCTCAATTTTCGATTTTGCTTCGATCCCAAAAGAATTTCCGAGTTTAAGAAGAGCTAATTCAATACAATTTTCAGTAAAGTTTAAGTGTAGTCACCGCTTTTTTTTTTTTTTTTTTTTTTTTTTTTTATTTCTAGTGCCATAAATCGGTAAAACGCATAATGAACTAATGTCAAGGCAATTAAGTTATGTCGATATTGATGTGTCTGTGTGAGTTTTATTTCAATTATATTTTCGATTTTGTTGTTGTTGTTGTTGTGATGTAATCATTTCGCACACACATAGCGTTCTGCACAGTGTTTTTTTTTTGTTTCATGACTGATTACCGCCTAATATAGCGACTGCGCGTTAGAGGAACGTGGCCGTTTGATCTTTTCCAGGTTCTTGATTACAAGATCGTGAAGCGAACAATAGCGATTGCGGACCTCGCACATAACAAGCCACAAGCTTACGTATTCTTTCTCATCAAGTTCTTGGATAGCCCTTCTATAATCGAGAATATGTGGATATTTAGCGACTTTGCTAACTATCTTCCCTCTCGAAATGAAGTACCTACGAACACAAAATGAAAGATAATTCTCTTCTTTGCGCCTGTAATTTCGCCAGTAAAAAAAAAAAAAAAACTACTAATAGAGGCATCCGTTCCTGAGAGTTAAACCGTTAGAGTTTTCCGTTTTATACTACCTAGAAATTTGATCGAAAAATGCAGCAGCTTCGCTTTCAACTGATTGGATTTCGGATAATGTATCCTCTTGAATAGATACTCCAAAGTTGTTTCCATCCTCAATTTTTGGGATCAGAAAAGAGATCCACATTTTTAGCTGAAAAAAAAAAAGTTCATTAAAAATCAAATAACGCAAATCTTCTGCATTTGTACTCGAATGTGCATCGCGCACGCTTAAATAAATGCGTGCTCACCAAGTTGGAATCTTCTAGGAGTTCTCTAATGTAGGGTTTGACTATGTGAATCAAGTCACATAATTTTTTGTTGCAAGGTACCGGACCGTTTGGAAGTACCATAACTTTGGTTCCGCTGGTCTCCTCGCTATTATTGTCCACTTTGAGCTTTTTTGTGGCAGGACCATCTTCGGAATGATTAATAATTATGGGGTCTGGAATGGGTACATTCAACTCTTGATGTACATCTGACAATTTGCGATTACAGAATCCCGGCGTTTCTAGCAATTCGTTTAATTTGACTATTTTCTCGGGAAATCCTTCCACCAACAGTTCCTCTGCCTTAAATGACAAACACGTAAATAACAACATACAAAATATAAACAGAGCTCACTCTGTATTGTGATGTACAGAGCAAGCTACTATTCGATAAGATATAAAAAGCGTAGAAACAATAATAATGAAGAAAGAGAAAGCAACCAATTACCTTGGTTTTAAGAGAATCCTTGTATTCTTGAACCTGTAAAATAATCTTAAAAGATACATCACTTTGATAACAACGTGTGAAATAAGTGTGTAAACAAGTACTTAAACAAGTACTTAGAATTAATTTAGTGTAATATGCAAATATGTATAAAATATAAACAACATGAAAATATAAAATGGCAATGAAATGGCTTGAAACAAAATATAATAATCTATAGGTGTTGCAAATCACAATTCAAGTCTAACTTAGATACCTTATTTTCTGTAAGACCATCTGGGAATAAATTACTCGAGCCATGGCTTAGATTACCGGAGAGTGTGGAAAACATTTACACAAAAGATGAAAAGCAATAAGGGAACACATACAGAAGATGATTTTTAACAATTGTGAGAATTTGAAGACAAGAATTTGGTTTTTACAAAAATCTTAATCTCACACAACAGAATACAATCACAGGAGACTGATGACAGATTAATTCAATTGTTTGTGTGTTTTAAAGGAGTATGTTTTGTATTTCAGACTGTATGCACACGTAATAATGTTTTAAATTATTTGTCTATGCTATGTGTATGTATTATTCGAGGAGCAATAATTCTTGAAGTGTTGATAGTCAAGCTTGCAGTTTGAGAAGCAACTGTCGCATGTACCATACTAAGTATAAAATAATTGTCAGTTGTAATTATTTATTTTAAAAAAAAATCAGTAAACAAGCGGTAACATTCCTTTCTGTTGTAAACTAATATCAGTCCGATGTGTTCCGTATGAGAGAAGAATCCTGCATCAGCATTACTATCATGTTTCTCAAGCAGTTTCTAGAAATTTGACGGGGATACAAAGCTTATCAAAAATTCCTTATCAACTGTGTTTCTTGTCGTTATCAAATGTTACCCCTCCTCACGAGAGTACAAATGCCATCGAAATTCTAGATCTTTCTTTTTAGGAGAAGAAGCAAAAGAGGAAAATATGAGGCTACGTGTGTAACGAAAAAACTTCAAAACCGTATGGTGTTTTTTTTTTTTACTTGCATTCGATACTCGCGACAATTTCAAGTACGTGGACGGGAGAAACAGGAGGGAAGCGACGGGGAAGCAAAGGTGGCGGTAAACTCTAGGTCGCGCGGGATCCTCGCAACGGATGAACGCGCACACCACTGTGCTCGCGTAAATACCGGTGGTTAACCTAAACGACGTCGTTCGTGCCACCTTCGATCGGAACGTCTCGGACCGATCCCCCACGTGTCGGCAACGCGACAATCGGCAAACGAGGCCGAAATCGAGATGATTTCCCTTACCTTTCTCACGGTAGCATCCTCCATTATAAGTTTCGTGGGAAAAAGAGAGAGTTATTTCTAAACTGCTCAGCGAACGCTCCGTGTTTCCCTTTGTTAAAAACGTGCAACTCTTGCTCTGCGCGCAACTCCAAACAGGAAGTCGCGCTACCATCGTGTTGTGTACATACTACTACGTTGTCAAGCGAGGGACTTGGCGTCCTACGTAGACGGCGTCGATTTCGTTCGCGCTTTCGGCGATTTTATCGTCGTTTAAAATCGACGCACGTATTTATACGCAGCGAAACGAGATAGGGACGAGCGCGCGCGCGATATTAACGGCGATACGCGCCGAAATACGGACGAACTCGACGACAAAAACTTTGCGTCGCGACGCATGCGCACGATCACGAGTTCGCGATCGATTTATCTTTTAATAAAAACGTGAATCACAACACGCTCGCCAATTCCGAGAAAGATTTCGCACGCGCAATCACACACAAATTTGTTTTCCCGCGACCTCTTTGCGTTCTTCGCACCGTATTGTATTTTTTTTTTTTTTACACTCAAGTTACAATATATTAAAAATTGGTTTTTACAAAAAAATTTTTATTATATGTACAAAAAAGCAAAAAGGATGTTAAAGATGTATCTAACGTGTCACACACACACACACACACGCGCAAAGGCATATAAGAATTTAAAAATTGCAACATTCCACTCGAGGATTGCATAATTCTATGCGCACACACACAAATAAACAATAATAAATGTAAATTCTCTCACTGTTTTTTATATTTCAATGTTTTTCGACATCATGACAAATTATTTTTTCTTCACCTTCTCGAAGAGCGTTTAACGAAAAACAAATTTGTTAAGAAAACAGATTAATTTAAAAAGGATTCGAGAGTCTCGAAGCTGGATGATCGATCACTTTGTAATTATCTTGTAATTTTTAAACAACGCCTAATATACTAGAGCGATAAAAGCGAGTTTTTTTTTTGTTTTTTCTACGTAAAAAACGCATCGATAAAGGGGCGAGTCAGCCTTTTATCGCGGCGCTTATATCATCGTCCAATTGTTAATTACAAAAAGAAACACAGTTAATCGACAGTATTTAATGAGAATAACTAATTATAATAATAATATTATTATAATAATTGCGATAGATTTTTCTTTGTATAAATATATATTAAACAGGGCTAGGTGAGCTTCTTGGCTTTCTGGTAAAGTGTATCGACAACCTTTCCCATGCTGTGTATCGTGTCTAATGCGATTTCGTAAGTTTTGTCGCGCGGCGTGTCCTCGAAGACGATCAGAACACCTTCCCCTTGGTCGAGAACTCCTCGCAGCTTCTTGTCCAGAATCATTTGCGATAGTTTCTTTTCTACTTGAGCCAACGGCAGGGATATGCACGAGGCGATGTGACTTACCTGCGTCAAAATGCGCAAAAAAATTATCAAAACTGTTTTTTTCTTTTTTTATTACACGCGTTTCTACGTTGAGCAATTTTCTGCTCATTCGGCAAGTTTTTTTTTTCCAATATGACATTTCAAAAAACAACGTTCATCACATAAATACCTGCACTCGGGAGTAAGGTTCGACTAAACGGCACAGATTTTGTTCCAACATCGCGTCATAGAGAGAACCGAGATGCGCGCGTACGATCACGTCGTCTTCCAATTCTTGTCGATATTGTTTAACCGCCTTTTGAAAGTCCGCTAGCGACCGCCGATGGCTAGCCTCCGCTACAGCCCGCATAGCGTCCAGATCCAATCCCGCGTATTTCACCGCCAATTTACCCGACATGATAGCCTGAACGTCCTCCGGTGTGCGTAACATGATTTTTGACAACAACATGTACTTGAGCGCCGTCAACGCCTTGGGACTTTCAACACTGTCGTATCTGCAAAAAAAAAAACGAAGCAAACAAACACCAAAGTTTAGCACATTCTTTGGTTAAAACTCTTTTGCAATTTATAAAATCGATTGGATGATACCCTTCAAATGCCTCGTAAAAGTAAGAATAAGCAGTCTTGAAATCTCGTTCATCTGCAGCGTGCAGTATTCCCGATTGTAAGTCTAGAGCAGCTTGCATCTTGGGTGGACAGTAAATTGCATTGGCAGTTGTTCTGGCACTGGTGAGCGCTGCTCTCGCCTTAGCTAAATTGCTCAATGCGTGATATGTCTTGCTTTCCAGTAACTGAACTTCTACCAAAAGCTGCTTGTCATCGAGTTTTTTGAGTTCTTTGAGAAGAGCAGAGCCCAATTGCAATGCTTCACTAAACATACCAGTGTCGAAGTAGAGAGCTATTAAGCGAGCTTCTAAAGACTGTCTTAAAAATGTTCTACGTTCTTCCTTGGCCCATTCTATGCATTCTTTACACAATTGCACCTAGACACACAATAAACATACAATTGCATCTTGTTGTTTTTGTTACATAGTTGACATGTAAAAACAAAATTCTGACTACAACTTACTCTGTACATTCACAGCTATGTAATCCTTCTAAAGTACAACAAAACTCACCTCAATACCAATACCAGCCTCCAGATCCAGAAAGAAGTCAACTAAGGATCGCACAAGCTTAGCAGCTTTTGCTTTGCTAATGAGACTGAGAAAGGGTCTCGTGGCTTTGATCAACTCGGCCAGTTCTTTCGCCTTGCCTTCCTTCTTGTAAAGCTCGCCCAGGTGCAGAATACCCTGTTCCTTGACGCGGATGTTGTCCTCGTCATCGTCGCCAATGCTGGGATCGGAGACGATCTCGTTCAGCAGCGAGATGCCTTCACTCCGATTTGTCACAGAAACAGCCTGAGCTCTCTCGAACAGCATCGCACCAGCCATTTTGAGTGATTGTTCGTACTCAGAGAAAAGCTGAGAGCAACCTGGCCCATAAGAGAATGAGTAATCGCTTTTTCGTCTTGTAAGCCAGCGCAATGTCTATGAGTGGTGCACATTGTCAACTACGTATCCATGTCTACGAACGACTCGTCGGTAAGTTATGTTCAAACGTGGTCATGGTTCTATTCCGTGCTGTGTCCACAATCGTGCGGTTCTATTCTGTGCTATGTGCGCAAGACCAAGGCTGCGTTCCGAGTTGCGCATAATCTATAGTGCACGTCACGTATAGTATAGATAAATGCGTAACTCGGAATGCAGCCATAGGGTGCGTTCAGACAACTCAACAGTTGCACAACGGTTGAGAGATAATCACTTCTGATTGGATCATATTTTTGGAACCGCTGCAGATTTTGAAGAACAGTCCTATCATAAGCGATGATCTCTCAACCGTTGAGTTGTCTGAACGCAGCCATAGTTATATGTTTACAAGCGGCTTAGGCCTGGTTTATGCGGGCAAATAAGGCCTTGTTTTGGCCTTGTTTATGCGGGTAATAACTGTTAATTTATGCCGGAATTGGTACAGTTCAACTATAGGATTTCAATGCTTCTGTTATGCTTCTGTTATGCTTCTGTTAATAAATAGAAATATTAAAATCTTAGGCCCGCATAAACCAGGCCTTATCGGTGCGCACGCAAATGTGGACATAGTTCTGTGGAAAATAAAGAAAATGGGTGCGTTCAGACAACTCAACGGTTGAGAGATCATCACTTATGATAGGACTATTCTTCAAAATCTGATGCGGTTCCAAAAGTACGATCCAATCAGAAGTGATTATCTCTCAACCGTTGTGCAACTGTTGAGTTGTCTGAACGCACCCAATATTTATTGTTCCGCGCGGGATATTCGCGTGCCGTTTGTTCTATCGAAGTAACGAATGCGATTGGTCGATCGCGGAAATGTGTTTTTGCGCGATCTCATCTTGCGGACATACGTCCATTTGCAGATCCGGTTTTACGCTCCCGTCTGTTGATCACGTGGACAGAGAAACCGTGCGTGGTGTGTTGTGTATCGCGGGTGAAGTGAATTCGACTTTTTGACTCTCTTTCTCAGTTGCGATCGAGCGAATAATCGGTAGCGCGTTTATGACGGCACGTGTGTGACAATGGCACCGACTATTCAGACCAACGGCAATCAAGCCGATCGAGATAAACGAGCGGTTAGACCGGCGGAAAAGAGGTGACGAGCGAGGAAGAGAGGTTACGACTTAACCCCAAACAAACGAAGCTAACTCGGTGATTTTGTTATTTTCTTTACAGATCTGAACTCATATGCAGAGTTAAATATTGCAACACGCTACCGGACATCCCGTTCGATCCGAAATTTATAACTTATCCGTTCGAGCCAACAAGGTGTGTAGATCGCATCGGAGAATTAGAACTGTAACATATGTGCTTTTCTATTTAATAATAATTGACGCTAATTTTCGCGACGCAGGTTCATTCAGTACAATCCTACCTCGTTAGAGCGCAATTACAAATACGAGGTTCTGACAGAACACGACTTGGGTGTTGAAATTGATTTGATAAATAAGGATACGTACGCGGGAGATCCGAACGCGCAACTGGATCCGGCTGATGAGAAATTACTCGAAGAAGACGTTCTGACTCCTCAGGACTCGAAACGTTCCAGACACCATGCCAGAAGTGTCTCTTGGCTGAGACGCACAGAGTACATCTCCACAGAAAGTACCCGATTTCAGCCTCAAACTGCAGATAAGGTTGAGGCTAAGGTCGGTTACAGTATCAAGAAAAATTTCAAGGTATGGACTTTCGAATTCATACAGTATTACTGTTTTTGTATCTTTAACCCTTTTGCTACGGCGGTTCGGTCCGCCGTAGCGCCACCACTGAACGGGACTCCGCGTCGAAAGTGTACACATTGCGCATGGACAGTGTATTTTGGAAGAAAAGGGATTTTTCTTTAAAACAATTTATAATTTATGTGAGTCACATCGTGCATGCCGGATGTATCCAGCGTTCGGAGCGAAAGGGTTAAATGCAATATTCAATTGTGTCTTTTTTTTTCTTTTTGATCAGGAGGAGACTCTGTACATGGACCGTGAGAGTCAGATAAAAGCTATAGAGAAAACTTTCGAAGACAATAAAAAACCAATTGAGAGGCACTACAGCAAATCAAATGTGGTACCTTTGGAGATATTGCCAGTGTACCCAGACTTCAAGGTAGCACAGTTGCGACATTTACTACAACGTCAATTTTATCATTTTCTTTACATCATCTGTTCTTTCAATGTTTAGTTGTGGAAATATCCTTGTGCCCAAGTTATATTTGACTCTGATCCTGCGCCAACTGGTCGATCAGTGCCTGCACAGATCGAGGAAATGTCACAAGCCATGATAAGGCAAGTTCCTTTTTATTTTGTTTCAATAATTTTTACGAGAAAGCAAATAATTCGAATAGCATTCAGAAAAATTTGAGATTTGTTGTGAAAACAACAACGACGCTCTTTGTCACAGAGGTGTTATGGATGAGAGTGGAGAACAGTTTGTGGCGTATTTCCTACCTCTTGAGGAAACATTGGAGAAGCGTCGACGGGACTTCACCGCTAACATTGAGTACGCAGATGACGACGAATACGAGTACAAAATGGCGAGGGAATACAATTGGAACGTCAAGAGCAAAGCCTCCAAGGGATACGAGGAGAATTATTTCCTGGTTATCAGACAGGATGGGGTACGTGTGAGCGTGCCACTTGCTTGATTAATTCTGCGAGTGTTTGCGTTAATTGATGAATATTTCAGGTGTATTATAACGAGCTGGAGACGCGCGTGCGGTTGAGCAAACGGCGACAGAAAGCCGGGCAGCAGCCGAATAACACGCGCTTGATCGTTCGTCATCGGCCTTTAAACGCCAACGAGTTCAGAATGCAGAGATATCGAGAGAAGCAGTTGGAACCACCTGGAGAGGAAGACGAAGACGAAGAGGAAGAGGAAGAAGAGCAGGACGAACCTCAGCAGGAAGCGGAGAAAAACGACGAGAAAGGTTTGGCTTAAAGATTCTGACAATTTTCAAAACAAGATGCTGACAATTTTCTCTCTTTGCAAAACTCAAGAAAACATTTTTTTTCTCGCAGGTTCCGAGGCGGAGAACGAGGAAGGATCGCGGGCCTCATCGAGAGCGTCCTCGCGAGCGTCCAGCAGAAAATCGCGATCAAAGTCGCGATCGCGGTCTAAGTCCGGCTCAAGATCGAAGTCGCGCTCGCGATCAAAATCTCGATCGCAGTCCCGATCGCGCTCGCGTTCTCAGTCGCGTTCGCCGTCGAAGTCGCGCAGCAAGTCGCGATCCGGCAGTCCTCGATCGAGAAACTCGTCGAAATCGCGATCGAGGTCCGCGTCAAGATCGCGTTCCGGCACACCCGCCAAGTCACCGTCGAGATCTCGGTCGAGCTCGCGTTCCAAGTCAAAGTCGAGGTCGCAGTCGAGATCGAGATCCGTTTCCGGTAGCGAAAGCGGTTCGGGAAGCGCGAGCGGCGAAAGTGGTTCGGAAAGTGAGTGAATCGAGGATCGCGGTAACGATCGTTTTTCGCTTTTGGAACACTTGCAACCGCGATTCGAGATAAAAAAGAAAGTTCTATACGCCACTGCTGTCGACTCGGTATCTTCTAAAACCGAGTAAACCACAGGCTTGCGACAGTGCGCTTGCCGGCCAACTGTTTAATTTTCAGAGCAGTTGCGCGCAAGCGTCGCCATTTTTATTCAGAAAACATCGTTAGGACAAATATTTTTCTCACGTGATTATTATATGTTTTGTAAAATTTTCAATGAAGACAAAATACATGTATTGTAGGATAGTCACACACCGGCATAAATATTCGAACTTATTCTTTGATGACACGTGAGGAAGTATTACATACACCGACTTGTACAAGTGCTGTGCGAATGTCAAAGAAATAAATTCATAAAAAAAAACAAACTTGACTTCAATTTCTCTTTGCAGCGAGTACGTACAGTCGGCGTCAATGAATCGTTTCGCGGACCTGGGGGACTAGGGGTAAAGGCCAAATCACACTAGCAATTGATCGGCGATTAGCGATTGGCGATTGACATTTATCCAATCACACTTAAAGGCCTAAAGTGTTTCCTTATCCAATCAATTGCTAGTGTGATTTGGCCTTAAGAGAGACGGTATTCTCTAGCAATAAGTATTGCCAACGGGCGCCGTACTAACAAACTGTAGCAAATCTCGATGAATTGACCAATTACAGTATTTACTGCTAGGGAGTAACGTGCCTCTTACTTCTAACTCACCGCGTCAACGAAACGATTCATTGACACCAACTGTACATAGATGTTATGACTTAATAAGTAAGACAAGTAAGTTAAGACAAATATACATATAATAAATAATGTAAATGTTGTTATTTATACGTATATAAGGAATATGTATATATATATTAAAACAGAAAAGTCTAAAACCATTGTAACTGATCTGCTCAATCTTTCGCAAATCAAACTATTTTTGATCAGCTAACATTGGGTGCTTTCCACCTACGTACACAGGCGACACTGTGTAACACTTTGTCCACTAGTGTGAGTGAGACACACTGATATGCTCTTTCTCACACTAATAGACACTTTGTACGTAGTTAAAAAGCACCCATTACCAGAATTAAAATTTTAATTGTTACTGTACTAACAATATATTGTTATAAACTACAGATATTTGTCTATATATTACAATAATATTTATACTGATAATAAGCATGTCACTTCTCATAAGCAAGTAGAAAAAATTAAATGTAGATGAAAAAACCTCTATAAGAAAAATACGAAAATTTTTTTAATATAAAAATTGTAAAGTAAATGTCCTTAAGAAGTGAAATTGCGTGTGCATGAAGTGTGAGCGATGCTAGTGGGAATAGTGTATGTAGTCGCGCCTAGGCATCATCCTCACCACCACCTTTCATGTACATCGCGCACCGGGCAAGAACTCGCGCGCACACCATTGTATAAACGTGTGTGAGCTGAAATCCATTAACCGCGTTAACGCCTCCGCAACTTTGTAACATTTTCCCTTTTTGCGTTCACTCGCAGGTCACGTACGGCGCTTCACATTATTTTCTATAGGCCCACCCGTCGTCTCTCTTTCTTTGTCGCTTTTCCTTCTGCATAACCCGTTTCTCACAGTCTCCCGAGCGTTTTCAACCGGCCTCGATGAATCAAACGCGAATCTCTCATCTCCAACAGTGTTAAATTAGACCGTTCGTTTCGCGCGAACTCGTGTAATAATTTGTTTTCAGTTTGAAAAAAAAAAAAAAGTGTACAGCGTAAAACATTTGAAACGTCGAAAAGGCTTGTTCGACGATCGTCTCACGACACGATCTTTGTAATTTGACGTAACGACAAGAAAAAAATTCCCGTTCGTAGTTTTCATCGTTTCCTCTCATTTTCTTTGCAGCATGTTCGACGTCGGTGGACAGCGCGACGAAAGAAGAAAATGGATACAGTGCTTTAACGACGTTACGGCAATTATCGTGTTATAGCATTTCATCAAACTCTATGTACCACGACAATTGCGACCGTGTAGAGTAGCGGGAGTGCACTGATTCTGGTTAGAAGGGTCCCCCCTTTGCTATATACTGTTAGGAAAGAATAAAAAGAAAGAGTGCAAACTCTATGTACCACGACAATTGCGACCGTGTAGAGTAGCGGAAGTGCACTGATTCTGGTTAGAAGAGTCCCCCCTTTGTTATATACAGTTACGAAAGAATAAAAAATAGGAGTGCAAACTCTATGTACCACGATAATTGCGACCGTGTAAAGTAGCGGAAGTGCACCGATTCTGGTCATAAGGGTCCCCCCTTTGCTATATACTGTTGGAAAAGAGTAACAAGTAGGATTGAAAACTCTATGAATTACGACAATTGGGACAGTTTAGAGCAGCGGAAGTTCACCGATTCTGGTCATAAGGGTCCCCCCTTTGCAACATTCTGTTGGGTAAGACTCAAAAGTAAGACTGAAAACTCTATGTATTACGACAATGGGACGGTTTAGAGCAGCGGGAGTTCACTGATTCTGGCCATAAGGGTCCCCCCTTTGCAACATTCTGTTGGGTAAGACTCAAAAGTAGGACTGAAAACTCTGTATTACGCCAATGGGACGGTTTAGAGCAGCGGGAGTTCACTGATTCTGGCCATAAGGGTCCCCCCTTTGCAACATTCTGTTGGGTAAGACTCAAAAG